TAAAATGTAAAATAAATAAAGAAAAGAAAAGATAAATAATTTTCATTTTTTTTTTTCATTTAACTGATTGAAGTGGTTGATCTTATTTATTTAATTCAATTTTTTTTAAATGAATGAAAAGATGCAAGAAAAATATTTTTATCCTAATTTTGTGTAATTGATCCAAGATTATTAAAAATATATTTCTATTGATGTTTAGAATTTATTTCCTACAATAAACTCTAAAATAAATATATAAATAAATAGAAGGATATAAAAATAATAATTTTTATTGTTTTCATGAAATGATTGATTTTATTTATTTTATTCAATTTTTAGTTCAAATGAATTAAAAGATGCATGAAAAATATTAAAATCCTAATTTTGTGTAATTGATCGAAGATGATTTAAAATAAATTTCTATTGATATTTAGAATTTATTTCCCACAATATCATTAATTTTTCAAACTATTTAAAAAAATTAAATTTTAAAATCAATTTTTGTGCGGTTAAATAAATGAAAAGAGAAGTTAACAGATAAGAGACAAACAAAAACAAAAGATTTCAATCAATCAATATTTTTGATGAAGAATTAATCTTATTTTACTAAAATAAATCTTATTTTCATTAGTTAACAATTAAATTTCAAACAATTTATACGCAGTATTCAACCTTGAATTGCGGGAATATTTTCAAGAAAGAACTGGTAAAGAGCTGTTCTTTCTGGCATTCAATAATAAATAACATTTTGATTAATCGAATTCCTTTTTAGAGGTAAATATTTATATAAATAATATTTTTGCTTATTCAAATACATCTGCTTAAAGAAATTATAAAGTAGATATAAAGAAAATACTCCAAATCAATTTAAAACGTTCTCTATTCTCATCAGCTTGAGCATTAAATTCTAATAAAACCACTCACTATTTCTCTTCATCGAAATCGCATTTAATTAAATTACTAATATAGCATATTTTTTCTATTACTTGAATGTACAAGTAACAATAATTGAGATATTCTAATCAGAATACCACTGGCATCGCAAATCATAAAAATGGTATAAAAGAAAAGCATCCAATAACGGAAGGGTTTATATAAGGGCAGCATAACCAACACAAAAATTAGGTTAGTCCAAACCACGGCTTGCCTCAAAGGTAAGAAAATGGTTATCCATTTTAGAAACCTAATAGTAATAATACTGGAAATTAAAGTCCTAATAATAATAATATTAATGTAGGATTATAAAACTCTGCTAATTGCTCTCCTTCTCCTTCACGCATGAGCGTTCTCATAAATGCAAGCCAAAAATAATAATGCAAAATCAGCTACTTGTTTTGCAATTAAATAAACCATGAGATGAACCAGCTGAATATGGCTTGCTTGAAACCAGATTGCCAAGCAAAAGGACTTATATGCTGCATGTGTTTAGATGATCACTATGAGCATCTAAAACATTGCATGGCTTTTTAAAAAATAGTTTCCTAATTGAAGGGGAAAATTGATAAAAACTCAACTTACTACGATGAGAATTTAATGTCATAAACAAGCGAAAGCAAAGATTTTATTAATCAAATTGAGTAATATTATAAGGACATAAGGAATACAATTGAATAATTCTAATTGCAAGTTAATTAATATCTTGAAATGCTCAAAATTCAATATTAAAAATAGTTTTTAGTAAACCTTTTCTTTGTCATAAAATACTTTCTTTCTATCAAAAAACACCAAATAAATTCATTTATTTTTTCAAAGAAATTGCATTAATTATTTCCTTAAAAAATATAAATTTTTATTTTAATTATTTTATTTGAGATATTTTTTTTATTTTATATAAATATAACTTCTCTATTTTACTTTAAAAAAGGAAAATATTGAAAAAATTTAATCTCTTTGCTCAAATGCTGGAACAAGTTTAAAGGATTTTTTTGAAAAAATTGAAATCAACTCAATAATTGGTCAATCTTTGCATACAAACCCTTCAACAAATTTGAAATCTGATATCAATAGTTTTCTATTAAATGTTGAAATGGGAGAAGACATGAAATCAATAAAACTCAAGATGGATTCAGCTATGTCAAAATAAAGTGAAGAGCTTGCTAAATAGGTTAAGGTTCAATCAGAAAGATTAAGTTAAAAATTGTAAAAGTATATGAAACTTTTAAAGAACAGTGAATTTAAATTATCTTAGACTTCACAAACTAGCAAGTCTCTCAGTGGAAGTGTTAGAGAATCCTAAATAAGCAGTGGATCTAATTCTCAAAGGCTTAGTTCGAATAAAAACAAGAGAAAATACTTAAAGCTAATTGAAAAAGAAAGTATTAGAAAAAATAAGAGCAACCATTTATAAATACCAAATTATGGAATACCCATTTCAATTATGGATTCCAGTGAGACAAATTCATAAAAGTAGAATCTTGATAATGCAGTCTTAATGAGTACTCCTTCTTAAGAAAATCATTTATTAAATAATTATTGCTTGAGTTTTTAAGATAAAAAAGCCTTCCTAAATGGGCAATTTTCTTCTTCAAGAGGTAAAATATAATTTGAATAATATTATTATCATTCAGCAAAATAAAATGTGTGTTTTTTCATACTTAAATTTAATTAATTGAATAGGCAGTGAAAGAAAGATGAATGAGTTTAATTTAAGTGATTATATTGCATAATCTAGCTAGAGTGCAACTCAAAGTAAGAAAGGATCTGTTTAAAAGCAATACTCTACTTTAAACAGCAGACAAAAAATTCCTTAATAATAAACATTCGGAAAAATGTAGGCTCAAATTGATATTAGCATGGAATGTGAAGATGAAGATTTAAATTCATAATAGTAAAATGCTTATTTAAACCAGTTAAAGAGAATTAAACCTAATAGTAAATTTGTAGTTGATGATGAAGAATCAAGCAAGCAATAATCTTTCAAGCATTAAAATTAGAGCAAGTAAATAAGTAATAATAACAACAACAATACAGAAGATTAAGAAGAAGAATTTGAAGATGAAGATGAACCATATGAAGAAGATATGATTGGAAGGTCTGATTACAGTTACAGTTATGAGGATGAAGAGGAAGATTACTACGATGATAATGAGGATTACTCAAAAAATAAGAAAGATTAAAGACAAATATATTCAGAAGGGTAATAAGATTAATAATAAATCTAACAAATGGAAATGTATGATTCATCTAACATTTCGTAAAGCAAAAACTCTCGAAAAAGTTAACAGAAAGGATAAAATAATACTAATAATAATTCTATTTCAGAAAGCAGCAAGTTAGAATATTCATCAAGCAAAAAGACATAGCAAATAAATGAAGAAATAATGTCATTTTAGATGCCACCAAGAAATGATTAGAGCTAAGATAGATAATTAGATTTACCTTTTGATTAGAATTAAAAAGGAAATAACATTTTTAATAGTTTAGAAAAACAAAGAAACATTTGTAGCTCTCCTAATCAAATTCAAAAATCGCATTTAAATGCTGAATCACCAACGTTTTAGAGAAATTCAGATTCTTAATTATCTTCTAAAATTCAGAATAGGCGTATATTTTTTATTTGTTTGTTATAAAAAATATTTTACTAATTTTGCATGAAATTAATTAGCAGCAACTTACCAGAATGATACAAATAGTAACGGTAGTATCTAACAGTCAAATGAATATGATTAGAACAACAGGTCAGGTTCACCTAAATCAAAATAGGCCAGCACTAAAGCTACCTCTTGTTACAATTTATCTCCATCTAAAAGTCGCAGCCATTCTCCTAATGTCCATGTTCTCGATAACTCTCCAACTAGAGTCATGTAAATATTAATAACATTTAAAATTTAGAAATATTTTTCTATTTTAAAAATAGGACAAGATCTTCAGCTAAAAAATAATAGAATTAAGACCAAGTAAACATTGAATAAAGTAGAGAAGAGCAAAAAAGGAGTGAAGAAATAGAGAACGGTACTTTGAATGAGGAATAATATTACAATGATTAAATGATGTATCTAGAGCAAAGTGTGCAAATTTTAGAAAACTAGCAATTTTCAGCTTAAAAGGTATAAAAAGAAGGTGGACTGAATAGCTCGAAGTAGTCTCTGTAATCAGGGTCAGTAATGAATTTAAACTCTAATAGTGGGTCAAAAAGTAAATCTAGGAAAATGAAGCGCTCTTAAGGGTCAAGGATTTAAGAGCCATTCGATTAAATGAAAATTGAGCACAATAGTTAATAATCTTCAAACAACCCTTCAGGATAGAAAGCTTGAAAATAAATTAGAACTGAATTACTTTTGATAATACTACAAAAAACTTACTCGATCTAAAAAATACATTTTGATGAAAGTAATTAAAAAAGGTTTTTAAGAATTTAGTCTACGTATATGTTTTAAAATATAACAAATTTATTAATTTTATTTATCTCACTTAAAAATTTTAATGTAAATTTATTCAAATATATATATTTTTTAATAATTATGAAGCAGTTAAGTTACTTACTTACTAATTTATTGATTTATTTGTGTTCGTTTAATTGAATTTATTAATTACATGATGTTTATTATTATTTGTTTACTGTATTACGAATATGTATGTTCAAAGTTTAAAATAAATGAAGAATTTAATTTAACCTAAAATAATTATTTTATTGTATTAAATTCATCAGTTAGCTTTAATTTAAAAAGAGAAATTGAAGTTTCTAAAAAATGTTTTATGCTATACACACACAAATCATATTTTTTTTTAGATATTATGTTTGTTGTAAGGTAATCAAATTTATAAATGTTCATCGAATTTAATTTCTAATTAATGAATGAGCCTTATTTGGCTTACAATCGAACAATTTTATTTTAATTTTGTAATTTTTACAGCTGTCAGTGATACCATCATTTTATGGGGTTAATACATATTATTTTAATTAATTAAAGTCAGTACAGCTAGTTAAATAAGTAGCTAACCAAAGAATCTATAAATCTATCTATCAATCAATCAAACAATTAATCAATCAATCAGTCAATAAAACAGAAACTAACCAATTTGTTAAAAAAGATTACAAAAGCAAATGTAATTTAATAGAATAATTGAGTAAGAATATAATAGAAACGATTTATAGTGTTTTCATAAGCAGATAAAATTTACAAGAGTTTATTAGTTTAGTAATATAGACATTTATGAATTATATAAATTAGGTAGGATAAGTATTTCAATATTATTTATTTTGTTTTTTTGTGAATTTGAATTGATCAGTGTTTATTGATAATAATTAATTTTTTATTTCAACATTGATATTAATAATTAATATTTTTTTAATTTTTATTGGACTTTCGTCACCCTAAAATAAGATGAAATTGTTAGACATTTTATTTCTTTATTATTGATTTATTATATCATACAGACAATTGATTGCTCATTAATTGATCAGAGGTATATACTATTTTTACTAAATAAATTATTTAACTCTGCATGAATGTAAAAAAATTTAATTTACTATGTTGAGTTTCTTTACTTTGGTACATAATTCACTACTTGGTCATACTTTCGCAAAATTAGTTTCAAGCGACTAATTAAATCTGAAAAATATATCTTGTCCGTCCTATAAAAATAAAATTTTTTTAGTTTTAACTGGAATAGAGATAGAGACTTAAATGTATAAAAGGGTTGATTCATTTATAATGAATATGATTTTTATTTCATTCATTTAGAAATTTAAAATTTTAACTATTTTTGTTAATAAAACTGTAAAAAATACACCTTTAATTTTATATTTTTTAGCTAATAAAAGAATTTCTTTGCTTTAAAAAAAATAAAAAAACAAATTAATTTATATAAACATACCTTCCTTCTTTATTAAATCCATTAAATTTATCATTTATATTTCCAAGATGTTTTTGGAGAAATTTCAATGTGTCATTCAAGTATTTAAGTCCTAATAATTAGTTTTCAGCTATTATTTTATATAAGGAGAAAAAATATTATAATATTTTTGAGATAGAAAATGCAAGTAAGCAAAAGAAACAAACGAGGTTAGCTTGTCTTAAAATTAAAAATAAATAAGTCAAGTAAATTTATTAAGAAGGCAAGTTTTATAGCCTGATTTGATTTTTTGTAACCAGTTATTTAATTTATTGAATTGTGGTGAATTTGTGTTATTTATTTTAAAACAAATTCTAACCTAACCTAAAACAAATCTTAAAAATAATATTTTTTAGTTTGATATATTATTTTTTTTTTTTTCGCTTATTACCAACTGCCATGATGCCAACAAGTGAGGATTAAAGTGAGTCTAGGAGTATAAAAGTTGATCCCATTCTTTTTTCTAAATCAAATGACACTGATTCAATTCTGCATAAGTGGAAAAATGTTTTATATTGAAGTTATTCAAGTCCTGAGTGTTAAACATAAGGGAAATATACAAATGACCTTGTTTCATTAATAAAGTTAGGTAGAATTTAAGAACTTTATGTTGATTTTAAATTTGATAACTGTTTATTTTTCTATTGCATTTCTATACTTAAATTTGTTTAATTTTATGATACCATTGAAACAATACTGTTGATTTATGAGTTAGCTTGTTAGTTACTTTAACTTGGTTCTAATATACACTACCCGTTTATAGGGTCAGAATGACCTTTGACAAGAAAATAAAAATAAAAACAAGAAGCAGCGTAATTATTTAAAAAGCAATCTAATCCAACAGCCCAAAACAAAGGATGTGAGTTAGGATTTTATGGATCAGGAAAAGATATTAAATCAATAGAAACATAACCAAAAATATTTCTTGAATATAATGTTTTTCCCAAAGTATTACTGATCATCTCAAGATTCATATTAGGTAGCGATTACTAAGGTCCTGAACAGCCTATAACCCTATAAAGAGAGCCATTTATTCTATCGTATGAACCTAAAACCTTTATTACAAATTTTTAATTAAAATTGAGTAAGAAGCATGAAAAATATTTATAACAATAATATTTTTTTAAAATTGCAAAAAAGAATTAGTAAGAAGAAAAATTATTAGTAGAATTATTAGCATTATACTTATTTTCTTAGAAAAATTACAATTTTAAAGTGTAATGTATCGAAGAAATCTGAAAATCTTAATAATTTCTAAAGTAAAGATTATTTTTAAATAATTTAAAAAAAGCAATCAGATTTTAATAAAATTGCTTATTTTCAAGAAAATAAATAAAATCCAATATTGTATTATTCTATTTTTTATAAAAATACATTTCTTATCTATTTTTCTAATTGCTAAATTCACTTTAACGTTCAATTCTAACAAAATAAATTGTTAAATTTATTAAAAATGAATCATATTTTATTTTATATTAAGTAATCTATCTTATATTTTATTTAAGTATTTTTCTAATGCTTCAAAGCTAAAAATCATACAAAAACTTTTTTGTTTATGTATGAAATTTATTGAAAGGAAAATTTTTATCTCAAATTAATTTTTTGTAGTAGATTAAATTGTGATTAGCTTAAAATAATTCAAATTTCCTAGTTAAAAAACTCATTAGAATAATATAATATATAAAGATTGATTTTCGTCTTTTCTATTTGATTGAAAGAAAAAATATCTTGAAAGTTTAAATCACCTTAAAATAGAAATTAAAAAAAAAGTTCTTGATATTGATTTAACTAATAACTATTATATTATTAGACAGATGCAAATTTATAATTTTATTGAAAATAATAAATAAGTAGCTCTTAATTTTATGGTTGTGCACTGTTAATATTTAATATTACTCTATCTAACTCATCAATACATTTTTCATAAATATTATTTATCCAATCAATAAATAAGAAATCATAATCAAATCAAATTAACTTAAATAACCTAAAAGTAGTTAAATTCACCAATCAATATGATTGATTATATTGCATCATATATTTTTTTACAGTAAAGCTAATTTTAATTTATCTGATTATTAACTAACTATATACTTTTCTTGTATTACAGAGTAAGCTTCATATTAATTTATTTTAAAAAATTAAATTTTATTGGCTAAAATATATATTGCTAACCAATCATTTAAATGGGATATTTTATTCCTCATAAATAAAAAGTGAATATTTATCGATAATAATTTTAAGTAATAGATAAATAAAGCAAACCAAAAAGTTTTATTGTCAAAGTAGATTGAAAGTAAATAAAAAAATGTAAAGTTAGAATTTGAAAGTTTAGTTTTTAAATTTTTCTTTTTTATTTCAATCAATCATTAATTGCTTTTTATTTATATTTTTTATTTATTTATACTTTAACATTAAAAAATACAATTCATCCATCTATTTTTTTGAAAATATGACCAGTACTAAAAACATTATATTTTTTTCACAAAATGAACGTTAAGTGTAACAAAATTCAATATTTTTATGTGAAAATGTGATATAGAGTTGTTTGTTATGATGAAAAAAATAATAAATTGAATTTTGCTCTCTAATCTTATCTTAAATTTGAAAAGAAAATTGATTACATTTTTTTATCAAAATACTATGTGTATATTAGTAATCTCATTCATAAAATATTATTTTGATATTTATTTATTTACTAATTTTATCTATTCATCATAATTCATCTCACCAATAAACAAACAAACTAAAAATAAAACCCACCCCATAATCTATCTTCAAATAAATTAATGAATACTCAATAAGCAGAGTAACAAGTAAATTTATAGAGAAAAAATCAAATCTTACTTTTATTTCTCCCAGCGGATCAATGTGGAAGAATATTGATGGAGAACTGACTTGAGAAAAAGTACAGGTAGGACAGGCTTCTATGATTCCACCTTTCAGGATAAATTAATTTAAATATTCTTTGTAACCATATTAGAAAAGAGAAGGCACTGCCATCTTTACTTTTGTTGGCAATTTATCAGCCAAGATTTACTAGAGCTAAACCAAAAGCTCTTAGCCTATTTCAATCTAAATTGCTTATTTACGAAGCTTTTTTAAGAAGGCAATACTGTCTACATTAAGATAAGCTATTCCTCTACTGCCCACTTCATCATCTATTTTGAATAGCCAAGTATCTACTCTAATGTTGTTTAAAATAAGAATTGCTAGAGTGTTAATAAATTCTTTTTCTTCGTAAATTTCGTAAGCGCCCGGGGCAGTTGGGATCTCACATTAATTAAAAATTCTTTTAGCACCAGATTTAGTGGAGCAAATCATATGCTGTTGAGGATCTCCACTCATTAAAGGTACATCAATACTTTTAGCTAATTTTATATCATCGTTTGATGGATATCCTGGCACAATATAAGCTTACTTACCTTTTTTATATAAAATATGCAAAGTAAGATCTTTTTATATGAATGGTATTTAATATGTTAAACTAATACTTCATAAGCAAAAATAAATAGCTACCCATTTAATATAATTAATCAGAAATAAATGATATCATCAGATATCAAAGCAAATAAGATTTATTCATAAATAATGAAATTTTTTGTTAGATCCTTAATTTTAATCAAATTAATAGATTGAAACAAGTGGGAAATATTTAAAATTAGTTCAAAGAAATTAATAATTATTTAGATTAATTTAAATAGCTTTTACCTTTTATTAGATTTCTTATTCTTTTTAAAGCCTTTGGAGAATATAGAAGTAAGCGAGACGTTGAGTAATGAGATGGGAAATCATAAGCTTTTTCAGGGGATATGAAATGTAAACGGGATCTAAAATCAGAAATATCACCCAATTCCAAAATTTTATAGTAATAATTGACAACCTCTGAAGGAAGTTCATAAGGACTTATGTAAATAATTTCTAAATTCGGATCTTTTAAAGCAAATATTCTAGTTATTTACATATTTTATCTTTGTGATACCTTTTTAATAAAAATTAAATAGAAAAATTAAATGAAATTAAATTTATTGACAAAACTTATCCTTATTTCACGATTGAAATCATTTTATTTATTTATTTCAAAATATTTAAGTATAATTATGTTTTAAAATTTTAAAGTTAAATAGTGCTAATTAGTAACAATTACAAACATTTTCTATTTTAAAAAGTTTATTTAGCTTTTCTAATAAATTATAATCTCTAATCAACCAATCTCAATCTGAAGCGTTTACAATGTTTATTATCAATTTTACACATAATTTTATTTTATAAATTCAAAATTTTTTCTTAGATTTTTTGAATTTTTATTTCTTTGCTAATGTTTTTGATTCATTTTAAAATTCTTTTATCTTACTTACTTACTTCTTCCAAAAAAATAAGAATCATTAAAATGTATAAAAAATAAACACCATTGTTTTAGAAAAATAAATAAATGAATGAATGAATTTACTTTTTCCATTGATAGTCTTTTTAGTTCATCGTAAGAAAAAGTATTGATATGAATTTCTACCCTTTATTTAAGTTTCATAACAGGCCAGTCTTCCATCAGCTTCATTTGAAGCACTTTTACATAATCAATATCGTCTTATCCTTTGTTTCTGATGATATTTTAAGTCCTCTTCTTATTTTAGAATAATCTAATATAGCGTTAAATCAATTTAACTTTTTCTATCATAACTTTTAGTCTTTCATACTACTTCATACAAATGTATCCTTTCCATACGCTTTAAATTCTAATTGCTGCTTTATTCAAGCCTTCAGGACCTTTATACAACAATTTAGGAACTTTTATTACCTAATAATCAAATTTATTAATTATACCTCTAGTAAACAAATAATCAATCAATCAACATAATTATTTTTTAATAAAAACAATCAAATTTAATACTTTTAGAATTTCATCCTTGTTTACACAGCATTAAATAAGATCAGCTATATCAGGTTATTTTTTTAAAGCTGCAAACTGAGAAAGGGCTTTACCATCGACTGTTGCAATACTAATATCATAATCTTTCATCAATTTTTCTAAACTCCTGATAATAGTTATTATAAATAACCATTCTTTTATATATGTTCTTTTATAGCTTTAAAACTCAGGTGTTTCTTCAAGAGTTCTTCCCTTTTTTTATTAAACGTTATTTTTAAATTAAAACAATCGAATAAATTTAACCCTATATATAATTAAAGCTTATTTAAATACCAACACAGAATGTATGTGTGTGTATAAACATTGTTAGAGAAAAAATAAATAATATTGTATGATTTAATTAAGATATAAAATCTATAAATTCTTTGTCTTTTTTTAATATAAGAAGTATATTCGAGAAGAAAATTTTTTATAGAATATTATTGTAAGAATTTATATTGTTTGCTTTTTCAGTGTAACAGCAATTAAATTAATTACCTTCCTAATAATAAAGTGATGTAATGAATATTAATCTAAAACTTCTGGATATGTTTTAGGATCCAACGAAACCAAATTTAATTCATCGTTTTGTGTTGTGTCTATAATTTCTTTTGATTTTTACTAACCCGTTCCTTCGAGCATAAATTAGCTATTCACAGCCAAGCCCAATGAGTTGCTCTAAACATTTACAGTTTTTAATTTCTTCTCAGATGTTTTATTAAACATTCCTTAAGCTTTTTGATTCTAATTTATTTGTGGTAGAGAACTCTCCACAGGTTCAAGTTTGAAAGTTTGTAAATCCTGTCCCAATGAGCCAGAATTTACAGTTCTTTTCACAAATTTCTCTTTAGCATCTGCAAATCTATTTAAATAATTTGAATCAACCAACACAATTTAATAAATCAAAGTAATTAATTACTTTATAGGTTTTTATAGGGCCATCGAATTTAATCCCTAACCAAAAAATGCACTTGAAAGATCAATATTTTTACTTATTTTTCCTTTGTTAATCATTTCAAATAATCCCTCCTTTTAATTACTGTTTATAAGATCGAAGAACTAAGATTTTTACTTTGCAGACTTTTTTCTATTATCATTTATCAAATTTTCTTGCAAAACCTTATCTGAATCTATCAAAAATATAAAAAAAATGGAAATAAAATATGATTTTTCTACAATACTTTTAAAAGCAATTTTTTACTTATTTTTTCTAAATTTTTCTGAGAAATATATTTAGCTCGGTAGAATTTTTTACCAAACGGTTTCTACCTGGGATCACCTTGACTGTGATCTTTGATAAAGGAAGGCAAGAATGACTCTTTTTTTAAAGCATTGCCAACTTAAAGACTCTGTTGCTAGTAAGGATTTATTATATAGATATTTTTAAATATAAGTTTCAATTAAATCTATATGCTGTTAATAATCAGAAAAACAGCTAATAATTAAATTGAAATAGTTAATTTACACTCAATTTATTGCTGAGTAAAGCAGTTGACTAAGTATTTTCTCTTCTTAAGAGAAACCTCTCTGAACTGTTGTTTTCTATATTAAAATAATTCAACTCATGTTAATTCTTCATAATACTTTTTACATAGAAGACTGTGAGATTTGTGATGCAACAAACTAGGCGAAGATAAAGTTTAAAATTCATTGTTATTTTATAAGCCTGCCTATGAATCTTATTAGTTAATAATTTCAACTCCTTTCAATTCTTAAACAGTAGAATTATGATTGTTCATCATCTGTTATTGCAAATAAAATTATTTTAACCAAGCTTAAATATATAAAGATAATTCGCTCATCAATAAATAAAGCGCTAATTAAAGAATTTATTTATTTATACTTTGTAGAACAAATCTTCAAGCCTATTTTCGATTTCATTGTTTATTTTGCTCACATTATTCTAAATACTTCCGTATATCCCATTTATATTTTGATCTTATATTTATTTTTAAAAAATATGCTTTGTATTTATTCTCCTAACCTTAAAAAAATAAATGAGTTATCAATTAGTTTTCTACTAATGACAATAATTAGCAATTAATCAATCACCATCAATAAAATTGGTTCTTTGACATTTTCTAATTTATTACCACTGAATTTGTTATTTGACTGAAGCTGGTTTAACTGCTGCTTTAAATTAACTAATTCCTTTTAAGTGCTTGAATAATATTTGCCTATCTCCTCACTAATCATCTTTTAATTCAACACACCTTTATTATTTTACTTTTCTTGTTTATTTTTAAGCTTTTCTATTAAACAGCTTGATTTGATTTGATAAACTCCTTAATATCAAAACAAAAAAGAAAACTATTGATAATTAATATAAATTTTTTATTCAGTATATAATAAATAGATAGATAGATAGAATAATCAATCAATCAATTAATTAGCATACATACTAAATCAATATCATTCTAATTAATAAAGCGAAATCTATTTTTACAACACAATTTGAAAGATTTTAAATTCTTTCATTTATTTGTCAATACAAACTTTATTGATTTTCTTAATACTAATTCATTCATTTTTTAACATAAACTCTATTCATTTTCATTATACAAACACAATAATCTTTTAATATAAATTGCATTTAAATTCATATAAAATTTGCTTAGTCTATTTTTTTTAACATAATTTGATTATTATTTTAATGCTATTTCATTCATCTTATTAATAATAAATTTATTTATAAAAATAGTTTTAAATGAATTTCTTTTCGTTTTATTCTTTTCAAATGATTTTATAAAGAAATTTAAAATAGCTTTATTTTATTTATATTTAGTTATTTTATTTATAATTTATGGATTTAAATATAACATAAAAAGGACATCATAATAAATTGAGAAATTAATATTATAGTTGATTAGTAATTAATTATTGGTTTCATTATAGAGCGTTTTACTTATTTTAAATAAGAAAATTTTATTTAATTTTGATATCATAAAATGGATAATTAAGTAAGCAAAGACACTGTGAAATTTTAGTTATTTATGTATGTTTGTTTGTTTGTGATTAGAATTAATTATTTGATTATAATTTTAAATGAGATAAATATTTAATTGGCGCTTGTTATCTTTAAAACTGAAAGTTATGTTTGTGAGTGAGTGAGATTGAAATTAGAAGAAATGAATTAATTATTTAATTGGTTATTATTGAATTGAATTGAGAAGACAATATATTTTATTAAATGACAAAGAGAGGAGGCATTTTAAATTTTTGAATAGCATTTTCATAATTAATGCTATCCTTGTTACAGTTGTAAGTTAGTTTCTAGGGATTAGTAATTGGAAGGGGGATTTTAAGAGTTAAAGAATTTTGCAGTAAAAGAAATTTGATTGATTGTTTATTCAAGAAGTTAACTAGTAAGAATATTATTTAACTGAAGCCAGCTTTAGCATGGTATTTGATTAAGTATTTTTAATTAATTTTATTCTATTTACTAACTGTTGTGTGGTTGATATAAAGGATCATGACTACCAACTAATTTATTTATTTATTTATTAATTAATAAAAGCTTAAATATTGAAGTGTAAGAGTATTTATTTTTTCTTTTGAATTCTAATTTTTATGTAAGCTGTAGAAATCAGTTTTTAAGTGTATTATAAAAAATTAGTAAAGAATGAATGAAATATAAGATTTTATATAAGTTTTTACCTCCAAGAGCAAAGTCAGATTTGAAAAGACTTGAATATAAATATCCTAGAAGTTAAAATCTTGTATTTGATAAGTGTAATCTTAACATGAGTTAAGCTTGATTAGAAATTTGATTTTGATTTTGCTAAGAAGTGTCTGTGTTAGATAATTCTTTTATCAATTAAATAATGTAATCAGGATGTAAATTTTACTGAAGAGTCTAATTATTTTAAACATTTTATTGAAGTTGAGGTAAAATTTTATCAATTTTTTCCTATTCTATTAATAGCTCATTCTAAATTTATTATTGATTAAGATGATTTTACTAAGAAAAAATAATTCTTGGTTAATGAGCATTTAATTAAATTGGTGGTCTATTTTAATTGGTTAATATATTTGAAAGGTTCTGAATTTAATGCATGCTCATTGCAGACGACGATGACGAAGATGAACTTTAAGTTTGCCCTGATATGCCCAAAGATTAATTTGTCACGTTTTTCATCACTATATCCAAACGGATTAGCTCTTTAGTGATTCTATTTTATATTTGAGTAAAAATATAGTAAATAAATGCATGCAGTTGAGTCAGATATTTTTTATAAGAATTTAGTGTAAATTAAATAAGCTTTGCATTTTAAATGGTATTATTTGTTTGTTTGTTATGTTTCGAGGAAATTTAGTTTTTTGGTACAGTGTAAAAAAAATTAAAAAAAGTAAGAAGTTTCTTTTGAAGTAAGTTAATTTTTTTTAATTTTTGATGAAATGAACTGAATTTTATTAAAATTGCCAGAAAAATTTTTTTACTTGAATTTAGGTTATTTCTTGTGATTCCTACTCTTTTCTATACTAATATTTTTATTATCGTCACTGATCGATGTTTCTTAATCAAAATAAGCTTTTTAGAATGAGCTACTGTTATTATCAAGTTGATACGCAGTAGTAGCATCAGCTGTTATTTATGGAGATTGTGGTTATTATGTTTATTCATAATAAATTCTTTTAGAAATTATCACATTTATGAAGTGAGTTTTACAAAGAGGGCATTGTAGCTTTTTCTATAAATAAAGTATTAGATTTCTGAATAATAATGCTATAAAGGAATTACTTAAGACCATTCTTTAATACATTCGAAGCAAAACGAGTGTTTACAGTCAAGTATTGTTGCCTATTTAGTAAAATTTTTAGTTATTGAAAATGGATTTACTAATTTTTTTAATTTGAAATCTATCTTATTTTAAACTGTAAAATTCTATGATTCCAATAAGTTAGCTTATAAAATTTTGTACACTTAACATTTCTGGGGACATTCAAATAAAAAGATGCTTGTAAAATCAATTTAGTTTTTTTGTGTGGTAAATTCACATTAATAATATTGAATTTTGTTAATTAAAATTAAATTTATTCAAGAGAATGAAAGGGAAACAAGAAAGATTAAGCAAATAATAATAAATAGATAGATAGATAAATAAATAAATAAGAATGTAAGTAGGAAATTATAGATTAATAGTGATTTCAGAAGATAATCAATAAACAAATCAATTTCTTTTTTGTGTGGATTTAAAAAACGATATGTATGTAATTTTCAGGTACTTCCTATTTAAGGAAGTAGCATTTTCTATTTTAAGTTATTTTACAGTAAAAGAGGTATGCATTCATTTATATGCAAATATATGTAAATATATCTCTATGAATACATGTATGAATGATTGTATATTTATGTGAATGTATGTATGTATGCCTGTGAGTTTGTATGTATGAATATGTGTGTGTTTTGGTTTGGTTTGAAGTACAATAACAATTCAAAAAGTATGTATGTGATAAAGAAAATTAAATAATGTATTGTTAAAAAATACTTTGTTCCTTTTGGATCTCAGACAAATAGAGCAGTTGTCTTTATTGGAGTCTTGTTAAACCTTTCTAATCTTATTTACCTTGAGAATACTCAAGTTTGTTTAATTTTTGATATCTGGTTTGACCATATTTATTTTGCTCAGTGAGAAGGAATAAATTTAGTAAAGGCAGTTTCGTTCGTAGTTTTTTGATAATTTAGTTTTTTTATTTTTTTTAAATCAATTAATTTTTATAATATTGGAGTTGTTAAAGGAATAAGATAATAAAAAAAGCTAATAATTAATTAAAAACAAATAATAAGAACAACAATACAAGCAGCTCATAAATTGATCTTCCACTAATATTTTAATTAAAAAATTTTTAAGTTAAAAATAATAAATTAATAAACAATTAATTTATCTGTTTATCAACATACCTACCCCTATCAATATTATTAGAAGCTATTATTACATAAATAAATCACTAATTACCATAATCACCCATTTAACTTCTTCACTTTCAATCTTATAAAATTTGTTATCTGAAATCAATAATTGAAAGCACTAATGCAAATAAGTTCTTTAAATTTCTTACTACTCAGCTTTCAATTTTTAAATGCTTTTGACACAATTTTCTATTTCATTTTTTATTCTACAAACAAATATGAATTTTGGGGTAAAAATTAATATTTTCTTGTTTAAAATAAATATACTTTCACTGCATCAATTAATTAAAAGCCATGTCACAATCAACAAACAACTTCAAAATAACGTTAATTCAGATTGTTGGCTTAAGCCAAGACTTAAACTCAAAAAGAAATTTTAGAAGAGGATTTAAATATTTAAAATAAATAAATAAACAAATCTTTATTTCATGTAATTACTGCTTTTTAATAGAAATTAAAATTTACAAGAAATAAAAAACCTGATTGAATTTGTATTATTTGTTATTTAAATATTTAGTGTAATCTTCATTTTCTATGAATGCTCACATTTAATCTGTCACAAATATACACAATATAATATACCTAAAATACTTACTTTTACTGTACTTAACCTTGAATTTGCATGATAAAAATTGGTAAATATGACTAGAAAATCAGATATTTCAAGAAACATCTTTTCCTTTGTAGAAGAATTATTTATTATAAAAAAGTTGAAGCTCTGAATAATAATTCACTGCTTATTTTTGTAATCAAATTTTTACTATTAAAATACAAAATTTGCTATTTCTAATGATTTGACCTTACAAGTCACCTCTTACAGTTTTGATGAAAACTCGTATTTTATTTTTCCTAAAATTCATCAAATTATTGTATTTTTAATACCATAATTTTTTTAAATTTAAATTTTTTTAATTTCATTTAAAACCATACATTTAGATATTTTTTATGCATACAGTAAAACTCAATTTACGAAAATCTTACTATCTACAAATTTGCTTATACCGATCATATTTTATTTGTGAAACATATGGAATAGCATTGTTTGATATCCAGATTATATTCTTGAGCTGAAGTAGAAATCAATATGCATTATGCCTCAATCCAAAGTAGTCACTTATTTAACTGGTTTTGAAATTTTTTCTGACTATTTATTCAGTAAAACTTCTCATAATTTTTAAATAATTAAAACATTAAGTAATCTATTTGTGTAGACTTATTTGTTTTAATAAAGTATAAAAAAATTTGATATTTTTTGGACTAAGTTTGCTCAAACCTTTTTTTTAACAGCTTAGATGAATATTAATTGTACTCGTATTTACATTTTTGTTAGTATCATAAATATAAAACTCAATATTTGTTATATAATTTCGATGGATAATTAGTATTTTTAAAGATTTGCTTTAAAGATATTCAGAATATTTATTATCATATTTTACACTACAAATAAAATAGCATTACACTATTAAAATTTAATTTACTTTATTTGGTGGAATTGAAGCTGGCATTTATTAATAAATATTCAATAAACTTTCAATGCTTAAAATGATGTTTTTTGTGGTTTATATTTTCAAAATATTTATCTATTTTGCATTTTATTTATTTTTTGAAGAGTAACAGTACTTGTACACATCATTTAATAAATCGATTGAAATTTTGATAAAATTAAACAAATAAGCTGGAAAATACAATTTGGTATTATCAAAAAATAATAAAAATATATTACAATTAAAATAATAATAATAATAATTTACTCATAAGAATTTTCTGTTGTAGTTTGATTTTTTTAAAAAGTTGTTTTACAAATGTAAGACAATCAATCAACCAACAATTAATTGGGAATAAAGTAGAGGTTTTGACTAAAATAAGGTTAATTTCAGAGAAAACAAATTTAATTTATTGTTAGTATTTTTGTGATATTTTAGCTTTTTATTAACTGAAGCACAAAAAATAAATATAAATATATGATAAATCTCATATTACTTTCGCCATTAAGCTTAAAAATTATTTTTATTTGATTGTATTTTTCTTTTTAAATCTAATCAAAAAACAACTCAATTTTCTTTAGAAAAATTTTCGGTTTGGTTGGTTTCTTTGAAAATGGAATTAGAGCTATTGCTATTGTCTGTAGAGTTTGATTCTTCGCTTTATAAAGATGTCCTGCTTCTTTTTTCTTGCTTTCTCTTTTATTTTTCCTCTCTTTTGAGCCTATTAGATTCTCTTTTTAATTTTTTGTACTCATCTTACTCAGTTCGGCAGAAGTAAAGAGGTAATAGTATTATCAAAACTGCGGCTACCACAAAAAAGAAATTTTCATACATTTCATATTCTGACTCATCATCCAGTTATATATTTGGACCTTTATAATCCATCTATGCTTATTGCTTATTGTATCCTAAAATATATTTGTTTTGATGTATGTGAATATGATCTTTGAATAATTATTGCAATAATAAATATTGTATTCTATTTATTAGTTATCTATCTATCTATTTTGATAAATTTTATTAATGTTATTGTTAAATATTTTGATTTTAAGATAGAAGAATCAATCAATTTCTATCAGCAGCATATTTGATCAAATCATAAACTTACCTAATATTATTTATTATTAATTTCAAAAACAACCTACAATTTAAAAATTTCTCATTAGATTAGAAATCTCTTTTGATAAAACAATTATTTAATTAATTAGTTGCAAACTAGCTAGATATATAATAAAAGGAGTGAAATAGATTAAGTAGAAATCCATCAAAAGCAATTATAGCATTATTGTCAGATAACTAATTTTACTGATTTGAATACAGCTTAAAGTGATTTAAAAAAGATAAGCATAATCAGTTCGAATAGATGATTGACCCGCATACAATCAAGTACATTTCAGGATAGATTAATGGTAATTTTTTTCATATAGTAATTCTGATCTTAAAGTGAACCGATCAGCCTAATTCCTTTTAAAGCATGAAATGCTTTTAGATTTTGCTAATTTTAAAATATTTATTTATAAAAGAGGATACTATTTTTCAAGATAAAAAGCGTAGAAGCGAAATGATACGCATAATGATACAGACAATGCATAACCTTGGATTGGTGTAAATAAACTATTTTTTATTTTTAGAATGAAAGTTTAAAATCAGCATTAAGATTGCTCTTAAAAGAGCTTAAAATGTTTTACTAAGTATTTTAAATGAGGCTTTAACATATATTCATTTATTAGTTAATCTGCAGAAACTCTGTAAAAAGAATCAAGCATCAATTTAGACTCAGATATATTGCATGGCTTTAAGTAATCCATTTTAAATGCTGAGTGGAACAAAGTAATAATAATTAATTATTGCTTATTTAAAAAATGTTTTATGTATTTTGTATTTTAGGCTTTAGAATATTTAGAAAAGACGAATGCAGACAAAGAATCCTTTTTTGTAATTTACTAATTTACTTTATAAACTGATTGATTTATTTATTCAACAAAATAATAATTTAGAAAGCTCAACAACTGATAATTTAATAAAAATACATTGAGCTTCTTGAACAAAAGGACATAGAAAATGCATTAAAAGTTCTTAGAGAAGAGCTTTCTTATTTAATCAATGATTAGCAATATCTTTTTAAGCTTTCATCTCTCTTAATCTGCAGAAATTCGAAAGAAATGTATGAAAAAATAGGATTCAATCGATCTCAATCTAATTCTAGAAGCTCTCTAATAGAGCTCATTTAAGATCAGTGCAATATTCCAGGATTGATGCAATCAAGAGTTATGGAAGTAAACTTAAGCAATCTTATAATATATATAATTGTATTTATTTTTTAAAGAAACTGGTCAAAGAAAGTCTTATATTCTAAACACTTCAGTGTCCTTGTCATATTTAGAATTCTCACGAAAGCATATGCTTGGTTTAAGTATCTTGTATTAAAAGAAATATTTTTGATGATTAAATACACTTTTTACAAATAGGATCATGTTTGTAGACAGCTTTAGTCACCTTAAGAGCTTGTAGAAACAAAAAAAGAACATAAATCAGAAGTAATTTATTATTATCATGGATTTAATTTAAGATTTTAAAATAGCATCGATAAAATAAATAATTTTAATTACAAGGTTACACTCATTAAATTCAACAGATAAGGAAGCATGCTTGTTAGTGTTGGATTAGAAAGAGAAATTTTTATTTGGAAATATGATCCTAAGTCACATAAACTAACTTATCACTAAAAAATACCTTAAGAAAAATCTAGGCAATTGTAAGTGGAGATAACAAGTATAGAATTCGATAATACTGATTAATATCTCGCCATTGGATATGATGATGGCAAAATTATAATTTATAACACTGTAAAATTTGATTAGTAGTAGATTACAAATATGTCCCAAATTTATCATTAAGCTCCTGTTCTTACACTAGCTTATCATCCTTAAACTAATAGCCTATACTCTGCTGGAGCTGATCCTTATATGTTAGTTTTCTCTAATAATGGAAAAGAAGTAATTTGCAATTAATTAGTTAGTTATTTTTGATTACTTTACTCAAACATAATTATTTGGCTCAAGAGTTCCCAATAAAATCAATCTGTTTATAAATTCCTTAAAATATGCGTTTGTTGAGTATTATTTAAATATTCTCTTTTGATTATTTTAAGATTAAGCTTATATTACACTCAAAGCATTACAAATATTTATTCTTTAAATTTATTTATTTTTCTAATGTAAGTTAAAAAGAGCTGCATCAAAAGCAATCTTTTTACTTCTTTACAGATTGATTTTGAACAATGCCGATTAAACATTTAAATAGCGTAACATATTTAAATAGTGATATCATCATCTTTCTATAAGGACTAAATTTGCAACCAACCTAAACAATTTTTTTGAAATTCAAAAGCCTTGAATTTTAGTTTAATTCAATAAAAAGTAGTGGTTTCTGCTTTTATTTAATTCCAATTTGCCTGTAACCCCCCTAATATGTTTATCGCCTAATCCATACAATTATATTCAATTTTGAATTAAAAATTAACTCATGAACTAAAACTAATTTAATACTTTTTTTTCAAAATTTACCCTATAGCTAGAAAAAAAGATTCCCTCAACGAAAACTAAAGACATGAAGTTCATAAACAAAGGAAATCAATTAGTCTAACTAAGTGCATGTAAGCCAGTAGTTAGTATTTTTGATTTAGCCTCAGAACAAGTTCTTTATCAGTAATTAAAACATTAATTTAAAAAATATTTAAAACTATGATATTCAATAATTAAAAACGAATTGCTTTCCTTAAAATTAAAAAGAATTCAAGAAGAAGAATGCATTTTATCAATGAATGTCAGTTTCAATGAGAAATTCCTTTTGGTCAACACATCCTAAAAAGAACCGGTAAGGGTTTTTTATTTATGTATTTATTTATTTATTTCTTAATTTGATTTAAGATATGAAATCAATTAATTTGTAAAGCGTCTTAGTAAAAAAATTTAGATTACTAATTTGCAATTTGTAAGCAATTGAAATAATTAATGACCTAAAAAACCTAAAATGAACATTTGTGATTAAAAAACATCACATATACTTTACTTTCTATCAAAACTTTATATTGAGAGAATTTAAAAAAATCAATATTTAATTCTTTCTATATTAGAAAAATTTTGTATTTAATGTAAAAGAAGTAAAAAAAAATTTATCTAACTACAAAAAATTTCTGAATCTTTTGATTCTAAATTCAATTTTTATTATAATTTTTGTCTTTCTACGAACCGATGAATTTAATTAAATTAAGAGAATTTTATATTCACTTACATTATTTTGCTATCAATCTCTTCATCAAATAAAGTAAGTTTCAAGCACTCTGGTTTATAAATCTTTAATCAAATGTTTTTTAATTTCTAATTATCAAACACAATTTAATAAATTTGTACTTATTTCTAACTTTTTTGACTAAAATAAGAATATTTACTTTATACCTTCTAGTTACTCAAAATATAAAAAATTTTGGAACAAACATTTTAGTTTTTAATTTTGTAATTTATTTTAATTAAAATTAGGAATTGCACTTGTGGGATTTAGAACTAAGAGAATAAGTAAATACATACAAAGGGCATTAATAGCGAGAATTTTAATTAGGATGTACGTTTGGAGGAAATGATGATATGTTTGTGGTGTAGGGTTGCGAAACAGGCAATATTTTTATTTGGTAAACCTTTAATAGCAAATTCATTACTTAAATCAAGGCGCACCTTCTCAATAAAGCTGTTAATTAAGTCATCTTTCACCCCATCGATAAAACTACCATGATTTCCTGTTCAGATGACCAAACAATAAAAGTCTGGACTTCTGAAATTATTACTCAATAACAAAGTAAAAAATTTTTAAATTGACTTTTTTTAACAGAATCAGTGTAAGAAACTTTACTTGCAAACATAATTTGGAAAATAGTAATTTATCAAAACGCAGTAAAAACATTTCCTAAATATTTCAGTTGAAAAAAAATTTTATACATCACTTTTTTTGGGCAAGTTTTTTGATATTTTAATTACGTTTAATTTCAAAAAAGGTAAGTTTATTTAGCTGATAATCAATCTGTAAAGTCCTTAGAATTGTAGAGAAAAAGATGATTATTTAAATTAGTTTAAAAATGATAAATAATAAATATTTAATCCCCACTTTATTTTATCAAGGAAAATAATAAACAATAGATAGATAGATGGATTTTTAAAATTAAATCTAAATGAATTTTACTTTGTTTCTTTTCTAATTTGTTAGATTTACATTTTATTTAATAAGAATCCATCTCATTTAAAACTATTAATAGAATTAATTACATACATTCTTTATAACTTTGAAATCGATTTTATAAGATAGCAATTACATTTAATTTAAATAAAATTTCACATTTTTTTTTTGCTTCTTTGATATTTCTCTGTATTCAAAATATAAATCTTTTTATTTCTTAATTGCTTCTAGAAAATTACATTTTACAATTATTCAAAAAGATAAATTTTTTTAAATAGAGTTTTATTTAAGCATTTAACTATATTTTAAAATATTAAATTCATAAATTAACCAATAAACTTTGAAGATTAACAAACAGCTGAAATTTATTCTATTCACGAAGAAGATGAAGATGTAACTATTACGGGGATAAGGTAACCGGGAGCTAGACTAGATGCAGATGATAATGAAGATATGGACTAAGTCGAATTCAACTTGAGAAATCCCAGTGATAATGGTGAAGAAGATGAAGAAGAGGAAGATGACGATAACTAAGTAGAAGATGATGACGATGTAGATGATGAAGAAGATATTTACGAAGACGATTAGCACAGTATTAATTATTTTAATATTATTTGAGATTAATAAAATTTTAATTTATTTATTTATTAATTATAAAAAGATAGCTAAATGGAAGAAGAGGAAGAAGAGGATGAAGAAGAAGAAGATGAAGGTCATGAAGATTTTGACGTTGATGAAGGAACTGAAGAAATTGATGATGAATGCTCTTAATATGAAAATCAGCAAAACCCCTAACCGTGATATTATTAATTTAACAGATAGAGATACCTCTATAAATAGTTTGCAAACAAAATTTTAATTAGTTTACTGATAACTTACTTACTTACATTTCAAGTTATTATTTAGACCAAAATAAAAACTAAATCTAAAATAATATATATAAATATTCATATATAAAATACTACTATACTAATATTATATATCTTGTAGTCATTTAATTTAATTAAGGAAATATAATTTACAATTTATTATTCATTATTTAATTTTCTTATTAAATATCACATTTTTAATAAATTAATTACAGAAAAGCTACAAAAAAAACTAAACAAATGAAGATTTTGTATTTTTTTATAAATTAATAAATAAAAATATTTGCTCAAATAATTTATTATAAATTGATAAATCTTCTCATTAAAAGAATTCTCTTTATTTATTTTTGATCGAATAATAATTTACATCCAATAATATTTATAAAGTTTTAATATTAGCAAACAAGAATATTGGAATACAAATATATTAAATTCTTATTCTAAAAAAACATATTAAAATTTAAAAAATTTTTTGAAATAAAATTTATGTTTGTATTGAATATTATTTAAAACAAAAATCTTGTAACTTTAATGAGAAATAAGATAAAGTATTTATATATAATATGAATTTATTTATACTGTATATCCAAAAATATTTATAAAGTTTTAATATTAGCAAAACAAGAATAATTAGGAATAATAATATATTAAATGATTATCTTTAAAAAAAAACAAATTAAAATTTTATAATTGTTTTGAAATTTATTTTATGTGATTTATTGATAAATTCGATAAATAATTTATATGTAAAACAAAATTTTTTGTAGATTTATTTTGAAATTAGATAATGAATTTATAAAAATAAAATATGAATTTATACTGTATATCCAAAAATATATAAAAAGTTTTATTGTCAACAAAACAAGAACAATTAGCAATATGTTAATCGCTTATCTCAAAAAAAAAATTTAAATTTTATGATTATTTTTTTAAAAATTGTATGGTTGCTTTGAGTTTTATTTAAAACAAAAATTCATTTAGATATATTGAGAAATTCGATAAAGTATTTATATTTAAAATTATTTGGAAATTAGATAAATCATTTATATAGTTTTAATATTAGTAAAACAAGAATAATTAGAAATAATAATATATTAATTGCTTATCTTATAAAAAAAAACAAAATAAAATTTTTAAATTGTTTTGAAATTTATTTTATGTTTGTATTGACTTTTATATAAAACAAAAATCTTAAAATCTTGCAGATTTATTGAGAAAAATAGAGAATGCATTTATATTTAAAATAAGAATTTTTACTCTATATCCAAAAATATAAAAAAAGTTTTAATATTATCAAATGAAGAATAATTAGGAAAAATAATAAATAAATTGTTTATCTTTAAAAAAAGCAAGTTAAATTTTATAATTGTTTTGAAATAAATTTTTATTTTATGTTATTCTAAACATCTATTTAAAAAAAAACAAAATTATTGTAGATTTATTGAGAATTTAGATAAATTATTTATTTATTTATTTTTAAAATAAGCATTTATTTTAATATTGTTTTTTATTTGTTATAAAATATGAATAGAATTTTATTTTGTGATTTAAAATTAATAACTGGCATACTCATATATATTTTAGATAAGAAAACTATTATATTTATTTTTTTTATTTTTGGTAGGATATTTCAATTTTTAGTCAAGTGCATGTCCTCTCTTTGATAAATAAATCTAATCTATCTTAATTTCTACATGAGTTCTTGAATAGAATCTGATCCTTTTAATTTAAAAATGAATTTTAGTAAGTTTTTAATGCAATATTTGTATTTATATAATGGATTTGCTTTATCGTCAGGGATTGTTCACCGATTTATTGGTCCACATACTTGGGATTTGGTCCGCCCATCGTTTTGTCATCAGTTGATTAAAGCAAATCACATTAACATATAACAAACAGTAGAATGAATTAAGAAGCTATATTTTTACTGCTTAATTCTTACATATAGTATGCTACAGTTAATTTATTTAATTAATTACCATTATTTTTTTCTATTATCTCTGCAAACATTATCTCATTTAAGATAGGAATGATACTCTCAAAGATTTATCTTTCAATCATTAAGTTCAAGTTCTCTTTTAATGAATAAATTCATTTGAAGGGTGTTTTTCTTCTAAGCTTGTTTGTTTGGTCATCTTTTTAAATACAGATTGCTAGTAAAAATCAAGAATTCTTTCTTTCTACTTTAGTCTGATTTAATCTCATTTTATTTTTTTCACATTTTTTAACTTTTAAAGGTTGATTTAATCCTATTATTTTTTTATTTTTATTAAGTTTTTTTTATTTAATCTGAGATTCTTCAGTTTTTAACACTTTGAAAGACCTTATTTTAATTCATATAATTTGAACCTATTATTTACATATCTAATTATTTAATTTGCTCCTAAAGGATAAAAAATAAATTCTTAATCAATAAAATTAATAATCAAAAAATGGGAGGACCCATAATTAATTATTATTTTTTTTAAATATGTAAACATTAATTGGCAAATAAAAAAATAAACAAAAATTTACACTAAAATATATTACGACTAAATTGTTTTTATAAACTAAAAAATTAAGCGTCTATTTAAAATAAGAGTATTTTATTTTTTGTATATAAATAAATATTAAGGAATTTATTAAACACATAAATTTATTTAAAAAATCTTAAATCAAACATCTACAAAAATATTCCAACACTAAATATAGTTTTTTTTTAAATTATTAATATTCTACAAAAATTTTAATAAAATACATGTAGATTAATGAAAATGTATTTTAGAAAAAGATCTAATTAATTATTTTACATAAAAAAGAACCCTTTACAATACATGAATGGTAAATGCGTAATTAGAATTTAAAAAAAATAAATTTAAATGATTAACAAGTTATCAATAAGTATATAAAAAAATAAAACTCCTTTCTTTTCAAGAAACAAACAAATACATGAATTAATTGCAAAACTAAAAATGGAAGGTTAAGGTGATATCATATTTTTAAAAAAGGTAACAGGTTCAGAAGGATTCATTTTTTAAAATAAATAACAGGTAATTAAAAACTAGACTTACAGTTAAACCAGTTTAAAAAGTAGTTCTTAAGCAAGAGAATGGAAATTTAATTCATCTATTTAGATCAAAAAATTTAAATTCAAAACACTTGGATTAAAAACACTAATTACTTACTATTAGGGCTATTTTAGCCTTAAACGAGTTTTAAAAAAATTTGTTAGTAAACTGAAGGACATATTTAAAAAAGGATTTCTTCTGCAAAAGCTTTAGTAATAGTAGAATACAACCACATGCAAAGTTACTTAATAAATATATGATAAAATTATTAAATATATAAAATATTTTTTTGAAAATATTATATGTTAAATCAATAGTTTTTAATATAAATATAAAATCCTTAATATTTTAGTTAATTACTTTCAAAAAATTAAATATTAATATTTCTACTTAAAGTGAATAGAAAATCATAAAAATTTTAATAGTTTAATGTTATGATATTAAATTAATTGTATCTATTAAAAATAAAAGAAAAAACCATATTAAATGTCCCATATTTTATAGAAAAACATCAAGAAATATTTATTTAACTCTTTTAAAATAATTAAATCAATTTTAAAAAGTTTTTTGATAAAAAAGAATTCATTTCAAATTAGTTTTATATTGAATGTATAATCAGGTTAAATGAAGTCTCAAAGGCAAATTCTAAACTTAATTTTATCATTTTATTTAAAATCAAACTAATTTAAATTAATCATAAATTTATCAATTTTAAAAACTAAACAACTAAATAATTTTAATAGCTTAATTATATTTTTAAACCCTTATATCAACAAAGCAAATTTGAAAAGTAATCAGAAATTTATTTAATAGTATGATTAAGGTATTAAAAAAAAAATGATAAGTATTTAATGAGACTAAAAGACAGAATTATATAATTTTTTCTGTACGTGTAAGAATGAATGGTGAATAAAATATAAAAAGTATTCCATGAATAAATTTTATAAATTTCAATTGATTGTTATTTATATTAAAACTATGAATGGCTATTTATTAAAATTAAGTTATTGCTCATTTTATTAAATACAATTGATAAACAGATTGATTAATCTATAAGCTCATCTTATTGTGCATATAGTATATATTATTGATTGAATATTAAAGATTAAAAATACTACTAAATAAATAAACAATATAATAATTTTACTCTAATTTAACTCAAACCTAATTTGTAGTAAAATTTAATGAATCATAAAAGATCAAACACTTTAGGGGACATCCTACCCTAATCTACTACTAGCTACGGTTGTTCTACAAGGAGAGATTATAATTATCCTACTTTAAAGATGATGGGAGTAGATTGGGTTTTTTTAGAAGAAACATCTAAAACAATAAATATGAAATACAACAGAATGAAAAGCAAGCCTTCATTGTGGCTACCTTCCACTTCAACTAATGCTAATAGTAAACAATACTAGTATATTTAGCCTAGATATTTGAATGCGAAATAGATGACTCAAAGCAATTATAATACTGAAGTACGCTCATCAAGAAGTACTTTTAATCAAACTAATAGGTCTCCAATCAATTTAAGTGAAGGCATTTCTACAACCTGCATTACAACTCCTATACCAAATATTGATTAATCATGTAGCAACTCTATAATGTCTCCCATAAAGCAACAATTACTCAGCTCAACTACAAAATCAGGCTATTATTTTTAATAAAAGAATGAGTAGATGACAAAAGAATTAAAAAAAAGGAATAGAACGGATCCTTGCAGAATTAATTCGAGTAAAATTCTTATGCGAGTTTTATTTGATAAATATTGTTTAATTATTATATTTGTATTTACTAATTAATATTTTTCATAATAATTTTATTAAATATAGCATTTGATGAAATTGGAGACATTAAGGAATAGGAAGAATATGATTAAATATGGTCAAGCATAGTTGAAAATTCTTGTTCTGGAATAGAAAATCCTGTTATTGAAGAAAAAGTTAACAACCTCCTAAAAGAAATAGAAGAGGAAGATTAAATGAAAAATGAAGAAAAGTTAATTTTGCAAAAGTATTTAAAGCAACATGAAAAAAGAGAGTAAAGTGATGATTAGTTTAGTAAACAAATAATTACTGCAAACCAAGAATTTAGTAAACTACAATAGATTATTTAAAAAGATAAATCTTTTAAAAATGCTTACTAGAACAAATACAAATTCTATTAAAACTGCTTTTAGTTAAAATTGTAATTTTTAAATTAATTTGAATAACAATTTCAATCAAAATTAGTTTATTCAAACAAACAATAATTTTTTGTAATTTTTAGGTAAAATTAGGAAGCAGCAAATTAAGATATGAACGAAAATCAAAGATTTCATAGCATCGTGCAATAATCACCAATCCCTCTTCAAGCTATTTATAATAAGGAAATAAATCAATAAAAGGATCTAAAATAAATTTATCTTAAATATGAGAAAGAACCTATTGAAATTAAAGTTCCTTCTAGTTAAGTAGTAAAAAAATTAGTGGATTAAAGATGCAGAAGAAAAAATAGAACACTTTCTATATAAGATAATAAAAATTTAAAAGATTAGTCAACAAAAAATAAAGAATATAATGAAAACGATTAATAATTAACTGAAATGTATAAAGATTATATCCATGAGAAAGTAATTTAAGGTTATGTAGTTAGCAATGAATTAAAAAATAATCTCAATCAAATTACAACAAATGAATTATTAAATAATAATTATAACTATAATTTGTAAACTTAAAATGATTTTCATAATAGAAATAAGCAAAGCAACAAAAAGCAAATTAGTTTCAACAACTAAAATTAATCTAATTCGAATGAGTACAAAAAAGAAATATCAACTAGTAAAATTAGAAGTAAAAGTGTGCTAGATTAAAAAAGAAATACTAAAATTGATGCAATGAAACTTCCAAATTTGAATGAAAATAAAATTAATAGACCATACATTAACTCTGCATTAATTGATTGCTACACTCCTAATATCTAGGCAAAAAGTGTAAAGTCTAAGCTCTATGATTCTTATTATATAACACCTTAAAAAAGAAATAAATTGTATCAACTAAAATTGGATAGCATTAATCTAATAAAAGATACACAAAGAAATTTTTTAGAGGAGCAAATGCTCTTTAATTATAAATGAATAAATAAATTATTAAATTTTCTAAAAAAAATATTTTAAATAAATCCTTTTTATTTAAATTAATTCAAAAACTTAAAAAAATTGATGTAAAAATTAATATAAAAATAATAAAATCTACTAAAAATCTTAATTTTGTAAAATAATTCTATAAAAATGCGTTAAAAATAAGTTTTAATTAACAAAAATTTAATTAGTATGAAGATTTTCTTCAAAAAACATTTTATTTTAAAATTGAATTAAAAATTTCATAAATAAATTAATTAATTAATTTAAAATAAATTGAATATTTTCAGAATGAAATAAAAAAGTTTTTATCTTTTAACAAAAATTGAATCTCTCTTTTTATATGTAAATAAATCTAAATAGTAAAGAAGATATCAAAGATATAAGAAATTATTAGTTTGTTACTTTTTTTATTAAGTTACTTTACTTTTTTAAGAAGAAGATACTATTGTGTGTTGATAAATACAAAGCATGAATATAAACATTTTTAAGATAAAAAATACAAAATTTTTAAAATTAAATCAAATTTAATTTACAGATTTAATTTACAACTCAAAATATTATCATTTATTAATATTTTAAATTTATATCTCTTTTCAAACAAGAATAAAGTTAATTATTAAAAAAAGGAAATTCATTTTTATATTTCATACTTTAATGAAAAAAAGTAAATTAAAAACTTATTTTTTTACAATCCTGAAATAAAATTTGTTTTTTTTCAAACCTTAAATTCAATCGCAATATAAAAAATACACTTTATGATAAATAAATTGTATCTAATAAAATATAAAATGTAAGAATATAAATATAAGTTATTATGAAAGATAATTTAATAATATTAATAAGTAATCAATAAATTTCACATTAATTTTTGATTAAGCTTTTGTTTTCTAATTCATTGTATAAAATATCGTTGGTAAAAGTAATCGGGTAGGCTACTATTGATTCAGTTGAGTAAATAACTCATTTTAATAATAATTAGTTTTTTATAATAAGTAATAAATTAATTTGACATTAATTTTCATTATCCTTTTCTTTTATTATTTGTTTTATAAAAAATGGTTGGTAATAGAAATCGGGTAGGAAATTAATTATACAAATGAGTAAATAATTCATTTTAAAAATATTTAATTTTTTTTGTTTGATAATATTTTTTTAGATATTTTTTATTAAAGAAATTCATATTTTTTATTAAGTTACTAGTCGAATTTTTGAGTATCAATTTCATCATTATTTTTAACCATTCTCTCCAATAAAACTTTTTCTAGAATCAATTTGTTTCGTTCTAAATTGTTTTAATTGTAAGCAAAATGTCTTTCTACAGGATTGAAGTTAGGTAAAAATTTTTAGAGTAATTTAAAAGAATCCATGTTAATAGGACTGCTTATTTTAGTCTATGTTTTTTTGACTTTTGTATCTGGTTCTGAGCTTAAAAAGTCTCTGTTTTCATTTATGTATTTACAAAGTATTTTTGATATCTCTTGGTTGCAATTTTTTTACTTATTTCTTTCAGAAATTTCATCATTTTACTTAAAAAATTAATATTTTTAAATTTCATTTGGAGGAGATTAACTATTATACGAAGAGGTGAAATTTTTTTCATCTTAAAACCTCGTTTCTCTTTAGTTATCTTTAATTATAGAAGTGTCTTAATAATTTGGTTTTTATTCATCTTTTTGCTATTCTTCTTCCAACTTCATGGAAAATATGTGCTTTTACTTGTAGTAACTTTAGTTAAATGGATTGTATATTTCAGGATTTTTACCATTTAGTTATTTTGATATCATTTAAATTTAAGATAAAGATTCTTTGCTTGACATGTTCTGACCAGTTTAGTTTGTAATTGTTTTAGGTTGCAAAATCTTATCTAGTGTTACTTGCCTTTTAAAAAAATTCTAAAATTTCTAGTCAAAACAGTCTTATTTGTATTATTGTTACTTTTTTTGCAGTATGGTTTTTCTTAAAATATTATCTCCTTCAATAGAGACTTGTTAATTTTTAAGCTCTTAATTGTCCTATTTTGTTGTGTAAAATGTTTCCATAGAAGATCTAAGAGACTTAGCTTTGGTGAAAGGTGATTTGCTACTCTAATTTCTAGTTGTTTGGTAATTTGTATTTTCTTATTCACTTTAATGGAATTAAAATACTTTACTATTTTAATCTTCTCTTTTCATTTCTCTAAAAATTTTGTGTTTATGCTATTGGATTTTTCCATACCTCAGACTTTTCATAATTTAATTAAAATCTCTTTAAGCCTCAGATGCTTCTAAAATTTGATTTTTTATTTCATTTGTAACATTTTCTTCAGTATTATTCTAGCTTTTCTTAATCAAAAACTCCTTCTACATTAATCGATCATAATTTGTTCTAGCTTCTAAACTACTGCTCATTTTTTAGCTTCTTTTAAATATTTCTGTATGAGGTAATTCTTCTTCTTCTGTTCTTTAAGTTAGAGGTAGTTAGAAATTACTTTGATGTTCATATTTCATATCTTTGAAATCTCTCGTAATGGTTTAAGTAGTGTTATTTAAATGAAATATCTTATTTTAGAATTAGGTGGAGCTAAAAAATTTGTTTTTTGGCAATATATATTGATTCTCTATGTCTTGAATTGCTTATTAGCTTCTAAGCTTAGTTTCTAATTAGTTACCATTATTTTGTTTGTTGTTTTGCAATAGGTTGGTATTCAACTTTTTGAAATTTGCACTGCTGTACTTACACGAATTTGGTATATTTATTTAGTAAATATTGTTATTTTAGGTAATATTAAGATTCTTTAAATTGTCGACTTCAGAAAAATTATTTTGCTTATATAAGCTACTTTATTCTCCTAATGCTCTTAGTTATTTAATGCTTTACTTATTTCTTTTCTGATTTGAGACACTTTGTGAAAGCAAATAAATATTTGACAGTAAATCAGTATTTTGAATATTCTGCGGTCTAACTCGAACTAGCCCTCCTAACTAAGAGCTGTTAGTTTTATAAAAAGACTGTGCTGTATTGTTATTAGTGAAATCTGATTAGCAGTTATCTTAATATTTGAAAACTTAAAAGTTTTATTCTGTAGATATTAGCTGCTGTAAAAACTATTCCTTCTAATTTTTTTTATTGTTCTTTTCAACCTTGTAGTATCTACTAGAAGGTATCTACTAAGTATCATTCAGACTTGCTTCTTGCATAGCTTTTTTCGAACTTTTATTCTTAACAGTATAGCAAATATTCTACTTTCACTTAACTTAAACAGATTTATTTTTTGAATATATCAAATTAATTAATTATTAAAAAATTTGTCATTTAATCAAATAAATATTATCAGTAGAAGTATAATGAAATTTCAAATGGAAAAAAAAATCATGTAATTTTTTGATTCTAAAATTTATTCTGCTATTTAATCAATCATAATTAGACAGCTTTTTTAATTGGTTTTTAATAAAATGTATAATGCCCTTATTATACTTTTTATCTATGATAATTAAGATAACCTCTTTAGATTAAAATAGTACATGCACTTTATTTATGAAAATTTTATTATTCATTTTAGGAAATCACTATTTACTTGTCTTTTTATAAATTGAAAAAAAATTGCCTCTACTTGTTATTTTTAATTAAGGAATATAGAAAATTTTTTAAATTTCATGAAAATTTATCAAATCAACATAATAAAATAAGTAAAAAAAGCAATATAAAATAAAAGGTGCTTTTAAAAATAGTAGGTGAAACTCAAAAAAAATCTAGATAAATTAGCATTTAATTGATAGCAAAGTCTTAGAAAGCATTTATAAAGTTTTAATTACCATTTATACATATTTTAGCTTAGCTTTATTTAACGAGGCCAAATAAATTAATACTGTTAAAGTATTGTAATTAACATCAGAAATCCTCAATTAAGGGGCAAGATAAATCATTAAATAGAATAAAACAATTTTATTTTTTAGCAAATTTCAAGCAAAACTAATCAAAGAAAGTACTGCTTAAAAAAATAATCATTTTAGATGATTTAGTTGAAAAATAAAGATATAAACAATATTAAAAAAGAAATATTATAGAGTGGTGAAATTGATCAGCAATCAATTTAAATTAGCAAGTTTCAAAAAGTATCGTTTGATGTGTGTGAAGAAATAATATCACAAAATAAAGAAGGAGATGATAAAGAAAATATTTTTTAAATAAGATGCTCTTCATTAGCGTGTGAGATAATTAGGTATATATCACAGTACATCTTAGCATCTAAGAGAAACAAACCTGAGGTAAATAAGTTAATTTAATTTAGCAGGTATCATTATAAAATTAAAATAGCAAATGAAATATTTATCATAAAATTGATTTATTTATCTTAAATTTTAGCATTTAATGAATTATTATATTCCTATTTAATAAGATTTTATTCAAGGCTTTAAAAAAATAAAGATTTTATTTAGTTCCAATTTATTTTTTTATTTTTAGAAAAGGTTTGATGCTTTTAGAATTTAACCCAGAAGTGAAAAAATGAGATTAAGAGATTTTGGTTTTGATTGCATTGATTGCGGTGATGATGAAAAACTCAGAAGAGGGCGCAGTGGAAGAATTGAGGAAAAAATAGACGTTGAATTATTAAATGAAGAATAAAAATAAAATTTTAGACTGCAATAATTAGTTAATAATTTAATAATATCTAAAAATCCTTAAGATAATGATTTGATTATTACTTTTGAAGATTATTCTCAAGTGTTAAAACAGTTTTAAGCATTTTCTCCTTCTTTATTTTTTGATGGAAATTCTAAAAAAATTATTTTACCAAATAGACATTATAATAATTTTTTCTAAAAACTCCGCCAACTATTAACAAACAAATAATAGATTGTTAGTAAAGAATATGAGTAGTCAGATATAGCTCTGAATTAATAAAATTACAATACAGATTGTACTCCATCTCAATTATCTTTTACATAATATGATTCTTAAGTTGATCAGTAAACTAAAAAAAGTACTCGATAAGATTAATCTAATAAATAGGATCGTATTGAAATAGTTTACTTAAATAAAATCAAATAACTTATCCAGATTTTATCATTGATTTTTGAAAACAACTGCTTTAATTACATTCTTAAATCGGAGAATTTTGATAATTTACTTCAAAAGTAACGTAAAAAAACAGTAGAATTAAATGGAAATATAAATTAAGAAGTTAATAACACTCAATTAAGTGAACCTATTTCATCTGAAAATACTAATAATAACAAGAATACCATGAATTAAGATTAAATAAAAATAAACTAAACAAAAATCCAAGATACATCTTCTAATTATTAAAGCTATTAAAATAGAGTATATACTTATCAGTCTTTGAGAGATAGAGCTGGTTTTGATTTTCCTTACAGAGTAAGTAAAATGTGGGAAGACGAGCTTGAATTTGAATCAGACTCAGAATTAACTGATTCAGAAGAAGATGACGATTTATTTTATTATGGATATCCTCATCCTCATCATAATAAAAATCATATGAATATTGATTTATTAAACCCTAATAGTGGATAAGATTCTATTATCAAGCAAATATTTGCATAGTATGATATGTAATCATATTAAGCTCCTCTCATGATGATGATACCATAGACTACTCCAAGAAGAAGAAACTCTATGGATATGCAAGACTCTCGAAGCAGCAACTAAAATATCTTTGGGTTAGCATAATTTTTTAATCCTTTTGCTGCAGCATCTCATCATTATAATTTACATTACACACCTTAACCTCATTAGTATTATTAAATGTCCCCACAACCAATATAGCATCCACAATCACATTAACACAATCACCTTACTCCTCCACATATCAATTAGTAATAAAATCCAATAATAAATAATTATGCATAATTGCAAAAATAAAACTAATAGTAGCTTTAAAATTAAAATTCCTAGCCGTCTTAAAGCAATGGGAGTTAATAAAATATTTAAAATTAATAGGGACTTAACATTTAAAATCAATCAATAGGATAATCATAACTTTAACAAAAGCAATAGTAACAATCATAGCAAATTAATTAACAAAGTTAAAATCTTTATGGATTAGGTTAACAATAATAAAATTAATAATAGCAGCATAGTATGTAATAAAATATGATGGGTCATGGATTTAATCATTACAATCTTGCAACACATAATTTACATAACTTAGGCTACGTATAAAATTTACCAATAAACCTACATAATAATCCTCATTAACATGGCTAAATATTTTTAAATGCACCTCCTCCACATATGTTTTAAATGATTAATAATAATAGTAATAGCAATAATAACAGTTAAGATTTTTATAATCACTTATTTTAAACATAAAACTTTAATAACTAATTTTTTCCTATTCATTTGTAACCTACAACGATGTTTAATGGAAACAAACAAGGTTTAGCTCCAAATAACTCAAACGATAATTAAAAGCATAAAAATTTAGAAAGTTAATAAAATGAAATTATATCAAGTATCAATAAATAATAAACTTAGCAGTAAACTCAAGTAGGCAATCAAAATTAGTCTTAGTAAAAATTAAATTTACAAAATAATAACTATAATTAAATTAATAATGATAACAATAGTTTGAATAATGGTTAATCTCAAAATGGATAATCAAACAAGATATAGCAAAACTAACTAAATAATGTCGATTAATCGTCTATTTTCAAATAAAATTTTTTATCAGGAATACCTCCACAATAATCAATGTCACCATAAATTGGTCTAGATAGTAATAAAATGGATAACTTACCATAATTATTAAATAACAATCAAAATTATAACAAAATTAATAACAATAATTAAAGTTAAAATTAAAATACTTAGTAGCAATAATAATAGTCATCATAACAGTAGCAAAGATCGTTATCTCATCCATCATAAGCTGCAAGTGGTTTTAATATTCTTCCATCTCCAGAATCCATAAATAGTACAAACATTTAATAATAAAATAATATTTAAAATAATCAAAGTCAATAATTGTTGTAGCATCAACAAATAATTAGAAACACGACCAATTTTCAAGATTAAAATTTGTAAAATTTATTACTTTTACCAAACATAATTTAGAATCACTCATTAAATCAAACGCATCAAAACTCCTAGTAGCATATAGCTATGCAAAATCAATAGCATCAACAAATTCCTTCTTAATAATAACTAAATAATAATATTCATAATTCAAGCAAAAAGTAATAAAATTAACAAAGCTAAAATTTTAATTCGATTAATTAAAATATAAGCACAAACAGTAGTCCTAGCCATAATTTCACAATTAACTAAAATAATTTATAAAATAATAACTAGTAAAAGAATAATAGTAAGTCTGCAAATTAGCAAATGCCTGGCTCTCAATAGCATCTATAACAGTACTCAAATTATAAATTAAACAAAAATACTTAATACAACAAAGATGTCTCTCATTTAGTTTCTCCTGTTTAAAAAAATCAAGGACACAAATAGTATTAAAATAACAATAATAACTAGACTTAATAATCACACTCTCCGTTATCTGCTCTATCTTTAGATGATTAAATGATCGGTCCTAGTGTCTCTAATAATAGCAATAATAGCAATAGTAATAATAGTATAAATTCAAATAATTAAAATAGTCATTTCAATAACAATTAATATAACAATCATCCTTATGGATTCAATTAACAAATTAATAATTAAAATAATAATAATAATAATAATAATAATAATAACAATTTTAACAATTATTAAAATCATTTAAGAGGGACCAATTAGAAATAATAAACAAATAGCAATAATTACACAAATAATACAAATTAAAGTTAGAATCAAACCTAAAATTCTACAATTAGAGGGTAAGCTAATTCTTTAGGAGTTCTTCCAGGTGGCAACAATTCTAACTAATCCAATTTTAATACACCATCTTAATAATAATAAAATTAAAATTTTATTCATTAAAGATAATAGAACTAAAATAATAACTTATAATACAATAAACAAAATTTTTAAAATAACAACAATTCTAATTAAAATTCAAACCAAAAAGTAAATTAAGGACAAAGTAATATATCATCAAATGCTAACACTACTAATAGCAATATTAATTAAAATTAGAATAATTAGGGTAATTTGAATTTTAATAACAATACAAACTATTAGTAAAATAAAAAATACCACTAGGATAACTAAACTAACGTTAGCAACATGCATTAAAATAATGTTAATAATCAATAATAATTGTAATATAATAACAATTCTAATGGTAGCAGTAATAATAATAACAGCAATAATAACAACAAATCAAATAAAAAGAAGCTAGGCCATTCTACGAGCTAATAAAGCATAAGCAAAAATAAAAATAATATCGCTAATTAAGTGAATAACTTAAATACGAATCAAAACAATGTTAGTAATTAAATAAATTTGCCAATAATAACAAACATAATATAAAATGTAAACATTGCAAATCCTCAATACCAATAAAATTAAATGTAGTCTAGCTCAAATAATTCTTCTATATCATCAAATAATTCTAATTCTAATAATAGCAATTCTCACAATAGTAATAATAATAACAATGGTTAGCATAGCACTTTTAAGAATTTAAAGGACTAAAAGAGAAATAATAACTTTATAAGAAAGCCACAAAATAATCAAAACAACTAATCTTCATCATAGAACTACAACTAAAACCAATAAACAGTTAACAATAACAATAATACTCTTAATTCTAATCTAAATAATTCATGAAAAAACCTATAAAAATTTAAAGCATATTTAAAAAAATAAATATTTTAATTGAATGACTTTTTATTTTTTAATCCACGTATTTCAAATTTTTTAAATAAAAATAAAATTTAATCAGTTTTATACTTAACTTAAATTCCATCAAAAAGTATTTATTTATATTTGATTTAATTAATTTAAGAGTAGATTAATAATACAAACTTGTAAGATAATTTTAGTTATATTTATCTAAAAAATTAATAGAAATGAAATATTGAACTCTATTTTTTCAAAGCAAATGTATTGCATTCATTCATGTTAATTTGCCAAAATTTTTTATTAATATATTCTAAAAATATTCATTAACTTGAATAAGATTAGATTTTAGAATATTAATAGATAAATTTTTTCCTTAGAGAAAAGATAATCTTAATTAAAAAATAGGTAGATAGATTGATAGAAGAAAAAAATTAAGAAGAGAAATTTTTCAACTAAATAAATGCAACATAGGATATCAACTAATAACATATTTTCATCTGGATCTAGCAATGAAACTGTAGAATAATCCTAGAATAGGGTAATTAAAAAATCTGATGATTTTATTTATTAGATTTTTTAAGATTAATAAATAGAATATATTGAGAGATAAATAATTAAGAATAATATTTTTAATGTTTTTAATATCTGCTACATCTCTTAAGGAAGTGAAGGAAAAGTTTATAAGGCTAAAATGATAGATAGGAGTTACAAATAATTTAAATGTGCTATAAAAATAATATAAATAGCAAAATAGCAAGAAATATTTTAAAAAGAAATTGACATAAGAAATGACATAAATTTGATTGAAGAGGAATATAATAGGCTTTAACCCAACCAAAGAAATGAAAAAATAAATCCGTATGGGATTGTTAAATACTATTATGATTTCAAAACAAAAGAAGGATATTAAGGAGTTGTGATGGAATATTGCAATGAAACATTAGAATCTTTAATGAAAAATGAAAATATATAAAACCACGAGCTCATCAAAGAAACTTTTATCAATAAAACTAATTCGTATAGAGACTTATGCTTTATGCAACTTATTCTCCAAACTTTGAAGGCATTAAATTTTTTGCACTACGAGGATTATATAGGAGGCATAAAAAAAGTGTCTTACATCCATAGAGATATAAAGCCTATGAATATTATGATTCAAATTGATACTGTAAATGAATTCTCTGTCAAAATAATAGATTTAGGAGGAATAAGTAAGTAATCTAAACATGATTAAGATGATTTTGATGGCACAATTGCATTTTACCCACCTGAATATATACAATAATAAGTAACCACTTTTGACAAATCTTCTGATGTTTGGGCTATAGGTATCTGTATATACAGGCTTTTTGCGTAAATTACAAAAAAATGTGTTTTATCTAATATTGATATTATTTTTAAATAAAATTTTTAGAATTTAAGAAAAAGATTAGGTCAAAATCACAAGGAAAAATTTATATGAGGATATGTTAAAAAGGATCAGTTAAATTTGGAATCGTTTAGATGCAATCACTTTAAGATAATAAGAAGGAAACGAAAGAGATTAAATAGTGTATGAGTATGGAAGCGAAATTTTAAAAATACTTCTTACTCAAGACTACCAATAAAGAAATTAAAAGAATTATTTAGAAAAAGTAATCGAAAAAGCTGCTTAATGCGTTTAATATCTTTAAAAAAAATCAAAAAATTAAATTAATGAAAAACCACAAAGTAAACCATAAATGCAATCTTTTCTTTTAAAATAAATGTGCTAAAATCCTAATTTTATAACTGATTCATTAAGTTTTTTAGAAGATTTAAATTTTTACTTTTAAAATAAAAAAGATCAACTGAATGATTACAAATTATTTTTTTAAGTATTTGCTGGATTTTTATATTAAAATTTTTAATCTTATGAAGCATAAATTTAATAACTAAATTATGATAAACTTTGTATTTATAACGATTAATACTTTAAATAAAATTCTAAAACTCTTACCTTAAATTTACTCAAAAAAATGCTCCTTAATATATCAGAATTAGATAGTGCTTTAAATGTGCAAGACAGAAATATAAGGAGTTTGATATGGTGCACTTACTATTTATTTATTCTATATAAGCTTGAATATTATAAATATTATAATCTTTTTCATGAATGTGTTTATAAAATTACATCCTACAATGAGATTAAGCAAATGAGTTTATTGGAATTATAGGAATAAATAAAAAAATTACTATCTGAAAGTGTAAAAACATTTTGATCAAATATTTTTTTCAAGTTTATTTATTTACTTAAATATAATAAAGGTACCATAATAAAGGTTTCTATCATGAGTAAGTTAAATAATGAAGGAAAGACCTACAAATTATATCAAATTTCTAAATATTAGCATAATATAAAATTTATAGAAAAATATATATTGCATCTCTTCAATTTTAAATGACTTTTACTTAAAATAATTATACTCAGAGGCAGCTGTTAAAACTTTATAAATTTTTTAAAAGATATATTTATTGTAATTTCTCTTTAACCTTTCATTCTATAGCTTTCTTTAATATTGAGAATAAATAATAATAAAATAAATGTAAATATGTTAATATTTAATTAGTAATTTGGATTTATGTTTTTTAATTCATTTTTATTGAAAGGAGCTAATAAAATTTATTTCCTTAACTATAATATACGTTTTTTTCTATATCTCTAACTGAATTAAATTAAACTGATTGATTAAATTATACATTTCTATTTTATAATTAGAAAAAAATAATAGCTAATTAACAAAAATAGATTTGATAACTCAAATTTAACTAATTATTTATTTATATCTCTCTATTAAAAATTAAATCTTAAATTTATCTACATAAAAATAATTTGACAGCATTTATTTATTTATTTTCTAATTCTAAACATACTGCTTACTTTCTTGATAATTTTTTAAATATATCCTTTTAACTTTTTCTTAATATGATGAAGAATAAATATATTTTAAGTATTAAAAATGCTTAAAAATAATATGTTTAATAAGAAATACAGATTATACCAATAAAAATATAAATAGTAAAACTTTTTTGCTAGAAATTCGCATTTATAAAAATTAAATGAATAAAAATAAGTAAAAATTACTGCTATTTGCTGCTTCGATAATTAAAAATGTTGTTTTTTATTTACTAAATAAAAAAAATATTATATAATTTTAATGTTTGTAATTAATTGCACAGTTATAAGTTATTTCTTTTATGATAAAAAAATAGACTATAATAAAAAATAAGCTATTATTTCATCAATTGTTGTTGGATCAACCTTTAATTTAATAAAAAAAATATATAAATTTGAAGTTATGATTATTTTAATTAAATTATGTAATTGCGTTGAAACGCCCATAAATATTGATTTAATGAAAAATTGTTAAAATTTAGTTTATAAATTATTCATTTTTGCTCAAACATGTAAATCTGTTAAAAATGTCTAAATATAAATACTAAAAAATGAAAACCAAAAGTTGATATCGTTAATAAATATTTAATTTTTTATCAAATTTGAAACTAATAATAAATGAATAAAGTGCATAATGAAAGTAATAGTTTAAAGTAAGCTTAATAGTTATCACAACAAGAATAAATCAATCAAGATTAAGCTTAAACCTAAGTTAATACTTCTAAGCAATCTGATCCCATTAAATCCCCTAATCCTGTCTAAATTACTTGTGAGAACTGTAATTAAACAGGTTAAACAGAAGTAAAAAGAGAGTTAAATTTGAAAGGTAAACTATACTGTTGTTTTTTGTTACTATGCTTAGTATGTTTCTACGGACCTTGTTAACAGGCTTATAATATAATTCATTATTGCTCAAATTGTAAAACAAAAATTGCAACACACATTAAAAAATGAAGATGAAAGTGAAATATAATAAAGTATATTAAAAACAAAAGCTGTCTTCTAACTTCTAAAAATTATTTTATGAGAAATTAAAATATATGGTTTTGCATTGGGTAACAGTAAAATATTATTTGTTATTTATAAATCATAGATTATGAATAGAATATATACATTATCATATATATTTTAGCTTACAAAATTATTAATATTAATTAACAAAATCAAAAAATCCCTTAATTAAATGTGTTTACTTACATAATCAGTGTCAATCTTTTTAATCATACTTTGTCATATTAAAAAATTTTTAAATAAGTTCGAATCTAAAATATTCAAAAATTATATTGATAAAAATATTTTTCATAAAAATGTCAAAATAATTCTTAAACTTTAAAGCCAATTAATATTTAATTAAATTAATTCATTATTATGATAATTCTTGATAATTAAGCATATAAAGATTGTAATTTAAAAGAGTGTTATCTAATTATAGTGGTTAAAATTTTCTTTTGCTTGTTATCAAATATTTCTATGAATTTGAGTGATAAGATTTTTATTGAATTACAATTTTGAATCTAATTTATGTATATTAATTTTATAACAATTAATGTTGAAAAATTAATTACCATAATTCCTTATAGGGTGATGATATCGAGTTGTCAAGTAACCCTTATATTTTAGGTTTTTATTCAAAAATTCCTCTCCTCACTTATTGTTGTCAGGAGCCGAGGTGTTAAGAGAATACGGTATTGTTAGTCCTAATTATCTAAATAAAATATCTTCTCAAAAAAAATATAAAAATATATTATTACACTAATAAAAAAGTAAGACGATCAAAAAAAAAATTTTAGCATTTTTAGTTAATTTATAAAGTATATTTTAACAAACACCAATCAATCAGCAGAAAAAAAATACAAATTTTTTACTTATTATTAATTTTATTATAATTAATTTTGCTAATAATGTAGGTAAATCACTTATAATTAATTACACCTAATTAATTAATAAAATCTCTTCTCAAAAAAAATATAAAAATTCATATTTGCACAAATAAAAAAGTAAGATTGGTACAAAATAACATATAACATTTTTGGTTTATTCAAAAAGTATATTTTACAAACATATTTGTTGAGACAAAATAATTAGCAAATTAAATTGGAGATATTTTTTTTGCACTTTTTATTGAAAATTATTATATTTAACAATAAAAAAATGAAATAGATTAATCTTGTAAAATAGAAAATTTAAAAATTTTAATTTCTTACACTTTTATTTTAAAATTAGATGATAAATTCTTTGTTGAAAATTAAATGATTAAATTAAATAAATAAATAAGATATATGTAATTTAGATAGAAAATGTAGTAAAAATACATTTTTTTATTTATTATTTGATTAAAAATTATGATAGAAATTATTGCCTAAATATAATACATATGTGGCAATGGTTGATTATTTGATAATTATTAAGGAGAAATATATGTATAATAGATTAGGAATATTTAATATAAAGTAGATATAGGCATTTTTATATCTTTAAATAGTCATTCGTAAATATTATAATTAAAATATATCTCAAATTAAATAATCTATATAAGTATTAATATAAACTAATAAATCAAATAATATAAATGTATTCAAACTAATAAGCATAAGGATATCCTCATATGTAATCCCAATAGTTACCATAACCTCAGATGTACCCTCCTCCAGCTAATTCTTAACCAGTATCTGCAACAACTCTATAGCCTTTAGTTTCTAACTCTAATTTAAATCTTTGTCCTTATCCTAGCTAAACATTTTGCACTAATTGCTAGCAAAACATAACAACAGTTATAACAAACCAAAGTGGAACTGGTACTTATTAATGTTGTTTTCTTTTACTTTTCTTTACAGGATGTTTCTGCATACCATTCTGCATTGATAATTGCAAGGATAAAATTCATTCATGTCCAAAATGTGAAAGCTAATTAGGGTATTTTGAATATAAATTATGTTGATGATAAAAAAGAAAGCGGTTAATTTAAATGTTTACTTTAAGCAAGTAATCAAAATATAAAATGTTTTTTATTTTTAATTATTTAAAAATTTCCTAATTAATTAATTGATATGTTAGAAATTGTGTATTTATTTTTGAGTATAACATTAATTAATTAGACTGATTGATTTTATCTTTTATAATCTTTTATTTACAAATATAATCTGCTTCAATCTTTTGAATAAAATTTGTCAGAATAAAAACCTTTAGTAAATGTTTTATAAAAGTTTGTATCTAAAATATTCAACAATTGTATAAATTTATTCATTATAAAGATAAAATAATTCTTTAAAACAAAGCAAATTGTTTAAAGTGAATAAAAGCTCATGATAACTCTTACTATGTAAGATTTATTTCTCAAGTATAAAAATATGATAAAATAAAAGAATATTCTCAAATTATTGTGGTTAAAAGTCCTCTTTCTCTTGTTATTTATTAAAAATTTCTTTGAAATAATTTAAAAGTCTAAATTGGATTTGTGTGAAAAAATTTAATTGAATTATTGTGAAAAATATTAAATGAATTACAATTTTGAACCCCAAATTAATTATTTAATTTTGTTAAAATCTAATGAGTTAGTAACATAGAAAAAATTTAATAACTACACCTAATAATTTAATTAAAATCTCTTCTCAAAAAAAAAAGTTTAAATGCATCATTGCAAAAAAAAAAAGTAAGAGATGTTTTTATCATTTTTGGTTAATTTAAAAAGAATATTTGACAAACGCTCTTCAATCATAAAAAAAATGAAATTTTTTTGATCGTCGAGTATGTATTTGTTTAGATATAAAGTTTTTAAGAAATTAAATTCGAGATATTTTATTTTGAAAATTATTATCTATCTCAATAAAAAAAGAAATAGAAAAATCTAATATAATTCGAAATTTTAAATTTTAAATTTTATCGCACTTTATTCTTATTGCAGATGATAAATTCTATTTTTATTATCATGTCTAAGTATTTCATTAAAAACTTAAATACTTCTATCAAATAAATACGATATATCAATTAGATTCCAGATGTAGTAAGTAGTAAAAAGTACATATTTTATTATTATTTGATTAAAAATATTTATAGAACATGATTATCTTCATACAATATTTATTTGTCACTCGATAATTAATTATTTTAGAAATATATGTATTATAGATTTGGAATAATTAATAATCATCGATATGGGATAGCTAATAATCAGTGGATATAGATATCTTTAAATATATATATAAATAAATAAAGGTTAACAAAGATAATAATTAAATATTATTACAAATAAAATTATCTCTTTAAATATTAAGATAAACTCACAAAGCTACTATCATAAATGTATCAATAATAACAACAAGGATATCCTCCTATGTAGCCCAACTAGATGGCATAAGTTTAGATGTATCCTCCTCCTCCTGCTATGGGTTAACCTGTAGCTGTAGGAATGTAATAGCCTTTAGTTTCTAACACCAATTTAAATATATGTCCTTATCCTTGCTAGGCATACTGCGGAACTTGTTAGCAAAATGTTACAACTATTATAACAAATAAAACTGGAACGGGTACTTATTAATGGTGCTTAGTTTTACTTTTCTTTACCGGATGTTGCTGCATACCTTTCTGCGTCGATAATTGCAAGGATAAAATTCATTAATGCCCTAGATGTAATAGTTAATTAGGATATTTTGAATATAAGTTATGTTGATGAAATAACAATTAATGAAAATTGTAATTGAAATTTTTATAATAAACATGTATTCAAAATTTATAAAAAAAATCTATGTTATAAAAATATATTTTATTATTAAGTAATAAGTTTTAAATAATGCATTTTTTGTTGATAATAACTATAACTAATTATATTTATTAACTTTATCTTTCTTTTGACATCTGTTTAAATTAAAGCAATACCTAAATTAAATTTTTAATATTTTCAGTAGTTTAAAAAATATTTTTTAAATTTTTAGCTGTAAAATTTTCTTAAAATTAAAAGTTCTAATCAATAAAAAAACATTTTAATATGATTTATTTTAAATTTAAATTTTTGAACTCCATTCAGGCTAAAAATTCGATTTATTTGTAATAACTTAATAAATTAATGGCTCGATCTAGTATTAATTAATGTGCTAAACAAAAGATGGCTTGAATTATAATTATTTGCAATAGATTAATTAATAAATGGCTAGATTTAGTACAGATTTATGTGCTTAATAAAAGATGGTTTTATTTTATAAATCTATTATCTGTAAATAAAGATTATAATATTTTATTTATTTTAATTGTTAGTAAATAATTATATTTTACCCAAAAATAATATAGACTTTTCAAAGTTTTTTGATAGTATTAATGTTTTAAAAAAATCAAAGAAGATTTATGACTTAAATGTCATTAATTTTATTAAACGAAGGTATAAATTTGTGGTTAAAAAATAAGAATTGCTTGATTAAAGTAAAAACTTCAAAATAATAAATCATAATGCAAAAAGAAAAATTTTATGGTTAAAAAACTTTTATCTATAAAAGGATTATCTATCTAATTAACAATTAAAAAACACTTCTTATAATTTACTTCTGATTTTTCTTATACATTTAATGCGTTATTAGAAAAAGAAAATTATTTTGATTTATTTTTTTTGCAAAAATAAAACCTTTTAAAACTTTTAGTGTTGCTTGGTTGCTGTATTAACAAACCATTTTTTTAATAGTATTTAACTATTCTATTTATAAATTAGATTAATCTTATATTAAAAAAAGTATTATACTTACTTTGCAATAATTATGTCTCAAGATTATCAACTGTTTTTCTTAAGGATTCAAGTTATATTCATCATGTCTTAGCTGATTTCAAATTTTTTATTGAAAATTACTTTTTTATCTAATGTTTCTTGCCAACTTTTTTCTCTTTGCTTATAATGTTTATCCATACTTTCTATTTTATAATCTATTGGTTTAGTCTGGGCTCTAATTGAGCAGTGTTATATGATAAATGATTGTATATTAATAAAGTCTACATTCAAGGAGAAGCGCATATCAAATAAAAATTAGCTTTGAGGAAAAATTTTTTTTGATAGATTATAAACAAAAATAATAACTATCAATTAAATATAAATGATTTAATGTAATCAATATGATTTTTTTTTTTTAATATTAATTACAAAAAAAATTTGTCTATATTTTAATGATTTAATCATAATTTAACTTTTATTAAAAAAATATAATTTGCTAAGATTTTTTATTACATTAATGAAAATTACTATTCATTCTACCGGAAAATATAAGATATTTAATAGATTACAAAATTTAGAAAGAAAGATAACATATGTAAATTTATTAATTTACCTTTTTGGATGTTATTAGATTAATATTAAAATTAAATAATCTTCTAAAATTCAACTATCAAAAAATGTATTTTTTATATAGAATACTTTTCACATTAACAATGTACTTCTTAAATACAAATACACATTAATTTTTTAATTACCTCATACAGATTTAAATAACTAAATGAAAATGTATCAAAAAGACAAAATTTATTTTCAAGCATATATCTCTATATTGATATTAAGCATAATTTAAAAATCATCAGGTAAGAAGTTAATTTTTTTCAATCAAATAGATTATTAGCAAATCTAATTTTTTCCAAAAACATGAAATGTCAAAGTTTTAAATCATTCTAATTTTAACTAAAACTTCATTTTTAAAAGTGAAACGGAAGTATTTTGATTATCATTTGTATAATTATTCGAAATTGATTGAGAAAATACTTTATTGAAAATCGAATTATAATTTCGAAAAGTAAGAATTTCAAAAATTAAATTTAAATAGGAAATTATCAGTTTCTTAAATTAATTATCCTAAAAATATAAATAAATAATTACGATTCTTACAATCGTTACAAAATATATCTTTCTAAAAGAAGTTTTAAAAAATAAATAAATACACATAAAACTGATCTAATAAATCGTTTTATTTTATTTAATATTTATGAAAATAAGCTATTATCTATTATTTAATAGGTTTTATTTGCAGAAATACATTCAAAAAGAAGAAGTAATTAAATTGAGTTATTTGTAACTTTTTTTGTGGTAATATAAATGCGAGGCGCTTAGAAAAAATTCTAAATAATAAATATTAATTAATAAAAAAAATAGTAAAAAATTTTATAAAAAAAGCTAATCGATATTCAAAATGTACTAAAACCAAGCCTAATATCCTCCAAATTATGCATAGCCTCCTATGGCTTAATAGCCTATGAATATGCAAATGTAACCAGTTTAAAATATGACAAACTCTACTCCTTTCCCTGTTTAAGCAACATGTCCTAGCTGTTAAAAAACTCAAACAACCGTAGTTGAGACAAAAGCCGGTTCAGGAACCTGGAAAATGTGCTGCATTCTATTCTGTTTTACAGGTTGCTGCTGCATACCTTTTTGCATGGATAGCTGTAAAGATAAGATCCATCATTGCTCAAATTGCCAAACCGAGATAGGAAAATTCGAATATAAAGTGTGTTGATTTATTAAAAATAATTAAATTTGAATGTATTAATTGCATATTATAAATATTATGTTAGTATTTTTGTCATTTCATTTATCTAACTTTTGAAAAATTTCAATTTCCTATTAATTTATTAACTACTGAAGTCGATCAGAGGTTATTTCAATAAATTTTTTTGTATCCTTTCTAATCAAATTACAACTTACCAAGTTTGAAGATTTTCTTTCTAATTACAAATTTCTGTCTATTTCAGGCAAATTAAAAAATTTCTAATAAATATCAAATCTATCAATTTATTGAAAATTAACCACTAAATATATTCAAGTGCCATATATAATTCCTACAATAAAAATTATTGTCAAAAAAAATATTTTTTAGATTGCTTAAAAAATTTATTGCTTTGATTAAAAATATTTACCTAATATTGTGTTAAGAATATTTTAATATTACAATAAATATTTTATATTTTAGAAAAAAAATAATATATTTAAGTAATTATTATTCATTAAAAAAATTATATTGATTTTAATTATGATTTTTAAAGATATCTAAGTCTCATTTATTTAAAAAATTTTAAATAGAATTTAATATGTTTTACAAAATTATAAAAATTAGCAAAGTAAATAATACTTTTTGGAAGGTAGTAAGCTTTTATTTATTCTTCCAAATCTGATAATTAAAAGCTATAAAATTCATTTAATTAGAAAAAAGTCATTGATATTCAGATATTTAATTAAAAGATAGATAAGATAAAGCTATTAAATCAGGAATAATCAGATTGATATAAGGTTAAAACTTCATAGAAGCTAAATATTCTTTATATATCTCTAAAGTTGATACAAAAATGCCTTTTATATTTAAAAAATTTTTTATAAAACATTATATTATATATATTTTATAAAATTCCTACTCTTAACTAACTAATTTAGATTTGTTTAAAATGCTTTAAATATTTTTGCTAGGTTTGTTCAATAAACATAGCCAAAAGATGGTTAAGATTATATTAATATTTCAAATATAATTTAGAAATTGCTAATTTAAATAGATAACACTTCAAATTATTTTTATTATAATTATTAATTATAAAATTAAAATATTTAATTGAAATAAAACTCTCATTAAAACAATTCTCCAATCTTTATTATTTAAAATGATATCTTAAAAAGCATCTTAAGTTCCCAATATGGCAGAAAATCCAATTGATCACAAAGAGGTAACGAACAGAAATTTGGCAGATGAAAATCCTACAGCTGTTGAAATGACATGTACTCACTGCAATTAAATTCAAAGAACTGATGTTAAACCTAAAGTAGGGTCAGGTACTTACATAATGTGTTTAATTCTATGTATACCTGGATGCTGCTGCCTTCCTTTTTTAATGGATAAATGTAAAGACTAAGTACACTACTGCTCAAATTGTTAATCATAGCTTGGAAAATATGAATACAAGGCATGTAAATGAAAATTAAGTTATTAATATTTTTCTAACATATTAAATTGCTGTAAAATTATGTTTAGTAAAATATTTATATTAAATCTATTGTAAATTATTTTATTTTTAAAATTTATATTATCATTACAATATATTTACAAGTAAAAGCATTGAATTTTATTTTTAAAATTAATATTGTGATTACAAAATATTTACTGGTAAAAGTTTTGAATTTTATTTTTAAAATTAATATTATGATTACAATATTTTAGAAGAAAAAGTGTTGAATATTATTTTTAAAATTAATTTTATGATTACAAAATTTTACAAGAAAATTTACTCAAATTTATTTTTAATAATACTGTCTTTAATTTAAGCAATCATTAATTAAAAAAATTTTCATTAAATTCAGAGGTAATTACAATCAAGCTATTATCTATCTATTCAGTGAACATCTATTGTAAATTTATAATTTTATTAATTTGAATGTTTATTTTTCAGCCTTTCTTTTGTAAAAATCTTTATCTATTTTAATATTAAATCTGATTATTTTTAGTAAATATTGAAATATAAAAGTAGTTCTATAAATTAATTAAATTACTCAAAATATAGGATATTTGGCTATTTTAAAACTTTACTAAGAATAGATTAAATTGTACTAAACTATATTTTTTAAAAAGTAATCTAGCATTAATCTTGCTTAAGATATAAAACATTTAAAAAAAAAACAATAAACATAATTAAAAACACTAAGATAATAAATCATTAAAATTAAAAATGTATCCTCAAGCTTAGAATGGCTATCCTCAAGCCTAGAATTATTATCCCCAAACCTAGAATAATTATCCTCAAAATCAAAATGCTTTACCCCTAGTTGCTTATCCTCCTATGTAAAATTAACCAGTATAAATGCAGTAAAATCCATAAGTTGTATAAAATATGACTTGTATGTCTCCTTATCCTGTTTAAACAACCTGCCATAACTGCAAAAGAACTTCAACAACTACAGTTACTACTAAAGCAGGATCTGGTACTTGGACAATGTGCTTCATCCTTTGTCTTTTTACTGGTTGCTGCTGCATTCCTTTCTGTATAGATAGCTGCAAAGATAAAATTCATACTTGCCCTAATTGCTAAACTTAACTTGGTGCTTTTGAATACAAAATTTGCGGTTGAAAAATAATGCGAAAATTCAAAATAAATAAATCTAGTTTAAGAAATAGTTCATTATCATTTATAATATTATTCAAAATTTAAAATCAAAAAATAAAAAAACCAAATTAATTAATTATTTTCTTTGTATGCTATATATAATTTTATAAGATGTGTTAATATTCATTTAATGATAAAATAATCAATCCTATTATTTTTTATCAAATAAATATATGTTAAAAACACAATATATACTCAAAATGAAAAATTAATAAAAATTATGGGATTTAGGACTAAAATAAATATAAAAACTTAACAAAATAATAAACTTTTGGTTGATGAAACCATAAGATTTATTAAAAATATTATAAGAAAATAAATACTTCTAAACAATCTGTAAGACACAAAGCAGTGGATACCTTTATATCAGAACCATTAGGAGAGAATTACGTGTAGAAATGGAGGAAAGAGAAAAATTAAAAGAAATTTAAACTCAAATACTAATCTAAAAAGATTTTCAAAGAATAAAAGATTTAACCCTTAAATTTATATATAAATGAAATAAAAAATAATCATAAAAACAATAAATTGTTTTTCAAAAATATATATTGCATATTTGTCGAAAAAAGGAAGAATACAATAAAAAACTTAACTAAATATTTGATAAATTCTGCAATATTCTAATAATTAAAAAATAAATTCATATCTTTTTAAAATATATTTTGTTTGAAAATTTATTTAGTCCCTCTATTTAAATCTACCTGAATAGCAGAATTTTTATATAAAAGGAATTAAGGATAAATAATTACTTAAAAGAATTAAAAATACTCATTTAAATATTATCTTCTATTTTTGAAATTTTTTCTTAATAAATTTTTTAAAATCTAAAGCTGAAAAATATTTATAAAGGAAAATTCTAAGAAATTATCTCTAAATTCAATGAAATTTTAGTTGTTTTGATCCTCCATAAATTCAATATATACAATTTTTTTATTTTTTTTAGTTGAAATATGCTCATAAACACTTAATTGATCTATAAATCTTTAATAAAATTTGAATTATAAGTTTGTTTTTCTACTATTTCATAAACTTTTCTTACACTATTCAAGATACTCCTGCAAATATGAGTTAAAATACTCTTGGAGATTATACTCTCCATATAATTCATTGTGTAAAACTCAAAAGGAAAAAGGAGAGGATTTTGTTAAAAATTCTTTACCATCAAACAAATCAATGATTTTAAACAATCCTATATTTCTTCCTTTTCTTTTTTATAATTCTTCTATTTCTTTAAAAATACTTTAAAAATTAGGTGCATCAAGTACAAAATTTAATTAAAATAATTATAAATTTTCCTCAAACATATATCGTGAAAAGTTTAACTATTGGAAACTGGATTCTTCTTCCATTTTTTCTTATTTTTTACCTTTTTTATTTTACAAATTTTGAATTAAATTAAATTTCTTATTTAAAAAAAAAGTAACCATCAACTCAGTCTTCAAAATTATCAAAAATCAAGACGTTAACAAAAATTTGAAACATAAAACTCAAAATTCTTTAATCATTTCATCAGAATGATCTTTTAATCTATTAACTTAGGTAGGATTTTAGATAAAAAATTGTAAAAAAAACTCATTAAAAAGTTTTGCAAATCAGAGGAAAAAAGAGGTTAAAATTAAAATTTTAAAAATCAACACTACATAAATACTTTTTAAAAAGATAGAGGCTTTATCATAGAATACTTATTTGAGGAAAAGGATAGATTTTTATAATCTAATCTTGCTATGAATGATAAAAAAGGAGTTTAAATCAGATTAAAACATGATATTTATGAGCTTTGGAACTTCAAATGTTTTAACCCTCTATTCTTGTTCGAATAGCAATAAATAGTAGCTTAATAAACATCCTAAAATAAAATAGGCTATATAAAAAATTTAAATTTGTTATTTTTTCTGAATTTGCTTTTTTTAGGGTCTCATTTCGATAGAAGATTTATACCAATTAATTCGCTAGTACCTGTTTTAAATCAAGTGAAGAAGTGCTAATTTAACTCAAAACCAACTAAAAAAGAGTACTTTTGTATTTTAAATAAGTTTTACCATTTAGAACCGAAGAGTAATACTTTAAATATCATTTTTTTATGTTGAAAATTTGATATTTTCCCAATTAATTAAACTGACTTCAATCAGAATATTTCAAAAAAAAGCTCAATTTGGAAAGAGGTATGTTAATTTAAGTGTAAATTTTTGATCATAGCAAAAGATAAATAGCAAGTGAATTATTTTTTCCTTAATCTAAAGTTAATAATATTATTTAACAGTATAAAAATGAAGAAAGATGTGATAGAAAACTATTAACAGATCAACAATCACTAGTTACAGCTTAAAAAAATAAAGAATATCTAAAACGATTAAAAAAATAGATTACTTAGTGATTCAGATCTAATTAGAAATAAAAATCTCTATTAATATCAACTTTCTAACTAAAATTTGTGCTATTTTAAATATGAATTAGGATACCTAGCTAGAAAACAGACTTAATACCATTTTATTAGTGAGATTATTAGTAAAAGAGAGTATAATGAGCTCAAGATTTGGACTGAAGTTTAGGTATTGCTTTTATAGGGTTTGATTGAATATTAGGTATTCAGTAGAATATTCTTTATTTTAATAATAAAAATTGGTATTTCGCTATATATTCAATAGTAAATTAAATTATTGAAGAATATTTAAAATTTAAATCAGATTTTACTAGATTAAGAAACTATTATCTACCTGATATAAAAAAAGTGTGAAAAGGTATTACCAATTATAATTTTGATCAAAAACCACTTTTCTAAGGACACTTTAATTAATTTAATCATGCATCTAATTTTATGTACAATATTTTTATCAATTTCTATTATTTCAATAATATATTTTTAATAAAATTTAAATAAATAAAATATATCATAATAAACACTTTATTCCTGTTAAATGCATTATAAATAACTTTAACATTAATATTTAAATTAATTTAATTAGATTTTACTATATTAGCAAATTTTTTTTAGCTCATATAAAAGGTGTAAATGAAAATTAAGATGTTATATTTTTTTAATAAATTTAAATTGTTGTTATATTATATCGAAGTAAAATATGAACATTAAATTTATTGTAAATTATTTTGTTTTTTAAAATTATTATTATTATTACAATATTTTACATGAAAATGTCTTGATTTTTATTACTGTATTTTAATTATAAGTATCCTTAATTTATTAAGATCAGAGGTGATTACAATCAAGCTATAATTTATCTATTGAGCGAGCGTCTATAGTAAATTTATATATTTGTTCTATTTTAAATAAATTTTCTTTTTTTGTAGATTTTTCAGCTTTTGTTCGAGTTTTTATCTATTTTAATATTGAATGATAATTTGCATTAAATATTGAAAAATTAAAAATAGGTCTATAAATAATTACTCTATAAATAGGATTTTAGGCTATTTCATAAAAAAACTTTACTAAGTATAGATTAAATCATACTACATTTTATGTTTTAAAAAGTAATCTAACATGAATCTTGATTAAAATAGTAAACATTTAAAAAATAAAACAATAAAAATAATTAAAAACAGTAAAATAATAAACCATTGAATTTAAAAATGTATCCTCAAACTTAGAATGGTTATCCTTAAGTCTAGAATAACTATCCTCAAAATCAAAATGCTTTACCTCCAGTCACTTATCCTCCTATGTAAAATCAACCATTATAAATACAGTAAAATCCATAAGTTGTATAAAATATGACTTGTATGTCTCCTTATCCTGTTTAAACAACATGCCATAACTGCAATAAAACTTTAACAACTACAGTTACAGCTAAAGCAGGATCTGGTACTTGGACAATGTGCTTCATTCTTTGTCTTTTTACTGGTTGTTGCTGCATTCCTTTCTGTATGGATAGCTGCAAAGATAAAATTCATACTTGCCCTAATTGCTAAGCCTAGCTTGGTGCTTTTGAATACAAAATTTGTGGTTGAAAAATAAGACGACAATTTAAAATAAATAAATCTCGTATAAGTATAAGAAATAGTTAATTAATTTTAATTAACTAATATCTATTTTATTATTCACAATTTTAAATCAAAAATTCAAATAAATTGTTTTCTTTGTAATATATAATTTATTTTGATGTGTAAATAATTACTTAAAGATAAAATAATTAACCCTAATAACTTTCTTTCATTTAAATCAATATTTGTTATATATACAAAATACTGTCAGTTCTATAGTATAGTACTTCAATAAATTTAAATTTTATAAATAATGCATTTAAAAATTGTGAAATTTAAATTGATTTCAATTTGTTTTCTTAATAATCAAATTTAAATCTATTAATATATATTTAGAGTATATAGGTACTCAAAAAAGTTTTGAGACAAATCAGAAAATGAAAAGCAAAACTCTTTAAATTTTAAAAAACTGTATTACTATTTCAAAGAGATTATCTAATAGCACAATAATTTGTTTGTTAGTTTAATTTCATCATAAGTTGAAATACTTTTATTTATTAATCTAAACTTAGAATTTAAAAAAAATAAATAATTTTCATGCTTTTAAATTAGTTTTAAAGAGACATTATAATTCTAACATACCTCTTTGATTATAGCTAAAAAAAGAATTAAAAAACTGTTTTAATTTAATAACTACTTAGAATAGGTGAATCAAATAGAGGTTGAGGCTAAGAGTTGGGAGAATAAAATTTTTAATTTAAGACATTATGAAGTGCTATTTTACTTTTCATCAAAGAATAATATATAATTAATTATAGAATTAATCAATCATTATATCAACAAAAAATAAATATTTGATATATATTTCATTTATTGTAATTAATATTATCATATCATTTAATCATTGATTTATATCTTTTTTTGAATTATAAATTGGTCTAAAAATTTGTTTAAATTTTATACTATTAAAACAACCCCTTTAAATTTTTATTTAAAGAGTTCAAATATTGAATGAAAGAAAGAAGTATCAAAAAATTTAGACATTTTTACAAAATTATAATGATGATTTCTAAATGGTAAAGTAAAAAATATTTTCTCTAAATTTTTGGATTTGTCGCTAACTAAACAAATTAACGTAATAAATATTTGATTGTAGTCTTGAAATCAAATATTTTCTATATTCAGAGTTTATCAAATTATCAAAGAATATTTAAAATTTAAATTAATTTAATCAGATTTTACTGCATAAAGAAATATTTATCTACCTGATGTAAAAAAGTGTGAAAAGGTATTACCAATATTAATTTCGATCAAAAACTACTCTTCTAAGGATATTTTAATTAATTTGTGCACGAATTTAATTTTATGAACAATTTTTTTATCTATTTCTATCATTTAAATTATATATTTTTTATCGAATTTAAATAAGATATATTATACTAAACATTTTATTATTTTTAAAAGCATTTTAAATAACTATTAAAATTCAAATTTAAATTTATTTTATCAGATTTTACAAAATTGATAAATTTTTTGAAAAAAGTGTCAAAAAATATTGCCAATATTAATTTCTATCAAAAGTCACTCTGTTCAGGATATTTTAATTAATTTAATGTACATATAATTTTATACTCAATATTTTAGTCTATTTCTATTATTTCAATAATTTATTTTTACATAATTTAAAATAAACTTTTTAATGCAAAACACTCTATTAATGATATATGTAATTTGAATATTTTAAAAGTGTTAAATTATTTTTTTCTCACCTATTTTTTAAAACTTTTTCTGACCTGAAAATCAATGATCTATTTTTTTACTTACAAATTTTAAGTTGACTTGATTTTTTTTAAAGTTAAAAATTAGATTTTACAAATCAAAATACAATTATAAATTAATCTCCAAAGCTAATTAATATTTTAAGGAAAATATGAATTTTTTAGGATAAAATCTATTTCCTTAAAATATTGATTAAAATTCATTAAATAAACTTTTACTCATATTAATTTACTTTTGAAAATAAAATACAAAATTAAAAAAAATACTAGTAAAAATCTTATTATAAAATTCGTAAATAGATTGAATAAAAGTAAAATTATTTTTATTAAATTAATGAGTTCTCATCAAATAAATATGTCTACTTGTTCATTTCATATCTGGTTTTTAAACAAAATATTTTGAGGTTTTTGTTTTTGAAAATTATCTTCTTATTTCTAAATTTTAAGAAACCTAACTTTTATTTTTTTTAAATTAAATACAACCTAATTTAATTATCAGGAAGATTATCAAATTATTTATCAGATATTAAAATAATTGGAACACATATGTGTTAATTTTGTTGATTACATTAGTAAATTTATCAAAACTCTTTACATGGTATATATTGTTAATACTATTTAGAAATCCAAACCAAACCCAATTCTCCAAACAAGCTTTTCCCTCTTGTTAACAATTTTTATTTCATAAAAAATATTTGCTAAGCTAAATAATAAAAAATTTAAGAAAAAATATCATAAAATATTATCAAGAATATCTCAAAATATTCAAATAAGAAGATAAAAATTAAAAAATGTATTAAATTTTTAGTATGTTTTAGAGTTTTTTTATTTACTTTCAGGGATAAGTAGGGAAGAAATTTTTATAGAGTAAATAAATAATCTTGATTTTTCTTATGGAAAGAAATTTTACAAGTATTTTACAAAATAATTGAGATATGTTTAAAATTATCAAAAAAATTATTAAAAATTGAAATATAAGATGTAATGTATCTTTTATTCTATATTAAATTAATTTGTTACTTTAACAACATTATAATAATAAATCATATTTATTAATTTTTAATTATATTTTAAAGTAATAATTATAATATTTTAAAAGCCTGTAAAAGAGTATATGGTATTAAAAATAAATAAATAAAACATATAAATTACAATAACCTTAAAATAAATAAAAAAATGTAAAATTAATAATAATAACAAATGCCCACTGTTTAGATGTATCCTTCTCCTGTACCTCAGCAGCCCTTATTTATCTAAGATGTGAAGGTTGATAACTAAATATTAGCTACTTCTCCATAACCTACATAAGCCTACTGTAGTACTTGTAATAAAAATATTGTTACTGAAATAAAAACTTAATCAGGATGTGGCACTTTTACATGTGCAGTCATATTTGGTTTTGTTGCAGGATTATGTTGTATTCCGTTTTGCACAGATAGGTGTAAAAATAAAATACATAGTTGTCCTACTTGCAAAAATACACTCGGATATTGTGAATATAAATTTTGTTGATTTATAAGGTATTCTAAAAAATTATGCTTTTTAAATAATTAATTAATTAAATATATTTAATTAAAATAGCTTTAGTATTAAATTATCAAAAATAAGTAAAAAAAGAAAGGAATTTCTAATGATAAAATATAAGATTTTTAAAAAATCCAGTAAAAAAAATTAAAATCTAAAATGAAAGTAAATTATATTTTTGTTGTGTATTTTTTTTTTTTACTAATGAAACAATTACCATAGCTTTTAATAAACTAGATTAATTACTTTATATATGATAAAAATATTTGTAGTAAAGTCATAATCATTAAAAATAGTTTCTTTTCAATCTTATTTTGATTGAATAATTTATGCTAAAAACATAATTATCAAAGTTTTTTTTTTTTGAAATATTAAAAAGATACAAAAAGAAAAGTGATAAAACTTCAAAAACTTTATGAAAAAAATGTTTATTTCATATATTCTGCTTCTTATCTAAACTTCATCCTTAAACTATTGCCATCATCATTCACAAGTTTACCTACAGTACTTAAATTATAATTAATTATATACCTGTTTATTTCAAAACTTATTTTTATTGCATTTATTTATTTTATCGAAAGGTTAAATTTTTGCTTAAATTTTAGAAAATTTTAATCAAAATTTAAGTGAAAAAAATATTTTATTTTAAGATGTTTTCAATAAGAATAATATTTTATATTAAATGGAGTAAAAGAAATAAAATATAAATTAAATTTATTTATATTCTTAATAAAATTATATATCCTTCCTTAGTTAATTAAGCTTTAAGTAATATTTGAAAAATTTGTGTTGATAAGCAGCTTAAGTAAGAATAACTCTAAAATGCAAATATGTGATTAATAAGAACTAAAAATTGAAATTTATTGGTTTTTGTAAATTTATTAGTCTAAATAATAAATGAAGATATAGATAGAGTCACTAATATTATGATAAAATATGTAAAATTAGTAATAATTATAAATAAGGAAATTAGAATAGGAATAACTTAGTATTCTTTATTTCTTCGAATAGTTTTAATCCTTTTTTCGATTGAATAGAATGCTGAAAATAGAAGATAAAATTACAATTTTTAAAATAGCTACACTAGTTTGGATTAAGACCATTTAGTTTTTATTAGTTGTGCTATTCTTCAAATTTATTCAAGTAAAAAAATTCATTCTTTAACCATATTTTTAGATTAATAGACTTTAAATCTTTTTTGGAAATAATTCACTAAGCAATAGCTCAAATGACTAAAAAAAGGATTATCAAAAAACTAAACATTTAAAAAAATTTAAATAATATTTTTCAGAAATAATTTAAATTTTTAATTAAAAGCAAACGAGCTATGCAACTTATTTTTTAGTGTTTTTTGGCATAGACAAGGTTCTCCGAATAATTATTTTATACCACAGAAAGATATTCATTCCTTTACTGATTCTTTTAGTTATTTTGTAAATGGAAGAAGTACTGACTCTATACATATATAATCGAAAAGACAGATAGATAGTAGATATGATGTATACTCAAACAGTTTTTATAAATGTCCTGCTCATTCCTTAGATTATTATTTTATTTATTTGGATGTACTTTTCTTAAAATCAATAAACATTATTTATAGCTTTACCTTGCATCTTGCTACTCTCATTTTACATAAACTTAGTTTGGGTTATTTCTTTTGAGTTCGATCTCAAAGAATACTTGTGCACTCTATTAATTTTTAAAGAACTTTACTGTTAAGGATTTTAATTTGTTGGATTTATTGGCTTGATATTTTGCTGCAGAGTTATTAATAACTATTTCTTCTACTTGCTTATCTTAAATTTAGTGTTGAGTTTAATTATGACTTTGAGGTTTATTAATTCTCCTTTGTACACAAAGGGCTCAAAATTTGAAATATTTTATTATTTTTTAATCCTTTTTTTGGCAATTTTTATGAATTCAGGATGTGATTTTAGAAAAATTAAATAGGCTTTTAACGTTGATTCTATTAAATAATTTAGAGTCAAAAATCTCAACACGTTTCTTGTTATAAGATTTGTTTAAACCTTATACTTGCTTTCTATATTTATTATCTGCATATCAACTGATAAACCATACTCTTAAAATTTCAAAGATCATCTTCAATTAGATTAAAATAGTTTCTATATGATTGTATTTGTATTTTCAATAGCTAGTGTTGCAATACAATTGAAAGATATTTGGATTTTAATATTAATACCTTATTTAAATAATAAACATCAATGCTTTGAAATAGATGATATTGATTAACTGATTGAGCTAAACAATCTTTAAAAAAGTAATCAAATGAATAATTACGATCTGCAATTTGTTTCCTTTTTTTTCCCCAGAGATAACTCTCTCATAAAATAGGAACATTAAAAGGAATTTGATTTTTGTCTTTTGTTTAATTTTGACTAAAATATTGAATTAATCATCCCTTAAGTAGGGGAAAGACTACCGATGATAGAAGATTAATACCATCACATTGTATTCTTTAAGAGAATGATTGACATATAAAGCTTTTAAAATTATTTAGAATAATTTCAAATTACTTCTTTTATCAACTAAATTTAATTTGACTTTCATACAAACATGCAAGATTTAGTATAAATTATAAAGCTAATCTCCTCAAATTCTTATGAAATTATAGTCAAATCTGAGAACATTCCAAATAGCATGGTTAATTTATAACTCTAATAAATTCAAATTAAAAAATTCACAATACTTCATTATATAGCCTTTGATAAAAATGTAATGGAGTTTATTTCAATCAATCCCTTTCTTGCTTTTTATGATTTATTTGAGATTTGAAAATAATTTTATTCATCCCTCCTTTTTAACAAGCTTACTAAATAAATAAATAACTAATAAACTAACTAACTAACTAAATACCAAAGTAAATAACCAAATATCTACTAAGTAATTGACTTTATAACTCAATTTTAATAAAACTACTAATAACTACTCATAAATATAATCAATATTCTTAAATTTCTCAAATGTCTAACAAATTAAAGAATAACAAACATACTAACTAACTAACAAATAAACACTAATTTTAAATTAATTAAATAAATAAATTTATAAATCTAAGATGCCTAAAAATATATTTGTTGAATTATCTGTTTTACAAGATCTAAGATTAATTTTTAACTAGATTATATATACAATTTTGGTAATAAATTAATTTTATTATTACATAGTTTTACTGAAAATAATTATATTTTTTTTTTTTGATGATAAAAAAATTGTAAACTTTATTATTAGATTCTTAGGTTTAATAAATATGTTCTCTTAAATAAAATTTAAAATGGATAAATACTTTTTATTATTTTAGATATTAAATTTATTTTTTTAAGTTTTCAAAAATAATTTTACTTAAAATAAATGAAGGAAGGAGATTTGTTAATTTTTAAAAATATGGAGCAGTTGAATCAAAAAAAGTAAACATGAATGATTGATTATTATTTTTTATTTTATTTTGAAAACATTTAGTATTGATTAAAAGATAAAAATAGATCTAAAAATTATTTGTGAAATCTGTTTATAAATATTTATAATAAAGACAAAAAAATGGTAGTACTAGGAATTTGGGCATCTTGCTAAGAAAATAATCAAATAAATATAATAAACCAAATTTTCATAACTTTGATATCAATAAAAAACAATGTAAGTAAATTCGAAGTGAAAATTTTAGAAACAAAAAAGAGAAAAATTTCTTATTTACAAAATAATATTAAAAAAATTGAAAGGTGCTTGTTTCACACATTATTTTTATGAAATAGCCATGCAAATAAAGCAACAATTTAAATTTGAAAAACTCCAAATTAATTAGATAATCTTTTTATAATAGACAATTTGATAATCAATATTTCATATTTTTGGCTAGATAAATTCGAGAAAATCTCCTTCTTTTTATAAATTATCCATCAAATAGCTTTTATCTGAAATATGTAAGACTAAGAGATTTTAGAACTAAGATTAGTTAGAGTAAAGAATAAAATCTTTACAAAATTTCAAAATTCGTTTAATTAAATAGCTAGATATCAAATAAATATATCATAATTTTTATAAATTATAAATTACAAAAAAATGATGTTGAAAACTACCTGTGTGGTTTTACTAAATATGTGAATGTAAGCCACTTAGCATTAAACATACTCAAGTGCTTATAAAATTTTTTTGTATTTATTTATTATATTTTTTCATTTATCAAACACAGATTTTGTAATTAAATTTTTTATATCTAATTAAAATATCACGCACGAAAAGGCAAATAAACTATTGGATTTTGTAAAAAAACAATTAAATAATTAAAAAAAAGTAAATTAAATTAATATTCGCAGTTTGGAAATAAACTCCTTAAAAAGTTTAACTAAATAAATAAATTAACACCAATCATGCAACCTCAATACGGACAACCAGTTTATATTTAATAATAGCCCTATCCTGGCACATATTAACCCTAATAAGGTGGTTATTACTAACAACCAGTTATGGTTTAACCAGGATATGGCCAATAATAGGTTTTAGTAGAAACAGTTATGATTGCTTAAGAGGTTCCCTAAGGATATCCTGCAGGACAGATGGGAATGGGAATGGGAATGGTAAATTGGAATATATGAGATTATATAAAATTTATTATTATGAATTAAAATTATATTTTTTCATTCAATTTTTTTAAATTAACTTTTTTATAAAGAATTAATAGAGATATTTACCAAATAATGCTAATGGATGTGAATATACAACCAGAATTTAATGCCCTTCTTGCTAAAAGGAAGTTAATACAATTGTCGAAAATAAGTCTGGTGGTGCTGTGTATGGCTGGGTAGCCATTACTTGCTTATGTTGTTTCCCTTTCTGCTGTATTGTAAATAATTAAACATTTTATTTAGATTCTATTTGAATTCTAAAAAACTAGTCCATAATTTTATAACTCCTTTTTATATATATTTAAATAGCCTTTATTTATTGATTCATGCAAAGATAAAGTACATAAATGCCCTTCTTGTCAAGCCGAAGTAGGAATAAACCAAAAAAGCATGTGCTGAAAGTTTTGTGTTAAGAAATTAATTATTATATTATAAGAGATTACTATTTATAAAATAAATATTAAGAGACTTTTTTTAGTAAACGAAGAAAGCTTTCCATATTCAATATCTTCTTATTGTATTAATTTGTCTAAATATTTCTCTATTTTCCTAAATTTTCTTTTACAAAATGATTTCTGTTTTTAATTAGACATATATTTTTCACTATAACCTCACATTATGTAAATAACTAGACTGAATACTAACTAATTTTTTCTCTCAAACTTTAATAATCAAATCAAATCAATATATTTAAACAAGTTTAAATGTATATTTTTAGGATAACACATTTTGATCATTCATTCATTAATTCTCTGGATTATTAAAAGAAAGCAAAAAAAAAAACCTAATTTAGGAACTTAATGATTTGAAAAATAAAGGCTATAGATTATATCCAAAGACTATGAATTTCTCAGTAGTTGTCTATTATACAATAATTAAGCAATATAAAACAATAAATTTAACTTCATAATTAATAATAATTGGCATTTTGCTAGAATTTAATACAAATTTAAAATTATTTAATAAAAAAATTAAACTAGCAAGAGGCCATTGAAAAAATAATTGTTTCTTAAGATTGGAAGCAATGAATACTAAAATTTCTCTCTAAATTTAATGAACAAATCTTTATATATCAACAAATGTAAAGATATATTTTAAGATAACAAATTTCATCATTTATTTATTACTGCATTATTTGTGAAAAAAATAAAGAAAGTATTTTTATAAAAAACCCTAATTAAGATCTTAAATGATAAGATAAAATTATAAATTATTTGATTATATCCAATGAATATGAATTATATAGTAATTATTATTGCACAACAGTTAAGCAAGCGAGATACAAAAGATAAATTTAATTTTACAATTATTGATAGATAATATATATTGCTAGATTTGAATACAAATTTTTATTTCATCAAGAAGAGACTAAACCAGCAGGCATTGAAGAAGTTATTGTTTCTAAAGGTTAGAAACCCAATTCTTCTATTGGAATACCGAATTCTACTAATTTTGCTTCGTAAACTCTGATGGCATCGTTATATGCTTTAGTGGCATGGTGAATGGAATATTTTAAATTCTTAATTAAAGTATTTTTAGCTTCTATTGATTGTTGGACTCTTTGCTTGAGCTATTCGTGTAAATTATGGTCTAATCCAGCGTTATCGATAATGGTACGGAGTTCTTCCTCCTTTTTTAAATAAAAACAAATATTAATTAATTTTTTAAGTTCCCAAAAAAATAGTATTAAGTTCATACCTTATTATTATATTCTTTTAATAAAATTTATAAACGGTTGCTTAAAACGTTATTATTGAGGTCTGCATTCTTTTTAACTTCTTATGTTATATCTTCGAATTTTTTTTCTAATTCTTGCTTCTCTCTGACTACCTTTAGAAAAATAGTTAGTTTTTATTTAATTAAGTCTTGATAATAATCAATCAAAATTTTATTTACTTTTTCGTATTTTTCGTCCAAATCCTTTCCATCTCTTTCTAATTTTGTAATTTTATCTTTAAGTGTGATAGCCTTAGATTTCAAATTTTGGAGCGACATTTTATGCTAAATATTAATAAAAATATTACATTCAAATACTTTACTATAAAAAAAAAGGAATCTTACTTTAGCAAACTATTTTAAATCTTCTTTGAGTTTATTACGAATTTCACGATGTTTGGCCAAGGGCTCTTTGAGTTGTTCATTTTTGGCTTAATTATCTGCAACGTTTTTGGTGTTGAGTTAAATATTAGCATAAATTTAAGCAATTTTTTCCTTGTGTGCTTTAATCAAATTAAGATTTTCAGCAGTGATGTCATTATAATATTTCTTTAGTTCAGCGAAAGCCTTCTCGTGGTTATTCATTAATTCGTTGATATGAAGATTTTTTCTTTCTTCAAGCTCGTGAATTTCGACTTTTAGTTTTAATTCTAAGTCTTCTTTTAGCTTTGCTAGACGTTCTTCATACTTGATAATCAAATTATTGATAAGCTCATCAAATTTCTTCTATTGAATTTTAAGGAGTGACTAGTGATCCTTCTTTTCTTCTTACACTTATTATATATTTGCTTTTTCTTTTTCCAAGTATTCTGATTTCAACTAAGTTTTTAGCTATTTCATATTCTTGGTAATATCTTCGAAGTAAGCATCTTCCTTCTCTTTTGCTTTTTTACCATCATCTTCAATATTTAAATTGCTCTTTTCTTACTCGTACTCTAAATGTTTAACCTAATAACCAAATGAATTTATTTTAATTTAGATTTATTTAATTAACTTCTTATAATATTTTTATTATAATAGTTATATAATTTTCTAGGCACCAATCCTATTTATGGGCTCTTCTAATTTCAAATTATTTGAATAATAATTTTAATTTACCTTTTATAGAAATACTTTGACATCTATTCTATGTTTACTTTCTTTTTCTTCAGCTTCTGTTTCTTTGTTTGATATTTTTGTTTTCACTTCAGAAATCTCTTTTAACGTGTTATGATAGAAATTTTCAACCATATCTCTATCCATTTATATATAGTTTCTGTTTGTTCTCATTTCATTAACTCTCTCTTTTATATTAAAATATACTTTTAATTTCATGCATAATAAAAAATTCCCAATTGATGCAAATCGTTTCGATAGCAATCATTATCATTTCATTTTAAATTATTTTTTTGTTATTTAGATTTAAAAATTTTTGCGTTTCATAATTTTAAAAACATAAAATTATTTGCAATCATTTTAATAAAGTTTTATAAATTTTTAACAAAATACCTTTCAGTTTCTCTAATGTCTGAGTTAAGTCAGCCCCTGTCATGCTCTTATACTCATCATCAGGTTCCTATTTTTAATTTTATTAAATTTATTATAATCCTAAAAGTTGTTGTTTCTATGATCTAAAAATGTATTTATTTATTAATAATTTATATCAATAATTTAATGATTTCTCTAAATGAAATAGATTTTTTATAAATCTGCTAACATGTTTATCTTAGATCTATCAAATTGAACTAAAACGAATGAAATTTAAGTAAAAACTTTAAATCATTGTTAATTACTTCCTCTTTCTTCTTCTTTCCTTTAGCTTTTTTTGGAGGCATTTTTATGAAATATTAGTAATTAATTATCTATCTATCTTCTTTTTAACTAAGATTCTATTTAATTTTCTTGTTTTTTGAATTTATATAATAATAAATAACTCATTCAATTTTCTTTATAAAAATTTTAATAAAATGTAAAACAATCTAATGATAATAAATAGTTCATTCAATATTTGCTTTCTTTAATTTAATAAGCTAAATAGTTATTTATTCAATATTAATCAATTAATTATAAATTAATTTAATTTGCTATTCACTCGCTCACTCATTTAATATTAATTATAAATTAAATTATGCAGTTTTATTTGTTTTCATTTTAATAACTCTTAACTGCTAATATATTTGTATTTTTCTTAAATCATTATTTTTCTTCAACTTTTTTTCCTTTTTACAATATTTTTTGTTCATAAAAAAATTTGAAAAAAAACATATAAAATCATAAAACAAAATGCTTCAAAAACATTACGCTAATTTTATTTAATTATATACCAATTAAAATGATTTTTCAAATAAAAAACAAAAAATAAAACTAAAATTTATACTTATTTGAAAAAAGCTGAAAATGTACAGCTATGTGAATTATAGATTTTAGAGTTTTAATTTGTTTAATTATTTTTATTTCTTCTTAATTTATATATTTATTAATTTGTTTATTTGTTTTTATTTATTTAATTTATTTGTTTTTATTTTTTTATTTATTTACTTAATTTATTTGTTTTTATTTATTTATTTTTAAATTTATATGTTTTTAATTGTGTTTTTAAATTTCAGCATAAGAGAGGCTTAAGAGATTTATAATGCGTTTAGGAGTTAGCGAGTATAGATCTATCAGGAGTAGCGTTCCTAGTTTAAAAAATACTTTTATATATTGTATCAAGATACTGAACCTGAATCAGGTTAGAAAAGAGAGGGGGAAAAGTATTGTTGGATTGATGATAGATATTTCTTAGAATAAAAATTCAAAGATAAAAGAGAGAATTCATCAATCCAGCAATAGGAAAGGTTATAATCTATGAATATGAGTTTAAAAAACTAATTTTGGGGGGATTTGAGCTAGGTACATTCATTATTTTAAAATGGAATTTAAAAACTTATTTTATATATTCAGTTGATTATTTTTAGACTTTCCTTATCTTGATTTAATTTTTTTTCTTTTATGAATTTTATTTTTAATTATTATTTATTTCTTCAGATTAATTAATTTTCCTCTAAATGGTAAATAGGAAACTCTTAGCTAAAAAGTTTTTACTAATGCTCAAAGATAAATAAAAGTGATCTTTTATTAATTTTAATTTGTTAAATGAATATTATTTGAAGACTTCCTATGAATTTTAATACATTTTTATTCATCATCTAAATATTTCCAAATAAAAAATAAACTCTAAAATAATTTCTAAAATTAATTAATGGTCTTTTAAAAAATTATTTAATTTCTACCTAAAATTAATTATTTTATTTGTGAAAAAAATATTTTGATTTGAGTTTTAAACTAAATAAATTTTATAAAGATGGAATAATTAAATTGAAAAACTCTTGTAATTTATTGCAACTTAATATAAAGAATTTATTTATATATTGATAATCTAATATCAAAAAAATATTAACTCAAATTTAATATAAAACTCTTTTATTGTTATAAATGTAAAACCATTATTTAAAATGGATTTCAAATTTCTTTAATTTCTGTTAATTTTTATCTTTCTTATTTGTTTTAATAATCAAAGTACTAATTTTTAGTCTAATTATTAATTTGAGATTTGTGTTTATTGTGTAAACTTTATTGACTAGTTTCTGAATATTTCAAATCTGTGTTTAATGAGCTAGGATCTTATTTTATTTATTGGCTCTTCATGTAGGCATGAGCATTTGTGTTTTATATAAGCTTGTTGAGAGCATTATCTTGTTGATATGTCATCATTATATTTTTACTAACATTCATAAATGGTGAGTAATCTCTAGGTTATACTAATTTTTTTTGTATGTTGCTTTTATGTGCTTAATCAACGGATGAATATTTAACTACGCTTTCTTGTATTTAAAGCAATCTTGGCTTAATATTTTCTGTTTGCTGAGTTTGGCAAATCATAAAATCAGGCTTTTTGCTTTCTAAATTTAGTATTTTTTCTCTGATTACTCCATTTTTCTCTCTATTTAATTGATTAAAGAGAAAATTAAATTCTTAGTGGTTTAGTATGTAGTTGCAATCTGTTTGTCTTTAGTTTTTTTTTCCATCTTAATGACTGAAAAATTATTAAACATTGTAAAAGTCATTCTCTTATTTCATGTTTTTATCTTAAATATTCTTATTCTAATCCAAGTTATAAGCATTATTTATTGACTGCTGGTGATGAATACTATCTTAAAATGAAGTGCTTCTATTTTTTGTTTGAAATTTTGCCTTTTATAATCTCAAACTATTTTCTGAAATATTATGAAGCTCTTTAAGAGTAATCTGGATATCTCTTGACTGCTTTGGAATCTCTATATGAGTAGAATTGTAATCAGAGTCGAAAACTTTATTCTTTATCATTCTGAGAGAGCTTTCAACCAATTTTTTCTAATTATTTTTAGGTGGCTCTCTAAAATTCAGAAAGTAGTCTTTAGAAAGTAAAGTTTTTTATTCTAACCTCTCCATACTATTACTTATTAATTATCAGTATAATAAAAATTATTATCTTTTAATAATCAAATTAATAAATGAATGGATTAAAATTAGTATTTTATTATGATATCTTAATTGGCTTATTTTTCAAAAAAATAAATTTATTTTCCAAATATCATGTAAGAGTTGCATATAATATTAGTGCTTTATGATTTCAATTTTACTTTTTAATATAAAATTAAATTTAAAGATATTTTAATTTTTCTGAAAATTCAATTCTATTAATCTCTGCAACTCTAAAAGGTTACATTTCTCTAAAATAAACATTCAATTTTAACATTTAAATATTATATTTCCTCACAAAAGGCTTAATTTGACTTTAAAAGATTGAGTTTAGTTTAAATATTAAACATAATGAGATATAAGTTAAAAGTAGTCTAAAATTTGAATTAATTTTAATAAATTTATTAATCTAGCTAAATAAGTTTATAATTTAAATTAAATTTTAATTTAGATAAATGTTGAATAGAAAAAAAAATTTTAGAGCTCATTACAGTAATAAGAGCTCGTTTTCTAATACAGATGACAAAGGTCTAGAAAAAAGTATTAACTAAGATTTCATAACTCCAAAAAATGGTTTTGAATATCTAAAATTTAATATGAAAAAACATTAAAATTAAATTTAAAGTTTGGACAATTCATTTTAATCAATTTAACAAAAAAATTTAATACAAGAACTTCATTAGAATTTTTACAGCTCTAATTAAGGTTAATTTCAATACATCACTCCTCTGTTAAAATAAAATGGAATAGATCAACACTTTAATCAAACCAACAATAATTATTAAACTAATTCCTCTAACTAAATGAATAGCTTATAGCAATAAAGTAATGAATAAATTCATTAAAATGGTTTTGATAGAGGTACTTTTCCTATAAATAAATATTTTTAATTTTAAAATATAAGCTTTCCATTTATTAATGGTTAAAGTAGTAGTGGTTTATTAAATTAGATTAATGATTCAAATTATATTATTGATAAAAGCTTTTCATCACTTTAATAAACCAATAATCAGGATGTAATTAAAAGAAAGCTCTCAAACTTTGAAGAAATTACTCCATAAATGATAGAAAATGCTTACAGTAATTCAAATAACTTTGATTCTGATTTAATAAAGTTTTAAAATGAATTTCCAAGTTTGAATTAGAATAGCCTTTACTTTGATTAAAATATAAATACTAAATGCTTAAATGACATTCATAATAACTAATTTTAAAATAAATTTTAAGAATCAAATTACTAAAAAGATTAAAAATTCTTCTTTAATTTTCCTTCATAATTGTGCGATAATTAATATGAAATTGACTAAAAAACCCTTGATTTTTAATAAAATTAAAATAATTATATATTTTTTAAATAAAAATAAGATTAATTAAATTAGGCCTTATTAGATTAATCATATAATAAGAATAAAGGCCTTTATTTTTCATAAAATTTTAATAATAATTTTATTGGAGAAGAAAGTTTATCATAAAAATCTGATTAACTTGACTAATTCAATAAAGATTAATAGAATTACTTCGAAACTGATAACATTTAGCAAGACTAAGATATATCATAAGTAAACTTTATAAATGATTAAATTGAGTGCAAAGTCAATAGCTAACGTGATATATTTCAAATAAATTAAGACTCACAATAATAAAAAAATTTTAATTGTTTTATAGAGTAAGTAGGTTATCCAAATAATTAATTCAATTAAAACTTTAATGAAATTAAATAAAATTTCTAAAATAACTAAATTTATAATTTAGAAAATGATGATTAAGATTAGTTAGATGAATTCTAAAACTAAATTTAATAATAGTAAAACAACGAAGAAGTTTAAAATTAAAATAGAATAAAACATTAATGCATTAATTAAAATGAGTAGTTTTAAATCAATTAAATATCAATTGATTCAGTTAAACCCTCTTAAAACAATCTTTTATTTAATTCAACTAAATCTTAAAAGTCTTCTTCTAAAAAATAATCGCCTTACTAAAGCCTATCAGAGAATAAACTGAGCTTTTACATAGATTCTATAAAATCACAATTTAAAGGAAAATAATTTTTCAACTCTCAGAAAAATAATAATGAAAAGTAAATTCAAGATAGCAATTTAAAAGATAATCAAAATAATTAATTTGATTATTAAAAAGAAGAAGAATAAACTGAGCCAAAATAAAATATTTTTATAAGTAAAAAAGAATAGTTTTTCAGTGAATAGTAAAATATTATTAAACACAAAAATATTGAAAAAAATAAGATCTTAGTATTTACTGATATAGCTCCAAAACCAGTAAAAGATACATCAAATTAATTTCAATCTCATAAAGATCTAAAAAAGAATCATTTTTCTATAGCTGAAGAATAAGAAGAGTATGATGATGATGATAATGATAAAAATGATGATGGGGAAGAAGAACAAGAATAAGAAGAAGAAGAAAGCAAAGTTTAGGATATTTTAAATTAACGAGATAAATAAAAAATGGAAGAATTTGATTCAATTTATAATGAGTTTAATAATGGTCTTAAATAAAAATTGTCAGACTAAATCAAGATAAATTAATTAAACTAAACAAATATGTTTGGACAAATTGATAATCATAATTATAAATAATAAGCTGAGTTGTAAGAAAGTATCTTTAGTAGTAATAAATACTAAATAGATAAAAGATTAAACTCAAATCAAATGCATAACTCAAAAGGCATGTAAAAAAATGATACGAAAATTAATTCAAATAAAACTCAACTCTAATTATTTTCAAAGTAAGTGAAAAAAAGAAAAGAAATAAATTATTCTGAGGATAAGTTAATGTAAAAATAAATAACAGAACAATCTGAAATATATAGGTAACATATAGTTGCTATTATAGAAAATCATGCTAACTAAGTTGGATTTGCTGCGTTCAATGTTCAAACAGGTTAAATTAGTATTAGTCAAATAGTTGATAGATTAACCTATTTAAATACAACATCTACAATTTTTGCTTTTTATCCTCTTGAAATTATTTTTTCAAATACTCAGTCAAGTAGCTATTTAGTCAAAATTTTGCAGCAACAACTACCTCTTACTAAATTTACTTCTGTAAAAAGAAACTACTTTGATGAAACCAAAGGAGAATCTATCCTCAAAAAAAAAAGCTCAAATTTAATTTAGAAATTAGATAATCTTTATGTTGCATTAGCATCTCTTAATGCATTAAGTAATACATTATTTTAATATTTAAATCTTGATTTAACATTAAATGAAAATAAATTTTTATCAATCATTTAAATAAAAATTACATAAATTTTTTAATTATAGTTAACCATATAGAGGTAACTCAAGAGCTTTATCTTTTAAAAGAATAACTTTAAATTGGGTTTATATAGATGGATAGCATTTTGGTTATGGACCATAAAACGGCTTTGGATCTAGAATTATTAATTTAACAGTTGAGTTAAAATGAAAAAGGTAGTCTCATTAGTCTATTTAAAATATAGACAGTGGCAGGCAAGAGATTGTTAAGATCAAACTTATTGTAGCCGTTAAACGACCTTAAAAGTTTGTAAGATAGATAAAGTGCTGTATTTGAATTTACAATGAATTAAGACTCTATTGTAACATTTTAGAATATTTTAAAGAATTTTAAAGACTTTGAAACATCAACTGTGAAATTTATTCAAAAGATTAAATATTTAGAAACAAATAGAATAAGATAATATTTAATTCATATTTATAAAATATTTACGTTTCTTAAAAAGCTCTCATAGTTATAATTGCAACTCTAAATAATAGATATGTAAAACAGCTACATAAAAGAATTAAAAAACCTTTTATGTGATTAATAACTTGAATAGATTAAAGAATCAATTAAATAAAATTTAGACTTATCCTATTTAGAAAAGATTTAAAATTAACAACAACATAAGTCTCATGATCTTGTAAATAAATATTTTATTTTTTAATAATTTAAAATTTTGATTTGAAAAAGTATATTTATTTTTATTATTTTAATAACTTTCAAAAATTTCAAAATTACTAACTTATTTATTATATTTAAAAAATAAAAGTTAAAAAATTTATTTTTTTATTATTTAAAGTCTATTTAAAAAAAATATATATAATATTGATTTCAAAATAAAATCTTAATTTTATTAAAAACAATTTAAAAAATTTATTTAATAAAAATAGATATATTTTATTCTTAAAGCAGAAAAGGATAATTTGTTGGAAATAGAAAGAACAAAAATGGTGAGCATTTAAAAATATGCAAATGATATATTTTGTGAATATTAAAATAAGCTAATAGGATACGCTAGTTTGGAGCTAAAAGAGAATGAAAATAGAGGTTACTATTTAATAGCTAGAAAGGCAAAAAAATAGAGTTAAAATATAAATTAAAAAAAAATAGAGGAGCTGATAGAAGATAATCTAATTGAGGTAAATGATAATAAAATAGGTAAAAGTTCTCAAATAACTTTCGTGACTTAAATATTTGCAGAGCTATCAAATCGTATAAAAGAAACAAAATATACTCTACTTTTATAGACGCAAAAAATAATCAAATAAATTATACCAATAATTCAAAATTCATTGGGTATTCTTTTTTAAATAAATTCTTTAATTGCTCAGATAGATGTTTGTATATGTTTTGCAGATTTTTATTATTCATTTTCTTCTGAAGAGACCCCTCTCTGCCTACCTAAACTGATTAATGAAGAGATAAACTTATTAGTACTTGATGAATTTTATCATCCTCTACTAGTTTATAACAACAAAGACTAGTGGAGAAGAAAAAGTTCAAATTAAAATTAACAAGATGAAAGTTTTGGACATTCAAATGTGTATATTTAAAAGAATAGCATTTGTATATCTGATTTAAATAATCTTCAACTATTTTTAGGTTAATAAAATTGTGGAAAATCTATATTAATAAAAAGTATTGCGATTATTTAAATAATGGCACAAGTTGGGTGCTATGTTCCTGCTAAAAATGGAGTTATCTCACTAAAAAATTTGATTCTCTCTAAATTTTACACAACAGATAGCATCGAAGAGAAGTAAAGTTCATTTACTTCTGAGCTTTAATAACTCGACTTCATCATAAAATCGAAGGCTTCTAAGGATCAATAAAGAGGTTGCCTATCAGTTAATTAAGCACTTTCTCTATCAAAATCAAAGTAAACTTGATTTTTTAATTAAATCTTATTAACCTAACAATAAAAATAAGGGATAAGACAATAATTCTAATAGATGAATTTTGCAGTAGCAGTTAATACGAAGATAATATTTCAATAAGTCTTGCATTTTTAGAAGAAATATCAATATGCTTTCCTAATAGTTTTTTGCTTTGTGCTTCAAAATACTATGAGCTAGTTCAAATGACTTAATTTTACAATAACTTTTAGTACTTTTTCATAAACTAAGACTATCAACTTAAAGAATTAAATGAAAATGATCAAGAGAATTAAATGATAGATTTTAGCGAAGCAAATAAAATTCTGTATGAATGTTTAAATCCTATCCTCTTGAAGTACATTATTACTAACTAGTTTGAAAATAGTTAAGCAAATGATAATCAACTTCTAAAAACAGATTAATTGCATGTTTAAAATAAAACTCTAAACAAAAAAATTATCAATGACATTGTTAAACAATTCGTGAGTAAGTATTGAAGCAGTAATTGAAATATCATTACAATTTAAACAAAATAATATTTTATATCATTAATACATAAATATCATATAAGCTTGTTTATTGCAATTTTATGTGGTTATTTCTATGAAATATATTTTTTAAAGCTAGCAATTTTAATTTTTATGAGCGATATATATCGTAAGGATTGATTAATTTATTTTTTTTGCAAACAAAAATGGAAGCTTCACTTTATTTTAACTCAATTTTCAATAATCTTTAGTTTGATTACTTAATTTTAAGAGATTAAGGACAAGGAAGCTACATTTAAAGCCAATGTTAATAGCAAAGGATTTTAAATTATATGTTTCTTTTTTGGAGTAAATGAAAATTAGAAAAGATCGAAGTGCTAAACTAAAATGGTATTTATTATAACTTAAAGATGTTTGAAAGAAAGAGCAGTTTGATTGAAACAAAAATAAATAATTATTTTTTTTTAATGCAATAGAAAGATAGATAAATATTTGAAAAATAGCTTTATTAGTTTAATATTATAAGACTTATAAGTTATATCATAGTTATTAATTTAAGATTGAAAATGAATTAAAATAAATGCTTGAACAAAACACAATTTATTAATTAAATTAGGTGTAAGAAGTTGTTGATTAATTAATATTTTATTCTTTTATATGTTTTATAATATAATTTATAATAGAGATAAAATATTTGTTTATGTTTTTTAGTTTACTTTTTATTAAACTATCATTTTTTTATTTTTACACTTTTAATTGTTCAAGTAAAAATTCAAAATTCAAGAAAATTTTTGTAATATTTGTGATAAGTAGCAATAAAACTTTATAAAGTAACAAGCTTTATCAATCAATTTCTTATTCTAATTGAATTTTTATTTTATTATTAGGTAGAGTTGTTAGATTATGAAGAAGATGATGAAGACCTTTATCGATATTGTTTTGAGTTTTTTTTGGATCTTTTGTTATTGTTTTAAGAAGATTGATCATTTTTATACTTTCTTACACTCTACTTTTTTTTTTTACGAGAAAATTAAGAAGGTGAAGAACTAGGACTAGATTGTTATGATGAGGGAGAAGAAGATGATGATGACGATGAATGCGAAGAAGAAGAGGATTATGATGTGTTGTTAGAAGTAGATGAAGATCTTTATCCGTGCTATTTAAAACGATTATACCTTGTTTACTTTTGGTTTGATTTATACTACTTTTCTTTGTAGTTTTCATTAGATCTTGATCTAGATCTATTTTACACATTCATTTATTTTTCATTTTATATTGAAGTTTGGAAGTGGTTAACCTATTTATTTAGCTCTTCATGGATGCGTTAATCGTCCTTTTCATCATTTTAATTTTTTTATTTATTATTTTAATGGCGAGTAGATCTACCATTATATAATATATTTTAACTATCGCTTTGATGCTTTTGTTTATTTTTCAGATTCAATTATTCTTAATCTATTATTCCTTAATGTGTTTTAGCTTAGTTTTTTTATTTTTATTAGAAAGTCAAATCCCCATTAGACTCAGATGATTCCCTGCTAATAGATCTATGTCTTTCAATCGAATTATTTTCTTCTGAAGTTTGGGATTAATAAGAAGATTACTTTTAAATCCTTTTTGATTCTTTCTTGCTATCTGAGTCTTTTTTATCTCTTAATTAAAATTAGTAATATTAAAAATAATATCAAGCTATAGTTTTGGTTTATAAAAAGAAAGAATGCGCTTTGATAACAAGTTAGTTAATTAAATTAATTATAGTGAATTTTAAAGAAAAACTAACAAAAGAAGATGATTTTTGCTTTCTTTTATTTATTTTCAAATTTTTTAATTAATTTTTTGTTCATTATTTGACTTTAAAAAAAATTAATTAATTTTCTTAATAATTATTGAAGTAATCATTTAACAAAACAAATATAATACTTTGGCGAATTATTATTTTTTGCTTGGTTTGTCATAAGATATTTGTTTTTTTATTATTTCAAACAATTTTATAAGTATTATTTTAATTTTAAAATTATTTTAAACTATGATATTTTAACAATGATTTAACCTTATTTTTATTTTATTTATTTAATTAATTGAAAAAATTTAATACTTTTTAGGGCTTTTGCCAAAGTAGGGTCCTTTGTGCGAAACTCTTGGCTCATCTCTTTTAGAAAGCATTATTTTAATTTCTTTATTTTTTATCATTTTTCCATCAAGCTCTTCAATCGCTTTCAAAGCATCTGAATTCCTAGCGTATTTGACAAATCCTATTCCTCTAGGGATTTTTTATCCTCTTTACTGCTAACTATATGGCTCGTAACAAATATTTGCATATTCAACTCTTCCATATGTGCTAAAGATCTTCTTTAGCTGCTAATCAGTCACTTTATGGCTTAAATTCGAAATATAGAGACAGCTTCCTGTTAATTATTAAGCAATTATGAGTAAATTTAAGGTAATTTATATGAAAATTTGTAAGAAATCTACCTTTGTTAACCTAATCCATCTACCTTTTTTCAGAATAAACAGTTTTTTGGCGTATATTTTTAGATTGATTTTCATAAATTGAGCTTATTTATTATTAATTTGCATTTTTATTCATAATATGCTAGAGAGTGGCTTCATCAAGCACTTTTTGATCTTCTTCTTTAACAGTAGCAGTATGCTAATCGATTGTTTCTTATTTATATAAAAAAAATTTAAGAGAAATCTAATAGGCAAAGCTTAAATTAAAGTATTTCCGTCTTTCTACTTTTCTTTTTTAAAGGCACAAATTGATAATTTTAAATTATCTTGCAAAATTAGTGCTGTTCTAAATTTGAAACAACAAATAATATAAAAGTCTAAAATGAATTTATAAAAATGATTTTACAATGTTAGTTCTTATTATCGCTTTTAGATATCATGAAGTCCATAATCAAAATAACTTTATCACTTAAAGCTAAAATTTGAATTAGCTCCAGCTGCTATAAAAATTTTGTTCTTCTAATTCTTTTAATAAAATATGCAATATAATTAAAGAATATCACTTTTTTTTGCACATTATTATCTTTTTATTAGCTAAAAGACTTTGTTTGAGAGTAAATGTTATTTTTCTTGCCTTTTTGATTAATCTTATAATTTATGCGTATTTATTTATTTAGATTTTTCTTTTGCTTCATATATCCTTTCCTTCATAAATATAGCATGAGGCTTACAAGTCTCAAAATAGAATAACTATTTTTTACAAACTAAATAACTATTTTAATACATTCTTCTATTAAATTACCTGAAATTCAAAACTAGACTTTTTCACATTAACAACTGTGTTTTTTCATTGATCTATTTATAAAATTGAAAAAAATGTATTATGTTTCAATTATTACTCAAAAAAATATAATATTTTTTACACGTAATTTTCGTCATTTAAAAAATTTTATATTTCATCATAGCTATATAAGTTTTTAATAATCAATCTAATTCATTTAATTTACAAAATCAGTCTTTATAATCTATGATCAAAATTATTTAAATTTTCAGCTAGCTAGCTGCAATAAATAGAGTCCCAGATAAATAAAATAGAGTAAATTAGTAAATTTTTTAATAAATTTAATAAAAAAATGGGAGATCAATATTTTATTTTTATTTAAGTCTTTTTACACCTAAGATTTATAATTTTTTTCTCAAGAAAACATTGTTTTAAGACTAAATAATTTCTAGTTTTTATAATTAATTAATTATCAATCTTTCTTTGATAGAAGAGGGTTTTTGTTTGTGAAGATTATTTAATATGCTTTTACTGCTATTAAAATAGGACATTCTTAAAATTTCATTTACAAAAAGGTAGAATATTGTTTTTAAATTAGTAAAATAAACAAAATATGTTATAATAGTTTTATGCTCTCACGAGTATTTATTCCTCATAGAATTACTTCTGCTTCTGCTGCGGCTTCTAGATTTAACTTATGTGTTTGCTTTTTAGTTATTTCTGTAGGAATCTTAATTTGCAAAGCAATCTTATTAATCCATCGTCAGGTTCTATCTATTATCAACAAATTCAGAATTAGTTTTCTTTAATAAATTTTGGGATGATTATTTATCCTTTATGTAGTGCCTTTGACTTTTATACTTATTTTATTCAGAAGGGTTATAATTCGAAAAATATTGAACATCCTTTTTACTCATCTTATCACATTTATTTAACTCTGTTTAATTATCTCTAATATATTTATTTTTCTAAGAAAATTTATCTTTAATATGCTCTAATGATTAACTTCTTTTCCTTTTTTAACTGGTTCAATAATAAATTATTTTAAAATTAAATATTTAATTAATATTCTTACGATTATTTTTTATTATAAACATTTCCAATTTTATGGTATGGTCCATCCTTTGACTATCTGGGCTTCTCTCTTTTTGCATATTCAATTTTTATTTTTTTTCCTTTTAAATTTGTTTCATCGAGGTGATTTAATGCTCTTTAAGCATCTTTCTCCTTGTAATATTTTATAAAGGCATATCCAGCAGGTATTTTAATACCCTGTTATTACTAACTGTAAGGTTTATAGCATATATTTACATAATCTATTTCTCCATACTCTTCAAAAAGTTTCTTTAAATTTGATTCAGTCACTTTCTCACTTAAATTCGCTATGTACAAGCATTTGCCTTTTTGAGAATATTTTTGATGATATTTTTAATGGATTTTTAATAGCATAATCAAACTAAATTTAATAAATTTATACTATTTTAAGACTCATTTTCATTTCTAGTTGCTCTTTTATCCTAAATCTTTGAGCTTTTACTCATTTTTGATGTGCGATATGTTTAGGAGGAAGATGAAGAAGATGATCGAGACCTTTATGATGATGAAGAAGATTATGATGATGAGGAAGAGCAGGAAGATCCAGAAGAAGAAGATCTAGAAGACCTAGGAGCGCTTACTTAAGAAGATTATCTTCTTGAAGAAGCAGATGTATTGCGATTGGAGAATTTAGAAGACATAGACTATTATCTATTATCTTCATCAGCGTTAATTCTTGATGAGTTTATATCATTTTCTTTTACATAAGTATCTTTTATATTGCTAATTTTAGATTCATCTTTCACCATTTACTAGAAATTATTTGCTATAAATTGTGAGTTTGATTAAGTATTTTCAGTAAAAACTTCACTTTCTACAAACATCCATTCTTTTAATAAAATTATTTTAGTTTTTTCAATGAAGAAATTAATAAATTACTCGAAATAAATTTTTAAAATGGATCAAAAAAAGAAATAAAGACTAAAATAATTAGATAATTTATACATATTCCTTTTATTTATTTGGAAAAAATAACGAGAGAGTATGGCTCAGGAAAAATATTTCCTCTTCTGAGTTTAAACTTGCTTTACAAATCTCGTTTGACTATTTATTTGAGTAAACTGTTTACAAATATGTATTTCTTTAAAACTTTAGATATTATGGTTAGAGATTTAATGCTTTTTTAATAACTTTACTTTTTGCAAATTATTTAATCTTAATTTTTGATTTGCTGTTTGTATTATTAATTTTTTTCGATAAATTATAGAATGAGGAACTCTTGCCTAACCTTAAAAATTAACTAATTTTTTATATTTTTAAGAGGAAAAATTGTTAAAATTAATTCTTCTTAACATCCGCTCTATCATTTTACTTTTATAAGCAAATAATCAAGATATAGATACAATTTAATCCAACTCAACTAATTTAAATTATCTAGTTTAAATAGTTATATATTAAAAAATAAAGATCATATTTCGATTATGCGAATATTTTTTTTTAATTTGAACTAAATTTATGCCATTAAGATGAAATAAATTTTTTTATTATTCCAAATAAAATAATTTTTTTAAAATTATAATATCATAAAATATGTTAAAAAAGAATAAAAATAATATAAATTACTTTAATAAAAAATTATCTTTTTAATATATTTATCTATCAAAAAAAGATAAAAACTTTCAATTAATATTTAATATTACTTAGCTTTTAATATTCTCTTAATCTGGAATCATGTTATTATCATTTTTAACTCTCAAATATAAATCAATTTTCTAATTTTATATCACATTTATAAAATTTTAATAATTCCTTTTTTAAAGCGCTTAAATAATTTATTCAATAAATACCATTCAAAATATAGTAAAATTTTATTTTCATTAAATATATGAGTAGAAACTTTAATTTGAAAAAAATATTAAAGGAAAGATATTTTTGTAATAGCAGCAATTAAAATAGCTATTATTTATTTATTTTAAATTATTTTAGTTAAGTTTTTAATAAAATTATTTTTAAATATCTATTTTATTTATTAACTAACTTACTTATTTACTTTTTATATCTATAAGATAATTCCTCTTATTTCAGAGCATATATCTCTGATTTTTTGATGAAATATGTATGATTTTAAAAAATTTGTATCTTAAAAATTATATTTTTTTTTAATTTTTAAAAATATTTAAAATACAGTTTCTAAATATGTTTTAAACCGATATAAATAATATTAAAAATTATTTTTTTATTTGATCTAGAATATATTTTCTGAAATTTTTAGACATTATTCACAAGCAAAAAACTTTCAGTTAAATTAAGATGTTAATAAATAAATAAGAAAATTATAATTTAGAATAAATATTGGCTACAATGCAAATTATTTAACTAGATATTCAACAGAAAAAAAAATGCTAATATATTCTTTTCTACTTATATTTCTAAATAATACTTCTATTATATTAATTAATAATTTGAAAAATTGCCTTAGTTTATATTTGTTTTTCAATTTAATAGAAATAAGATAAAATGCAAATTTAACGTTTTAACGAAAGAAGCTAAAGCTAAACTAGACAAAGAGCGGTGCCAAATATTGATTTTAGATAAGTTCTTAAGGTATCTTAATAATAAAATATATTTGACCATAATTAGAGCTAATAGGCATCTTAAACGATAAATTTTTAAGATAAAAAAAACAAAATTACCCATAAACCAAAAGTGGCTGTTGTTGATTTGAGAAATAATATTTGGCCAGCAAAAGAAAAAGAGAATGTTGTAGTTACTGGAGCTTAATACCCATAGAGTAAAATGCTGTCTACTAAGTATTTAAAAACAGAAGGATCATAGCCAAGCGTAGATTTTTAAGTCCTTCCTTTTTAACAAAGAAGCAATAACTTCAAGGCAAATTTAGTACATGCATAGATTGATTTGAATGCAAATAATAATAAAAGTTTCTCAAAAGAGAGCTAAAAATGTGTAATTAATCCTAATCAAATTTCTTTAAATTCATAAATATCTCGCTAAAATTCTCTCTTATAAAAGAATTAAGTGACATCTAATAACACGAACAACAAATTTTAAGTAAGTCAACCTAAATATGTATAATTTATAGCACCAAAGGCCAAGTTGAATCTTAATGTAGCACTAGCAAATTAAAAATAAATTAATAACTAAAATTAAATAAATGCAAATAATTTTTCTATCAATTCAAGTTTAAACAATTCTTTCAGCATGAATAATTCTTTTAGCCTGAGTAATAGTTTTCTTCCTTAAAAATAAATTTTGCTTGGCATATATAGTGAAGTTAATTCACCAAGTAACAAAGTTCTACAAAATCCTTAACAGTAGCAACCAAATATAAATTAGTTAACTAATTTACAGCTAAATTATAATTATTATCATCAACCTAAATATTTTTAAAAACAAAGTTAAAATATACAAAATACCCCTAAGTTAAAAGAAATAATTCCAATAGCAAGATAAAACAGTCATGCTCGAGACAGTTCATATAGTTCAGCAAATATTACTAATAGCCAATATTCCTGCAAAACTTTAACAACTTACCAAAATGTGATTGAAAATACATGTAATTTAAATAGATATTCTTAAAGCATTATTAATAAAAGCACTGAATTAGCAAGTATTAACTCAAGCTTATATGAATGTTAAGCTAGAATGCAGAGAGAAAAAAGTTTAAATACAATAAGCCATGTTTAAAATAGAGAATCTTTATATTAGGAAATCTCTTAAGGATAACCCAATATTTTAATTGATTCTGATAATCAAAGCAACTTTTAATATAAAGGTTTTTTTGTAAATTAGCAGCAGTTGGTAAATTCAACAGAAATTAAAATTAATAATATTGAAATAAAAGAAGTAATTTATTTTTATATAATTTCTTATCCGAAATTTTATTGAAATATAATTTATTTTTGAAATTAATTATAAAAGCCTTAAGAAACACCAAACTCTGAACCAGGGAATACTCAAAAAAGCTTTACTTAGCTTTGCAATAGCTATAATGGAAATGAAGTTTTGTTAAATTAATAAAACCAAAATACTTTCAATAAAATTTAACTATGTGATAATTTATAATTAAAATAACAAAAAGAATACTTTGTAGAAAATGTTAATTAAAATTAAGAATTTTCATAAAAGAATTAAGACAGTTAATAACATCAAAATGAATTCAAAATAACTAAGAAACTAATTACAAATGCAGATCCGATTGAACTTAATTTCAAATCTAATACTTTTTCTTTTGCTGGAGATAGCTTTTCAAATTAAATACAAGAAGCAGAAAAATCTTTACATCAGAAATTCGTCTTATCTATACGTAAATTTAATTAAAATGAATAAGAAAATAAATTATTTTAATTATAATAAAGAAAATATCTTCTTAACTAAAGAAGATTTAACTAAAATGATTTCTGTAGAGCTAGGTTTTAAATAAATTAGCTTATAACTAGTTTCTTAAGATCCTTAAAAATGGCTAATAAAATACTAAAATTCATGTACATATGAAGGAGAAATAGATGAATATACATAAGAAAGATAAGGTGTTGGCAAATTCATATTTAGTAACGGGTACTAATATGACGGAGAATGGTAAAGTAATTTATTAAATGGAGTTGGAACAATAACGTCAGCATCAGGTAGAGTAATTTATGAGGGCTAATTTCTTAATAACTACATCGAAGGAAAAGGTATTTATTACACACTATTATATGATGCTACTACCAAAGTAAACTATAAAAATTTATGCAACCAAAGCAGATATGTCACTAGGTATGAAGGCTAATTCAAAAGTAATCAATAAGAAGGATTTGGAATGGTCTATTTTTCATCAGGAGAAAGGTTTGTAGGATTATTTGAAAAGGATGCTGCAAATGGACCTGGTAGTTTCTACACTGAAACAGAAAAAATAGCTGGTGAGTGGAGAGAGGGAATTTTTATCCGTTACAAGCTATGATCTAAAAAGAAAATTTTCCAAATTAAATTAAATTATATGTAAATAAAATCAGGCATATTTTAATAAAATAATTTTATGTTAAAATTTGTTTTAAAAAAATAAAATTATAAAATAAAAAATTGTATTTTTGCTTGTTCAGTTGTTCAGTTTATTATATAAAGCTTTTTTTGAATCATTTGAATAATATTTTTAATTTCAAAAACGTTTTTATTAAATTAAATTATAAAAATATTTTTTTGATATTTAAACACTAAATTAATAAAATTATTAAATAGATTTTTAATGTAAAAGAAAATTTATTTTCTATTATTTATTCATCCTTAAAATATTTAAATGTATTTTATAATTATCTATTTGGTTGTTTCTTTGATTTCAAATAATCCAGCTCAATCCACTCAATATTTTTTTATTTTATAGTGTTGAGTTGAATTATTTTGCCTTGCCTTGCTCGAATATAGAGAAGTTATTAGAATTGGTTGAATAAATTTTTTTTACATCGCTTAATAATTAATTAGAGTATCTTTATCAAAAAATAAAAAATTTAATTAACAAAAAACATCTAATTAAAAAATAAGCTTTGCATACTAATATTAATTAACTAGTTAATAAATTATTAAAAAATTAGTTTAGCAGAACAAGCCATTAAGTCTACTAATATATAAATAGTTTTGCATTTAACAAAGTAAAGGGAAAAAGCAAATATTCCAATATTAATAGAAGGTCATTAATAACATTAAGAAGATTTTTAAAAATGAATAATTCAAAGTCAAACGAATCAAATTAGCTTTGTTGTTCAAAACACAACCAAAAATAAATTCGCTTTATTTGTTGTTTTGATGGTTGTAATTTTGGTAATTTAATATGCGATACTTGTCTGACAAATGACCCAAGACATATGTAACAACACAAAAGTTATGTTTCAGACACTAATCACTTTTTTGCTACTTAAACTAAAATGACATAAAAATTGCTTCCTTCTATAGCCGAATCTGTTTAAGATATAGATAAAAATTTTAAGGAATATAATCAGCATTGCGACAATGAAGTGGCAGAAATAGACAAAGATTTTGCAGAAATTTTTAAAACATTCTTTAATATTTCTGAAGCTGCTAAAAATTTCTTGAAGGATTAAATTAGAAGTAAAAGACAATTATTTAAATTCATTTTCTTTAAAGTTATTGGCTTTATTAAATTATAATATGAATCAAAAAAAAAAATATGAAAGAACAAAAAAAATTTAATTATTATTTCTAAATTACAAAAAGCTGAGGGAAAAAAGTTTTAGCCAAGATTGCAGGATCTATAAAATAAATTACAGGAATTAAACTAAACAAAAAAAAAGGATACTAACATTTTCAATATGATTTTTTCTAGGGATAATGATGAAGTTACAGCATCATCATAAGATGAATTAGTTGCAAAATTAATAAAGAAAAATGGACCATTAAACCTGATTAGAGCTGAATCGTTTGCTCTTTCTTAAGAATTAAGCTAAATTAAATCAAAGAAAGTTAACTACAAGCATTTGGATGAATCAAAGAAGTTATTTGAGCAAATAAAAGATGCCTTTGAAAACCAAACAAAAGATATGTATAGAAAATTCAAAGCACTCTTAGAAGGAGCTGACAATGAAGATTTAAGATAAAGCATATTTGCAGGAATTAAATCAACTGTTTCTCTCTCTAATAGCATGATTTTAAGCAAGAAGGCTTCTGTTGTCAGCATTGATTTATCATCTTCATCATCTTCAAATCCCCTAAAAAGATCTATCACTTTAACATCTGAGGGTAAATTTTTAATAAATAGTGATTTATTTTAAATATTTTAAAAGATAATGAAAAGAAACCTGCTAGATAATTAAAAAAAGTAGCCCAATTCCCTAGCTTATCAAATAAAAATGTTTTAGAAGCAATCAGAATAAATGGCTCTTTTAATTACAGAATAGAAGATTCTTACTTAAATAATTAACCAGAATAAGGTCCATTCGAATTCGAAGATGGTTCAATATATTATGGACATATTTAGGATTCCAAAAGAAATGGAAGAGGTGAATTGATTCACTATTTTTAATTTTATAACTGATCTAAATTTTTTCATAATTGTAGGAAAATAGATGTTTTAAGATGGAGCTTATTATGAAGGATTTTGGAAAGATGATATTCCTTTCGGCATGGGAAGAATTATAAGAAATAATGGAGATGTCTATTAAGGTTAAATTAATAACTTCAAAGCCCATGGCAAAGGTGTGTTCAAGACACTTAAAGGAGAATATATGTACAATGGAGATTGGTTAGAAGATTTAAAGCATGGAAGAGGTGATGAAGTCATTCAAGGCAAATACTTATATAGTGGAGACTTTTCATATGGTAAAAAACATGGAAATGGAGAAATTAAATTCGTCGATGGCACAATCTATTTAGGTGAATTTAAAGAAGGAGAGATAACAGGAGAAGGACAAGTAAAAAAAATTAATCAATAAAAAATTTTCATATAATTTTAATATAGTTTATTTATCCAAATGGTGAAAAATATGTTGGCTGTGTTAAAGATGGTTAGAAATACGGAAAAGGATCTTATGTTTGGCCAGATGGCAGAAATTATGATGGTACTTACATGAATAATTTGCCTCATGGTAAAGGAATGTTTATATGGTAATTTTTATTTATAATTATTTTAACATTAATAAAAGCTCATAACTAATACATACTTTTAATCTATTTTAAAGCATGATAATTTTTTAGTAATTTATTTATGTGTTTAATAATTATTATTGCATTTAAAAGGCCTGATGGATATATATATAACGGTAATTGGGTAAATGGTGTGCAGCATGGATAAGGATTAGAAATAGATCCAGAAGGTAATGAAAAAGAAGGAGTCTGGGAAAATGGTGTCTGGAAAAATTGGGTTTGATTTAATAGCAAGCAATAAACTATTTTAATTATTTCAATATCTTAAACGCAATAACGTTTATTTAGTTGAATAAAAAATATTAACTCTATTCAAATATTTTATCATTAGGAAAAAAGAAAATAATTCTCATATAATTTAAATAATTGTTTACCATCTATTTATAAATTGTTTTATTTTTAAAAGTATAATTTGATGTTTATTAAAACAACATAATTGACTTTAATTAAATTAAGTATCAGACTAATATTCCCATTAGAAAATAGGATTTCCATATAAGGACACATGTGCTTTTTTATTTTTGATATTGAAAGGAAAAGTAGATTTTTTTTATTTTTGAGCCTAATTTTTCTTCAAAAGTACCTAAAAAAAAGAAATTTTAAATAAATTATAATTAACTAAAATGATAGTAGTGAACAAAAAATAATATTTTAATTTAGTAACAAATATTGATTTGTTGGCTTATAGATTGATTAAATTTAAAAATAATATTTGCTTTAAGTATGTTATTGATGATATTTTTAGAATAACCAAAATATGCAATAATTTAAAGTTTGAAAAAATTAATATCAAAATATTACAGAAATAAAGATAAATGTGAAGTTAATGATAATAATTAATTTGCAAATAATTCTCACAATTTAATAATCATGAGATTTTTATTGATTACTAAAAATATTATTCAATTTGAAGCACTCTTATTTTTGCAATACTTATTTATATTCTTAAATCAATCAATTGAAGCCAACAAAAGCAAGCTAAAAATTAAAATATAAATTTTTGCAAACTGTAATTTATAATATCAGTATCAAGCATTTTTATTAAGATTTACTCTTCAAAAATATTTTACAGAAGATAGTTTTATTGACAGACATATAAGGAGAATTTAATCATGAGCGAATTGCAAGAATATGACCAAAACATAAATGATATGTTGGATAACTTTGAAAAAGAAGTTAAATAATTAGATAAAAAAGATGCAGCTTAAAAAAAGAAAGCTATTCAAAAAAACTAAACATATTTGAAGAGCATAGAATAAATGATACAATCTTATAAATTGGAAGTTCAAGCATTAGATAGAAATGAATCTGCATAGTATACAGAGTCTCTTAAGCAAATTAACTCGCGTTATATGAGACTTAAAAATGATTTTGAGTACAAAAAGAATGAAGGCACAGATAAAGAGTAGTTATTTTAGGGAAGAAATGGAAATCAACAAGATCCTGAAAATATGACTGGCGAAGAAATGATGCAAAAGGCAAGATAAATTTAAGATGAAGGTACAGAAATATTGACTGGCTTAGTTTAAATTATTGAATAGAATAATTAGTTAGCAGACTAAATTAGTGCAGATCTAAATGATTAAATTAATAAGTTGGATAACATTTACAAAGATGTCAAAGACACATAAACTGAACTAAAAAGAACATAATAGTATCTTAAATACTTTATGAGATAGATCTATACAGATAAAATCCTAATGTGCTTAATTTGTTTGATATTTACTGCTGCAGTTGCCCTTATTATTCTCTATAGTCTAGGTATTAAAATCACTCCATCTTCAAGTTCAAGTTCTTCATCCTCTTCTTCTTCTGGAAATGGCTAAAAACCCGCAACAAAAAGATTTTTAGAGGACTTTGGAATGAGTCTATTTGGCATATGACCATAAAAACAAATTTAAACAATTAAATGAAATATATTTTATAATATTTTATGAAAAAGAATACTTAAAATAAAAGTTTTTTAGTAAATGAAAACTTAACAATATGAAATATATTAAAAAAAATTAATATATAAAATGTTTTTTTATTAATTTAACATTAAAATTAATTATGATATTGCTTTAAGATTATTTATAAAGCTAGATTAACTTAAATAAAAGTATTTAAATTTACACATTTTAAATAAAAAGTATTTACAATTATTCAGCTTGGATAATATTAATCTTCTCATAGTATAAAATGAAATCTCTGTAATTAATTTACTCTATTCTTATAAAGTCACAATTATTTATGCCTATATTATAATAATTAAACAATCCGCAATTAAAAAAATAACATAATATTTTTACAAATAGAGAAATTTTTTTATTAAATTAGATTTTTTCAAAAAAAGTTCGACTTTTATGACTTTATGGATTATTTTTATTACTTGACTATTTTATCTTCTTCAATAATAATTAATTATGATAATTAAGATGATATCTAATATAATAATTAAAATACTTTATTTTTTAAAGAATAGCAAAATCTCATATATTTATTGATTATCTCAAAATAAAACATCATAAAGAAGATTTTATTTTAAAATTACATTTTTTAAATTAATATTTTTTAATAAGTAAATAAAATTTATCTTTTATCATTTTGAAGAAACCCCTAAATTAATACATATATTAGATGTTTAAAAATGAACTCATTAAAAAATATATTGATTTCTCTTTAAAATAAATTAAATTTTCTATTTTCGTTTATTAAAAAAATCCATCTACATTAAGTCAATTTAGAAATATTGTTTGTCATATTATATGCTTTTTATTGTTTAATTAATTATTTTATTCTTAAAAGCCATTCAGTAAAAAAAATATATATGTGTTAATATAAATAATAAATTAAAATTTAGAATGTTCTACTAATCCTATTACAAAAAATATGCTAAAAAAAATAAAAAAAAGTAATTTGTTAATTAGCTAATAATTTCTCGATAATAATAAGTAACTTTAAGAGATGTCAGAAGTTGAAAAAATGCACTATGTCCCTAATGAAGTTCTGAGGATAGAAAGTATACTTTCAAAACAAATGAGTTCTACTGCAAAATCTAAATTTTAAAAACTTAAGAACAAGAACTAGAGGAAAGAAATCACGGTTTATCCTCCGAAATGGAATAATGGCGAAATTAGTGCTTATTATTTATTTATGATAACAGTGCCTTAAATCATAATAATATCCTTGTGGGCTTCGGGAATTTTTATAGAATATCATTATATGGGATTAACATTTACTATTTTTGTATATCTATCTTACCTCATCGAGTCTTTTAGGTGTAATACTTTTAAGCAACTATTTAATGCAAGAGAGCAAGATAGCTTTTTCAAAGATTTAAAAAATTATAAAGAAGGAAAACCAGAGATTTGCCTCGATATTAAATGCTATTCAAATATGGATAAATATGGATCAAAAACTAACTATACTTATATGGAATAAGTTAAGTTTGACTATGATTCTTATGTTGATAAATCTTCTTCGTTTCCAAATGTGTTTGACTCATATTCAATAGTAAGAGTGCAAAATATATTAACTTTTTCATATAATGATTAACTCTCAGAGTATTACTTTGAGTCTAAGAGAAGGAATGCCCTTCATAGATGCTTCATAGAGAGTAATTGTGTAAAATAATTTAACAACTCAAAGGTTCATGGTCAAGTTTGTCATATGATAATTAAATAAAATACAGCATCAAACTTCTTCTATTCTTGGATCACATACTCAATATTTACTATAGTAGGATTGAATATTGTTTATAGATTAATTTTGAATACTCATTCTCCATTTGTTTAGAATTATATCCACAAAGTAATTTAAGCGAAGATTAATCATAAAAAATTGTTAGACGATTAACTTAAGTAGGCAGATTTTTTAAATGAAAATAAAAAAATAGCATAAGAGGAATATGAAGAAATTAAGTAATACTATGATAAGTACTATTAATAAAATGAATCATTTTTGAATGTCAATTATTAAACACCTGAATTATCCTCATAAGGTAATTTTTCTTAAAACAAAATAATTTTATTTTAAATTTTTAAATTGTAAATTATCAACAGGAAGTAAATAAACTTAACCTTCAGAAGTATTAAAATTCAATAATTAAAATCATCTTAGCAAAAATGACGCTGAAGTGTTTCTTTGAAATATTCTATCAGATCATAATAAATATATTTAATTTACTCAAATTTTGATTAGAATATATAAAATGTAAAGTCTTAACATATTTTTAATTTATGCTTTTAAAAGTAATGTTTTTAGAAAGAAAATGAAAAGGATATTTCCTTTTAAATATTATTTATTTAGATTTAAATGATATTACAAATTCCTAATATCATATATTTACCATAATAGATATTATTTTTTCATTTTAAGATATTAAAAATTGAAATATTGGTAATTAATTTGATATTAATAAAAGTTACTTTTTCAAAATTGAAAAACCTGGTTAAAATATGAGTAATTACATACAGTATGTAATAGATTAATATTGAAAATATTAGCTAATTTGATATTTTTTGACTTATATAGCCAATTAAAAGCTTATTATTAACTAACAAAATATACGTTTTAATTAAATAAAAAGTATAAGTTAATTTGATAAATAATAAACTTCCTAGTTCATTATACTGTATTGAAGAATCTATTTTAAAATTACATTTTTAATTTAATATTTTTTTATATTCAAATAAAAATTTACCTTTCTAATTATGAAGAAACCCCTAATTAATATAGATAAAATATTACTAAAAATGATTTGATTTCTTTTAAATGAAAATTTTCTATTTTCTTTTATTAAAAATAACACCATCATTAAATCAACTTAGTAAATCATGTTTTTTATAATATTATGCTTTTTTTATCTAATTAATTAGTTATTTTAGTCTTAAAAAGCATTCAGTATTTTAAAATAGATATGCGTTAACTTTCATAAGAAATTACAAATTTGATTAATCTTCTAATTATTACAACAAAAATAATCTAAAAAAATTAAAAAATTATAAAAAAGTAATTAGTTAATTAATTAAATTAATATCACAATAATAATAAGTAATTTTAAGAGATGTCAGAAATTGAAAAGATGCACTATGTACCTAAAGAAGTTGTTAGGATAGAAAGTATCCTATCAAAAGACATGAGTTTTAGTGCAAAATCAAAATTTTAAAAGTTTAAAAACAAGAACTAGAAGAAAGAAGTCACTGTTTATCCTCCAAAATGTAATAATGGTGAGCTTAGTGCTTAATATACTATAACAGTATTTTAAATCATAATAATATCATTATGGGCTTCAGGAGTTTTTATAGAATATCCAAATATAGGAATAGGATTTTCTATAGTTGTATATTTACTTTACTTTGTTGAATCTTTTAAATGTAACACTTTTAAACAACTTTTTCATGCAAGAGAGCAGGAAAGATTTGTAAAAGATGTAAAACATTATAAAGAAGGGAAACCAGAGCTTTGCCTCGATATTAAATGCTATGCAAGTAGTGATGAGTATGGATCAGATACAAACTATACTTATATGGAAGAACTCAAATTTGAATATGATTCTTATGTTGATAAATCTCCTTAGCTTCCAAATTTATTTGAAACATATTCAATAATAAGAGTGTAAAATATATTAACTTTTTCATATAGTGATTAACTCTCAGAGTACTACTTTGAATCTATGAGAAGGAATGCTCTTCATAGATGTTACATGAAGAGTAGTTGCGTAAAATAGTTTAACAATTCATAGGTTCCTGGTCTAGTTGATCACATGATAATTAGATAAAATACAATACCAAACTTCTTCTATTCTTGGATGACATACTCAATATTTACTTTAGTAGGATTGACTTTTGTCTATAGAATAATTTTAAATAGTCGTACACCATTTGTGTAGAATTATATCCACAAAGTAATTGAAGTGAAGTTCAATCATAAAAAATTGTTAGACAATTAACTGAGATAGGCAGAATTTTTAAATTAAAATAATAAAATAACAAAAGAAGAATATGAAGAAGTAAGATCATACTATAGTAAATACTATTATTAAAAAGAATCATTCTTAAATGTTAATTATTAAACACATGAATTATCCTCAGAAGGTAATTTTTCTTAAAATAATATAATTGTATTTTAAATTTTTAATTATAAACAGGTTTTATCAGCAAACAAACTTAACCTTCAGAAATATTAAAATTCAATAATTAATATAATCTTAATAAAAAAGATGCTGAAAACCTTCTCTGAAATTTTTGATCAAATTATAATAAATATATTTAATTTACTAAAATTTTTATTAGAAAATATAAAATGTATTTAAATTTTAATATATCTTGAATTTAAGCTTTAAAAAGGTGTTTTTGTAATGTTTTTTGAAATAAAGTGTATAAGATAGTCACTATTAAATAGTTAAATTATAAATTAATTATTTATCTATTTAGATTTAAAATAATATTAAAAATTTCAAATATTTCTATAAAAGATTTTATTTTATCGTCTAATGAGGTTAAAAATTAAAATATTATTAGCTAATTTGATTTTTTATAAATCAAGATTGCTTATTATAAATTTTATTAGCTAAAGTTAAATCTTATTTTTATGAATTACAAAGTTTACTAAAATCTAATATTAAATATTTTTAAAGATAGTAAATTTAAAAATATTAGTATATTACCTAAATTGGTATATAAAAAAGACATATCATTAATTAAAAGCTTATTAAAAATTAACAAAAATATAAATTTCATTATATTAAAAATATTAGATAATAAAAATAACTTTTTAAAAATTTTATAATTTGGTTAAAAAATGAATAATTACATACAGTATGTAAAAAAATAAATATTGTAAATATTAACTAGTTTTATATTTATTTTTAACATAAATAATCAATAAAAATATTATTAATAACTAAAATAAGATAAATATAAAATAAAAATTTAGCTAATTTGAGATATTATAAACTCGAATAGTTAACTAAAGGTTTATTTAAAACTAAAAATAATAACTTTTACTTTTACTATTTTAGCTGAATCTAACAATAAAAATATTGAAAAAAGTAAATATTAAAAATATTAGCTAATTTGATATATAATAAACATAAATAGTCAATTACAAGCTTATTACTAACTAACTAAATGCAAATTTTATTTATATTAAATATAAAATTTATTTCAGTCTAATAATAAATATATTAGTGATTCGTAAGCTTATTATATAAATTAAAATGAAAGATTATATGAATTAATGATAACTTGTCTATAAAAGTAAAAATATTGAAATTGTAATAATTTAGTGCGATAGTGATTAAAAAGAATTATTTTTTCGCACTAAAAATAGGTTAATTAATTAATTATTATTTAAGAATGCATTTATTTATGGTAAGCGAAAGAGTGATATGTTCATAAAACTCATACTGAATCGATCAAATTAGAAGAGCTTATCTTATGTAAAGAGCTTACATCTGATAGAATTTCAAAGTTATTGCTATTTCCATTGACTTTTGTGGTAATTTCATTTAAATTGCATTAATTTTGGTTTATGTACGAACTTTCAGATATGTGAGAAGGCTAAGTAGATATAGTTGAGGCTTATTCAATAGTTGAGTTACTTGAAGATGAAGATTTTTTTTGTTTCACGTAATTCTAATTGATAATAGCTTCTTATTACATTTATTACTATTATTATTGTTATTGCAGTTATACTTAATGCTATAATTATTATTATTACTATTACTACTATTGTTGTTGTTATTACTACTATTATTGCTGCTATTATTTTAAATTTCTTTGTTATTTTTTCTGCAAATATTGCTTGTATTGATAACTTTAGTTTTTATAATATTCTTTAAATTTTGGTACCGTTTTTTCAATAGTCTTGTAAAGTAGGCGTTCATGAGATTTTATAGTGAAAGGCTTTTTGCATTTGCTTTGGTATTTTATATAAATTCTTTCAAAAAGCTAATCAATAGAGTACTTTTATTTATTTTCCACTATTTACTGGTTTTTCATTAGCATTTCGTACTCAATGAGGCTTTATTATTTTTATTCTTGTTTTCTTATTTCCTCTTCGGAGTCCCACTTTTCTATTTCTTCGTACATAATTTATTCTAATAAATCTTCTTCCAAATCTCTGTTCATGTATACTTCCTCTTCAAGAGCTGATTTTAATTTTCTTGTGGCACTAATTATTTGCTCATCATCTGTTGCAACATCATTATCAATAGACTATATATTTAGAATAATTAAAATTTTAGTTATTTAAAAAACAATTGAACTAATTACATGATCTTGAAGTTTGTCAACATATTCTGAAGGTATTCCTAGCTCTCTATCAACATAAAGTAGTACTTTAAACTATTTCAGTGCTGTACTATTCAAGAATGTAAGATAAGTCTAATATAAGTTGAAAAAAAATTAATTTTTTATTATATTTTTTTATTTATTTACAAAATGGCGTGTTTATTTCATAGTTTGGTTATCATTTATAGCGCATTTTTTACTGCTTTACTTTGAAGTTGAGACATTTGTTATATCTTATAGGGGTTTTCTAGATAAGGTTTAGAATTGATTATTTTAGTATTTTCCACTTTAAAAGTGAGCATTTGAAGCAGATTTATCATCTTGTTAGACATGATTCTCATCTAAAAAGTGTTTCTGAGTTAGCTAATATTAGCGAATCTGCTTGATCTTTGATTTTAGAAATTTATTTTAAGAATTAATTTAGGATACAAAATTTAATTTTTTTCAAATTTAAAAAAAATTAAAATCAAAACAAACAATCAAACTAGAAGCAAAATATTCTTCTATCAAATACGAATGAACTATCAATATATCAATAAATTAATTAAGAAAAAAAAGACACTCCTTTTACTGAATTATATTTATTAGGTGACATTCTTAAATATGGTATAAGTCAATAAATTTTAAAAGGAATGCATTAACCGATATAAGTTAAACTACTAAGTTATGAATTATCATTTTTATTATCTATTAAAATATTTACCTGGTCTTTAGAACGGGGACTCTGTCCGTTATTAAGGTTTGATGTTTTATTAATCTACTTTTATTTTGAAGCTGGAAATTATCCCATGATGGGGTTTCTCTAAGCTACCAAGAGTTCTTCACCTTTTCCCATTGAGCCTTTTATGTGATTGAGGAGTAGTTAATTATTTTTGATTCAATTAAAAATTATAAATGAGTTTTGTTGTTGTAGTTTAACCTCTGTCCGACTTCTTTTGCGAGTTAACTTCTTTTTTGCGCTATTTTATAAATTCTTAGTTGTTTTTTTATAATGAAAATTATAGCCAAATATTATTATTAAATCCTAAATAGTATTAATAATAAATCAATATATAGATAAATTGATGGATGGATATCTTATATTTTAATTAATATTTTGATAATTTTGGAATATAAAATTGAATTTAATTTTTGATTTCTTTAATATCTATAACTGAATAACAAACATACTCGCCGCTAAATTTCATAAAAAATAAAACACGGCAACAAATTAATTTAATCCAAAGATTTTTTATGTTTGCTATTAATTCACTAATTCATTTTTTATTCTAAAATCAATTTTATAAATGTAAAATAACTTTAAAGGCTCAAGCAATAAATTTTAGGAGAAGAAAAAACGTTAGAATTGATTGCTTGAGATGAAACATGAAATTAATTAATTTTTTTTTTTTGAATAAAGGCATCATACATTTAGTAGTTTTCTTAATTAAATATAAAATATTCATTTTTATAAAATAGAGGTAGTTTTAAAATATATTTCATTTTATTTATTTTTATAATTTTTGTTATTATTATGCTAATTATACAAATTTTTTAACTAGATTCTTAAAATAAGTACAAATATATTTCCTAAAACACTTTAAATATTAAAATGTTAAAAATATATTTAATTTAATAAGTTTATTTTATTTTATTAATTGGATTATCATAAAATAATTAATTAAGAGGATTATCATAAAATATTTTATTAAAATTAATCTTTATAAATCTTCTTTATATTAAGAGTGATTATGTAAAGATAGTAAAACATAGTCTTATATTTAAAGATCTAAAATATTCTTTTTAATATGAATATAGTAAAAATTAAATTTTATTGTTAACATCAATCAATTTCTTTACACTTTAGTTAATTAAGTTTTTAATAAAATTGTATTATTATAAATATAAAAGTAACACTTGATTATTTATTAGTTACCTTAGAAATTAATAATATTAAATATAAAATCATAGTATTTTAATTAATTTAATTCTATAATAAAAATCTATTATTTTCCATAAAATAGTAATAGATATTCAATTAATAATTTAAAATGTATGATTTCTTATTTGCACTAAATCAATTAAATAGAGATTAATATATTTATTGGTAAACATAAAATTCATCAATGATTGCAAATTCTTAGATATTTCATTAATTAATTTTTTTATAAAATTATTTTTTTCATTAATTCTTTAAAAAAATATATGATTAATAATTATAAATACTTGAGTTCTTATTTACCTTGGACTAATTATATAGAGATTAACATGAGTATTGGTAAATATAAAATACATCATTTATTATCAAGTAAATAATAAAACACTTAACTAATTTATTTTTAACTCAAGTATTATATTGTTAATATTAAGGCTTCAAATAGAATGGATTTTTTTTAATCATATGTCTTTAGAAATTTATTTGGCATAGAAAGTAGCAGACTTTCTAGCTTATGAGATAATATTTAACTTAATATCACTCAAATCCTTTTCAACATTGCCAACAAAATCTATTATATATTAAATTAATTCTTTCTTTTGGTACTTTTCTAAATGCTCATTAGTGATCAAGAAGCTAACATCATAACCCTATTTATTAATTGAATTTTGAGTATTATTTAAGATTATTTGCAAATTAATTGGTTACAGTAACAGCCTTTCTTCTTAAAATCTAAAATTAATCAGCTCTAACCATAAAATATTAAGAGAATCTTGAAGCGATCAAAATATCGAGTTCATCATTTTTCTTCAACAAGAAGCTAATCTAATAATAATATATTAATTTTTTGACTTAATAAATGACTTTTAAAAACAAATGTCTCATTAAATAGATATTAAATTTATTAAATTTTTGAAAGCTAAATAAATTTACTCTGCATGAGTTGACTGAAGGTTCAACCAAACACTTTTCCTTGTCACTACGAGCCAAGTAGATTGGATGGAGGACAAGATTTTTAGTGGTTTTGTTGTATCCATGTAATTCAACTTCTGGTTTATTATGCTTTTCGACAATTTCACTAGGGAAATCTTAAAGAGATAAACTAACATCTAAAACTTCTCTTAATGCGTTTGTGTATCCTTCTAAAGTGGAACTCTATAATATTATTAAAGATTCATTTTAAATACTCTTCCTTGATTATAAAGATATATTATTTTACCATTTTAATCTTTTCCTTTTACCTAATTAATAAATATTTGCCTATATTATTTTACTCTATTATTTTACGGATCTTGTTTGTAGTTTAATTTGTATAAATAATATATCTTGCGTTTTCCTTAAAATTTCTAAATCATTTATTTTAAGAAAACTTCATATTTATCATTCACATGCTTATTTATTTATTTCATTCAAACATATTAATCAGAAACATTTATTGATTCTTTTGATCAAGCAAGTATCTATCAGGTAATTAGGTCCTTACAAGATATAAGGCTTGCTTTTGTCATTAGATACGCGTAAAATAATTCATATTAAATTAGGCAACAAGATACATAATAAATATAAATATCTAATTTAATAAATATGAATAAGAATTTCTGTACTAAATGAAAATCTGTTTCCAAAAGCAAAAGAAAAATGAATTAAAATTTTATAATAATTAACATAATAAAAATAATTTTCAAAAACATTTTACTAAGTTTTTATTTTTAATTATGCTATTTCAATTATCCTAACAAAATAATTAAATAAATATAAAAACAATAACTCTATTTACTTAAAATAAATCAATAAATAACAACAAATTTAATTTGTGATAGCCAAGCTTTAATCATATATATATGAAGAATGAAGTATTTTGATGATGAAAAGGAAAAAGTAATAAACTTTATTAAATTAATTTAATGTTAAAAAAAAGGATAAAGTAATTACACTAATTTAAATATAAACAAGTACACTATTTCAGAATTACTCAACCTTTTAATTTACTCTCTTAAAAGTAATATCAAAGATTATTATAATTTATGTTTTAGTTTTTAATCAATCATACATTTAAAGTCCTCTGACATCTTTTGAAGGAGGGCAACCAAACTTGTAAAGACTAAAGAAGTTAACTATTGATTATATAAAGCATAAGACAATTTAGATGATACCAAAAGCTAGTGGCCATGCAGCTTAAATAATCATGGTGTTGTTATAACCAGCTTTTAATATTAATCTAATATATAATTCTTCTTAATCTAAGCTAAGATTGTCGCAGTATTTGCTATTTCTTGTTAAGGGATTGTTACTTAGTACATCTTTAGATTATTAATGGATATAAATTATAAAATATATAGTAATTTATTATAAAATTTATACCTATTTCATCCTTTCCCTTTGTGCAACCGATGAGTGAGCAGAATCTTTCTTGATTAATAATTATAACACCTGCAATAGATAGGATACATAAAATTATATCAAATATCACAGAAAAGTGAAGGAAGCCTGAAGACCAAAACATGTCTTTAACTAAAAGTGCTAGGTTTAAAAGAGCAAAGAGGAATGCTGCTACAACAAGTGTTAATATTTGGGTATCACAATAGTTACCAATCATGTACATAACAATAATGATATTACAAATAGCTATTAAGATGTTGAAGATTATAAAAACAGTACCAATTTTTCCTTTAACTGACTTGGAAAACTAATATTATTAAAAACAATAAATCAAATTTTATAAATCATGATAAAATCATATTAAAATATTAATATCCTTACCTATGAGATCATCTTTCTTCCTTTATTTCTTTCTTTCTTGATATTTTATCTTCTTTAAAACTTTTTAGATATTTAGGTTACGATTAAATTTTAAGAAACTTTTAATTTAATTAAATATTACTATTTTTTTAATTCTTAAAATTTTAAAATGCGCTAAACACTTAGATAAAATCATCCACACATGCAATTGGTAATGATAAAATGAGTTACCTTGAGTAAGATTTGTGAGATAACAAATTTCAACTAAATTTTTTATTCCTAAAAAGAATTAATTACCACACATTTTTTTTTGCATTACTCATTTTTACATATAAATTGTTATTTTTATAAAATTATTGCCACATGACTAATCAATATTCCATTTTTTTCAATGATAATATTTATTTTTTAATAGAACTAAATAAGAGTAAATACTGTTTTCATTTTTAAACCCCAAACTTCCCAAACTTGTTGGAGTTTTTCTAATTTTCTTTAAACTATCTACCAAATTATTATGTAATTTAATTTTAATTCTTTTACTTAAAAAGATATCAATAACTTTTTATTTTTTTATAATTAGCCAAGGATTAAATTAAATCATTCTCTCACTCATTTTTGCGGTTAAATTTATATTTTTACCTATTAGTACTTATTGTTAACGTTATTTCTGTTTCTTCAAAAACTTATCAATCAATCAATTTAATATAAGAAATATAACTTTAACTCAAAAGTAACATAGTAAATACTATAATTTCAATTTACATAAATTTATTTGATAATAATTACTAGATCCAAAAGACATAATTTTTTATTTGATCAGAATTTTAGGATATATTATTCTATCAAATGACTAAAGTAGTTTTTGCTCTGATTAAAAGTTCAAAAATCAATTTAAAAGCATTAAAAATATTAATTTGCATATTGTTTCAAATAATTGGTTTTATTTGATTTCTTAATACCCTAAACATAAATTATTTATAACTCTTAAATAAGTTATATTTTTAAAAATATATTTCTTATGCTTAACTTGAATAGAATAGTATCTCAAATATAAAGGATAACCTCTAATTTTTAAAAGCTAATCCAATGTTTTAAATATTAAAATTAAAATAAAGAATATTCATCTTTTCATTAATCCTATTTAAAACTTAAATTTTTTATATATAAATAGATATAAAATGTTTTTTATTAATAGAATATCATATTTTAAATTTTATTTATTTTTTATCATTTCTTTGTTATATTTTATTTATGAGACTTTTAAAAAAATTAAATTTTTTATTTTTTTTCATAATTAATATCCTTGGATAAATATTTACTTCATAATTATCAGAAAAGAAATTTTTATTTTTCATAAATTTAAATTATAATTTATTTTAAATTAAGAATAATAAATACTTGATTAATTTTTAAAGAAGTTGAAATTTTTTCTAATATTAATACTAAATTTTATATAATATGCAACAAACAAATTTATATAATTCAAAATAATATTAAATATAGTCCTATTAATACATATTTAATTAGCAGAATTTATGAAGAAGTGCTCATTTAGCATTAGTTTCCAATCAATGAAAATTATTCACTACATTTAATGCATTCATTCTTGTCATTGTAAATAGTACAAAAAGGATCTAAAATATCTAATACTTAAATTTCATCAAAGTTAATTATGGAGCAGTCATCTCCTGAGTATCCTTTTGCACAGATACACTTTTGATTCATACAAAAACCTCTTCCGCTGCAGTGATTTTTACAATTAAACTGCTACTCGCAGAAATCGTTTATTTATGGACAAACTAATTCACCATTGTAACCTTCAACTTTCAAAATCTAACCATCTTCTTCACAAATAACCTTTTGAATTTTGTTTATTTTGCTACCAATAGTAAGTTCTATGCTCATTTTATTGCCATTTTAAATACACTTTTAAGGATAGCACTATGCTTAATAGGCATCTGTGAAGGGAACGGAACCAAAAGGTGAAAGATTACTAGTTATTCCTTTGCTGTTCCAATCAAAAGAGGATCCAGCATTTTCCATAATATTTTCTTCACTGTTAAATTTATCAACTCTTCCATAGCATGATTTATTATCCAAGCTTATCTAAAAGCCACATTCCTTATCAAGAAGAGTTTGTTAACATTAAAAATTATATCCTTCATAATTAAAACCTGTTTTAGGTTATTGGTTATTTGATAAATCGCAAAATTCTTTAGGTCTAGGTTGAGCATTGCAAGTTTTAAAATAGAAATCACATCCTTAGTTTTTTCCCCAGAATAATCTGTCATGAAAATCCATTTAAACTTCATACCATCCACTATCTTTAAGTAAAGCATTATTTATTCCACTCCAAGTTACATCACCTATTTAATAATATATTAAAATTAATAAAACCAAGAATAGTATTTTAAAAGTAAAATAAGTTTATTTGAAAATAAATACAAATAAATTTAATGATTAAATACCTGCTAAAATATAGCCAGTCATCAAGTCTTGATAAAAAAGACTCTTACTCCAGTGAGATCCAGCTGTGCCTTATTACCCACTTCCCTCCAAATATACTTGATTAATTTGATTACATCTGAAATGTTATTATGCAAATGAGAGAATCTCAGGTAGTGCCAAAAATGGTTTTCCATCCTTATTGATACCGTACTAATCAGGAGTAATATTGACATAGTATTTATAAAGGCTTTCGCTAAATACTAATGCATGAAATATTTCGTGGATAGTTACTTTGATTAATTTATCATATTCGAAGTTCGAAAAGCTAACTTTATCTTAAGAGGGTAAAAATTTCAAGTTGTAGATAATGAATCCTACAACAGGTCTATTATCAGGATATAACAAACTACAAGCTCCTGCCTTTGCTATCCATTCTTCTTTAATATCTAATGTGAGGCCAAGAATAAAGTGCATATCAGAGTTTTTAATAGCTTTTTATTAAAATATTTTTTTAGTATTTTTAAATTAATAAAAAAAAATTTTTTACTTTTTTTGAATTATATTGGCAAATCACCAAAATAACAATTTTAAACTTCTAATTCATCTAGAATAGGATTCTTAACTTAAACGAATTATTCATAAAAGTTGAAAGCAACTTTCAAAGCATTTAAAATGATTTTAGTATGTAATGTGTTATTATATTCTCTTAATTCTTAATCGTCATAAGAGAATCTTATTGTGCTGCCTTACAGATTTCTTTGAGAGTCTTCATTTTCTGATTAGTTAGTTTTTTATTTAATAATTTTAATTTCTCTTTAATTAATTTTATTTAGCAGAGGGTTTGCATGAATATTGCTAAAAGTTAGCACAAATATTAATAACACTAGAGTTATTTTGTTGGTAGAGTTTAGTATTTTCATTTTTTTTTTTTACTTTATTCTGGTTTTATTTTTGTTTTTGAATTATTTATTATAGTTTTATTAAATTTATAAGTTAAAGTTTTTAAATGTGATAGAATCAGTTAATTAAAAGCTAGAATTGCTCTTTTCTATTTCACTAAAAGAATAAATTATATTATATTTTGTTAAATTTATACCTAATTATAAATCTATAATTAGTATTTAACTTTTTTAAATAAAACTACAAAGTAATTATTAAAAAGATTTAGTAAAATATTTTTTAAAAGCAATTTCCATTCTGTAAAATAAATAAATTATAAAAATTTGATTTAGTTGCGTAGTACTTTAATAAAAGTTCAGAATTTTAAAAATAAAAATATAAAAATAGAAAAAGTTAGCATCCTTAAATACTTTTAGTAAATATTGTAATACTGCTAGGAATAAATTTTCTTGAGAAGTTTCTATTTAAAAATTTACTAATTAAATTAAAAATATTTAATAAAAAGTAATTAAAGAATAAAAATAATAAAATATTTTGTAATAATTTCAATAAATACTCAAAAATTTTGTATATTAAAATTATTTAAAGAGTTTTACCTGAAATTAAAATAATTTTTATATCATTAATATAAGGGACATAAATCTAAAAATAGCTATTTACTTAATTCAATTACTTTGTATAAATAATTATCTATTTTAATTCATTTATTTAAATTTCAAAATTGACAAATTTTGTTTTAGATTTACAATTTATTCCTAAACTAAATTTAGAATCTATTTTAAAATACAAATTTATGCAATAAAATAAATCTATTTTTAGTGTAGATATTTCAAGGAGCAAATTTAATTTATTCCATATAAATTTGATTTAATTTTTAGCTAAATTTAATAACAATAAAAACGTTTTTCATACTAATAACAAATAGAAACAAAAATCTTAAAAAATAAATAGAAACATAAAAGTTTAAATGAAATTCAAATTAAAAAATAAAAACATTAAAATACTCTATAATTTTTTCAATTTAAGTTTAAAACAATTTAAAAATTCTCTTTATTAGGGAATAAAGCTAAATTTTAATTATAAATGAAAAAAAGCAAACAAAAATTTGAATTTGTCTATAATAATTAGCTCAAATTTCGAATGATTGAATATAAATTTAGATAATTACATTTCTTAACTGAAATAAAACTCCTAACAGCAAATTAAATTAACTTTCTATTTTATTTTTTATATCATACTAAATCAAATAACAATCTAAAACTTATCTAAAACTTTCTGTAAAATTTTTAATTTTACTCTTAGTTTTTAAAACATATTTAAAATAATTTTCTTTTTATAAGTATTTTAAATCACTTAAATTAAAATAATCAATTTAATTAATTTCTTAGGTTGTGATGTTTTAGAAACAAAAAAATCTATTTGCTACTTACAATTAGCTAAATAAAATATTTATTCACAAATTTTTTGGCAAAAATAGTTTTTAAATTTATTATTTAAAAGTTTAAAAATATAAAAATATAAAAATTATTTATTTTTTATAAACATATTTTTAAATTATTTAAACCAATTTTGTATTTTTTTTGAGAAATATTGAAAATCTTTGAAATGTTTTTAAATATTTTTTCTCAAATTATTTTATTTTTTGATCAAAATTTTAATTATAAATAGAGAATACGATATTAAAAAATATATATAAATACTAATTTCAATCAAATTAAGATGAAATAGAAAGCTATGATAAATATTTAAATTAACATAATTTGTGATGAAGTCTTTTAGCAAGAACCACCAATCAATTAAAATCCCTTATTGCAATTTATACATTCATTATCATCATCCTAGGAAGTACAATTTGAATCTAAAATTTCTAACTCTTCATCTTAATTTGAATTATTGATAGAGCAGTCTTCTCCTGAGTATCCTTTAGCACAAATACAAGTTTGATTCATGCAAAAACCTCTTCCCTTGCAGTGATTTTTGCAATTAAACTGTTATGTACAGAAATTATTTATTTTTGGACAGACTAATTAGCCATCATACTAGTCTACTGTCAAAATCTGATCATCTTCTTCACAAATAACATTTTATATTTTATTTATTTTGCTTCCAATGGTAAACTATATGGTAATTTTATCACCTTTTTGGATACATTCTTATGGATAGCACTAGATTTATTAAGGACCAACCTCAGTATAAGAATTTTTAGGGGAGAGACTACTAATAACTGCTTTGCTATTCCATCCAAAAGAAGATCCATACTTTTCCATTCTATTCTCGATAAAATTAAGTTTGTCTACTCTTCCATAGCAAGAAGTACTGTCCTCAGAAAGTTAATAAGAGCAATTATCAGTCAATAATTAATTGCATTTAAAATTATATCCTTCATAGTTATAACCAGTATTATATTGTTAGTTATTTGGTAAATCGCAAAATTCCTTAGGTAAAGGTCTTGCATTGCAAGTTTAAAAATAGAAATCGCATCCTTTGTCTTTACCCCAAAACAATCTGTCATGAAAATCCATTTAAATATCATACCAACCACTATCTTTGAGTAGCGCATTATTGATTCCGCTCCATGTTACGTCGCCTAATTAATAGGAAATTTTTAATTAAATTAAATTCTAAAAAATTATGTAAGTAAGTACCTGAAGATAAATAACCAGTCATCAAATCTTAGAAAAATAAGCTTTTCTTCCAATGGCTTCCAGCTGTTAATTCCGAGCCAATATCTTCTAGATACACTTCTTTAATATCAGAACAACCAAAATGCTTTTGGGTAAAAGAAAGTACTTCTGAAAAAGCTAAAAAAGGTTATCCATTTAAGTTTTTTCCATACTTATTAGGAGCTGAGTTAACATAATACTGATATAAATTATCATGAAATACTAATGCATGAAATATTTCGTGGATAGTAACTTTAATTAATTGATCATATTCAAAGTTAGAAAAGCTTCCTTTATTTTTGGAGGGTAAAAATTTTTAGTTGTATATGATAGCTCCTACAATTGGTCTGTTATCCGATTCTTACAAGCTACAAGCTCCTGCTTTAGCTATCCAATTTTCATTGTCATTATCTAAACCAACTATGAAGTGCATGTCAGTGTTTTATACAGCTTTTATTAAAAATGTTATTTTTAGTGATTTTTAATATAAAAATTTTGTTTACTTATTTTGAACTATTGAGGTAACAAATTAAATTAACAGTCAACTTATAAGCCAGAAATAATAGGATTTTTAACTTAAATAAATTGTTCATAAAAATTGAAAGCAATTTTCAAAGCATTCTTAATAATTTTAGTATGTAAACTGTTGTTAGATCTCTAAACTTCTTGATCATCAAAAGTAAATCTAATAGTACTACTTAATAGATTTCTAGAGGAGTTATCATTTTCAGTTTATTAATTTTATACTTTAATGATATTTAAATCCTTTTAATTAATTATATCTAACAGTGGATTTGCGAAAGTAGAGCTACAAAGGAGCACTAGCATAAGTAAAATGAGTTTTATTCTTAATGAAGTTTATGACATTCTATATCAATCAATAGGTATTATTGTGTTTTATTATTTTTATTTTTTAATAATTTGTTATACTCATTTATATTTCCATTATCTAAGTTTTTAAATTAATGCAGTAGAGAATAATAGCTAGAACTATCCGTTCTCTAACAAAAAATAATGTGAATTATTATTAATTTTAATTTTTCATTTCTATTTTTAGCTTTAATTCAAACTTATAGTAATAGAATACATTGTAAGATATTTATTATAGTGTCTAATTGTATACGAAATTCTAGAAATAGTAATAATATCTAGTTTAAATAAAACTAAAAATATAAAAAGTCAAAATGTTTAATATCAAATTTTTATTAATAAAGAATAAAATTAAAATTATTATAGAATAAAATATAATAAAAATTATAAGTATTTTTAAAATATATCTCAAAATAAAAAAATATTAACTTTAATTCCTCTTATTTTAAATATTTGGATAGCTGAAAATTAATAATATATAAAAAAATTAGAAATCATAGATTTCATTTTCGAAATGAGTGTGAACTTTTAATAAGTGAGGAATTATATTATATTTTTAGATAAATATCTTTAAAGATTATAGTAATTATTCATCTGATATAAAACTTATACCCTTGATAAATTGCGGGCTCGCCGATATCGTATTTCATCATGTTTAATAAAACAAATCTAAAAATAGTTATTTATTTATCAAATTAATACAAAATTTAAAATCCTCTATTTTATGTTTTAAATTTCAAAATATTTTGAATTTTCGATCTTCTTCATTAAAATAAATATTGATGAAATAAGGTTTAAAAAGTATATCTAGTACTATTGATGTTTATTATTCAGTAATTTTTGTCTAAATTAATCAAAATATAAATTTATGATAATGTAAAATATAATTTTACTTTAACTTTTATATACTAGAAATATTTTTAAAAATCTTTTTATTTTATTACTAATATAAATAATTAAAATTATTTGAAAACATAAAAATATAATTGATATTAACCTAAAAGAACAAATAAACCAAAACTACCTTATCACATGATTAATAATAAGCTTCTATATATAAAATTGTTTGCATTAATAATTATAATTAATTCACACCATATAAATATATCCTATATTACTGAAAGTGTGCTCAAATTAATAGCATTTGATTATTTATTTATCTATACATTCTTTGAAAGTAGACTTTTGAAAATTTTTAAACTGTAGAAAAACATCAAATTATAATATATTTTCATACTTTAAATAATCTTAAAAAATTTATTCTTTAATTTAATATGACATGAACAGTATTTTATTTTTATTTAAAATACACTTTTCATTTTAAAATAATCAATTTAATGGTTATTAAAAAAGAAATTTCAATGAATAATTAAATAATGTTTTGAAAAGAGATGATTTTTTGTTTTTATCTTTTTGAATTAAAAGTAAATTTTGTAAACCTTTTTAAGCTAGGTATCTAAAAAATTTCACAAAATATACAAAAATTTAATTTATAGAAGGATTTTGTTTTCAAAAAGTTAAATTTTGGATAAATAGTTTTCTTACTTTTAGTGAGTGCTCAGTTTATCAGTGTGACCAGTCTGAAAGATTTTACTTTATACAAAAAAATATTATTTAGCATTTAAATTAAATTTCATATAAATTTAATAACATATAATCAAAAAATATATAATAGAATTATACCTTATTTTTGGAAAATAAGTCCTTTGAGAATTTATTAAGTAAATTTTAAGTTAATGACAAAATTTATAATTAATGAAAAAGTAAAATAACTTAATATTTTAATATTCTTAATTCAAAATATTGAAATGAGGAGAAATTAAAAAAAATTTAAACATTAAATGCTATTTATACCTTAAAAAATTAATTTCTGCAAAGCTTCTATATTATATTATAAAGATAACTAACTTATGATTTATGAAAAAGAATGAAATTACAAATAAATAAAGTAATAAATAGATTATTTTAAAGTATTATCTGAAATTTTTCTATATCACTTCTTTATTAATAAAATAAACAAAATTAGTTAAAAAATTTAAATTCAGTATAATTCAAACTTTTTCATTGAGTTTGAAGATTTTCATAATTATAAATTTTTATTTTACAAATATTTCTTTAAATTATTTTATAAGTATTTCTATTGTTGTTTTTCTTGTGGGTTTATAATCTAAGTAAAGGTTTTAAAAACTATTGAAATTAAACAAAATGAATAAAACAATAATTTATTTATTGTTTAAAATTAGATATAGAAACAGAAAATTTTGTTTAAAACTCATTATAGAAAATGTAAAAACAAAAAGTACTTTGAAAAGAGAATCACTTTTAAAAAAAGGATTACATTAAATTCAATTAAAACCAATCAAAACAGTAAATATCAATTATAATTAAAATAAGCAAATAGAAAAATTTAAATCTAAATTTTACTTAAGGTAAATAATAGAATAGCTTGTGTAAAAACTTCAAAAAAAATGATAAATATCTACTTCAAAAAGCTGAGTGCGATTATAAAACCATCTCTTCTTACTAAAATTCGCTTTAATGCTTTTTATGTCCAGAAACAAAATCCTTTCTAAATATTTAAATAAAACTTATTTTTGAATAAAAATTAAATAAATCAAAAAGAGAAAACCATGTAAAATAGTATACCAAGTGCTTAGAGAGGATTCTAAAGCATCAATCCTACTACAAATCAACTTGTGGAAACTTTCTAATTTGATACCAGAGAAGAAATTTCAAACAAAATTTAAAAAAGTTTTGAAGCTTTCAAGACATTTAAGGAAATATCAATATAAGAAAGAACTGCAAAGTTTCTAAAACTAGTAAAAATTTTAGAAGATCATACTGAAGTCATGGCTAGGTCAATCACTGAAGAAATGGGTAAACCAATTACTCTATCTAGAGCGGAAGTCTAAAAAGTGATATTCCATATAAAATATTATTGCTAAAATGCTGAGCATTTCAATAGAAAAATTCCTGTTAAGACTGAGGCTGACAATTGCTATACAGTTTATGAACCTTTAGGGGTAATTTACACAATTACTCCCTTTAATTTTCCTTTTTGGATTACTTTTAAAGGCACTGCATCTTATATGACTATCGGTAATGCTGTTATTGTTAGAGGTTCTGATTCTACTCCTCGTACAACAAGATTGGTAAAGAAATATATGGAGATGGCAGGTAAATATACTATTTCTCATATTTATTAAAGACATTATAGATTTAATTACTTGATGAAAAACATATCTCAATAATAAATTATGTTTTGAAAAAACTTATAAAATTTTTCAATTTTAATTAAATTTTTTACCTGAAATTAATTTTGAATTTGTAAATTATAATAACGTCATAATCATCTCTTAGGCAGATATTATTTCTTCTATTTAATTTAAATTCTATAAATAAATTTTGTTTCTTACTTAATATAATTGCAATTTCAAATCATGTTTTAATTAAAAAAATTATATTTATTCATTAATATTAGGATTTGGAGATGAATTCTAGATTGTAAACAGTAAACAAGAAGATTTTGAATTTATTGTGTCAAACCCAAAAATCAGAGGTGTATCATTCACTGGTAGTTCCACAGCTGGTTAAATTATTGCTAGTATCAGTGGAAAATATTTAAAAAAATGCGTAATGGAATTAGGAGGAAGCGATCCTTTCATAGTTTTAGAAGATTCTGATGTTAATTTTGCTGTCGATGTAAATTCAAAAAATAATTTATTTTTTAATATTTTAAACTATATCCTATTTCTTTTATTCTTGAAATTAACAAAAAATTAGAAAGAAGATTGTTTCAAATTATTTATTTTTTTCCTATTAATTTTCAAAAAAATTGATCAGCAATATCTTAATTTCTATTTTTCACACTGTTTAAAATTTAAAAACTTATTTATTTCTAAAATTTACTTTAAATTTATAATTCAACTTATTTATATTTTAAAAGATTGCAATCAATGGAAGGCTTAAAAATGGTGGCTAGGTTTGCAATAGCTCAAAGAGATTATTAATTCACAATAAACTTTATGAACAATTTAAGGATAAGTTGATAGAACGATTAAAAAGTGTTATAATAGGAGATCCTTTGAGTGAATAAACAGAGCTAGGCCCTTTA